AAGCCGAGCCTCGGGATCTACGTGCACTCGAAAGTGCTCTTGGTCGACGATGTCCTCGTCTCGATTGGCTCGAGCAACTGGAACGTCCGCAGCATGACGTCGGACGCTGAGATTGGCCAGGAAATTGTCGACACGACGCACGTCATTGTCGAAGATAACATTCAAGTTACCAAGCTCGCACGCGACTTTCGCCTCAGCAAGTTTGGCGAGCTCACCAACTTTACTGTCGACTTTGCCAACCTCTCGTTTCTGCAAGCCGCGAACGCCCTCGAGACGTACGCCCAGCAACGCGACGCGTGGATCGAGCCGTACATGCTCTACGAAAAGCCATATTGGGCCATTTACAGCGCCGGCGCCAAGAACCTCGTCGACGGCGACGGGCGCTGTACAAGCGGCGTGCCATTGAGTCTCTGCCAGAATGACTCGTGGCTACAGACGCAGTACCAAGTGATTCAGATCACGTGCGGCTGCGAACTCGCGGGCCTCGCTGTCAGCATGTGCGACAACATGACCACCTACCTCAACGCCGGTCAAGCCTCGGCCGAGGCGACGTTCACCAACAAGGCGCTTTTGTACTACGGCGGGATCTTTGCCGGCGTCTCGGTTGGCGTTCTTCTCGTGGCGGGCTGCGGCTGCTACTACGGACGCAAGTGGCATCGGAACCGACGCAAACAAGCGGTGAGCCCCACAACCAAGACTGTCGAGAAAGAGTAGCCAATGTAAGCCTGTAGTATCGAACCATTATTCCAGTTTGGTGATGAGAGCAGTGCGATGGCCGGCTTCTAAAAGCAAGCAGTGTTCACCAGGCCTTTTGGGATTGTCGAGAAACCAGCTTGCATTAGATCGAGCGGGTGCCACGTGGTGGAAGGAATCCAAGAAGGTTGTCGATCACTCCAGAGCCTGGAATCTTGCCCAGAGGACAGTTCGCAGGCAGCTGGGGACACCGGGGGGCGTCGGTATTTGGTACCTTCTTGGGTGAGAAGGGAATAACTGAACCTCTGAAGACCTTGCCTTGATAGAGCGTAAAGAACATAACCTCCGTCAGGCTATGCGTGGATGGCTGGGGCGAGCGTGGACGACGTGGCGCTTCCTACAGATCTTCTTCAAGTTGCCCCGCCTGTTTGGCTGGTTGCAGTTGGGAATGAAAAGCTTTCGATTGGCTGAAACCGTCCAATCACAGCGCGGTCAGTATCTTGCTGGCCGGACGCCACTTGTGTCAGTTGAGCTTTTGACCTTTGTTGCTCAGTACACGCTATCGTAATGCTAGCCCGCCGGTTTGTCTCGACACAGCGCACGCTCGTCAAGGAAGCGTCGATCGCGAGCCTCTTGCCCAAGGCCGAGAGCCAAAGCCTCTTCAAGGACCACAACGACGAGCGGGTACACGCGACCACGCCCACGCCTGCTCGCTCGGCCAAGTCGCTGCAGTCCGTCTACTCGCTCCAGTACCTCAATGGCGAGTCCGCGTCCAAGCCCTTTGATGTGCCCAGCTCCAAGCTCCAAAAGTAACCTGATATAAGGACATTATTGTGTGCGTTCCCAAGGGTCTCCATCACTTGTTCGCGTCGTTGGCCAGCGCATCTTCGCACGCATGGATCGAGTCCATGAGACTCGTCGGATACGTGACGTCGTCGACGTCAAACGCCTACACGCTCTGAGTCACTTTGTCGTTGGCAAGATACCACGCACCTCGATCGCACCGAGGTTGGCGGCGATGGCGTCGACCGTCATACCGTCCTTGGGGAAGACGACGCCGCGCGAGCGCTGCCAGCGCACACGCGAGACCCAACCAGCGCCGACTTCGTACACGTGGCCGCTCACCGCACAGTCTTCATGGGCGAGGTACCCCACAAGAGGTGCCACGTACTGCGTCTGAAGGCGCGCGAGCACGGACGGCGACGACGGGATCGTCTCTGTCATGCGGGACATGGCCAAGGGCGCAATGACGTTGACCTTGATGTTGTTGCGACTGCCTTCTTTGGCGGCAGTGAAGCTAAAGCCTGCGATGCCCATCTTGGCCGCGCCATAGTTGGCTTGGCCGACATTGCCGTACAGGCCCGACGCAGACGAGACGTTGATGACGCGCCCGTAGTTTTGCGCCCGCAGAATTGGCCACGCGGCTTTTGTGACGCTTTGATAAAGCGATTAGGAATCAGCGCACGAGGAGGATCGAAGCGCGTACCTCATGGTGCCGTTGAGATGCACGTTGAGCACCGAATGCCAGTCGTCGTCGGTCATGTTTTTGAGCGTCACGTCCCGCAGAATACCTGTGGCGACGATCAGCGATCGTTCGCATAGCCCCTGTTGCATCTGTCATTGTACCTGCATTGTTGACAAGAATGTCCAGTCGACCATCTAGTGCCAAATTGCTCATGAGGATGCCACGACGAGGCTGCCACGTACACGTATCCAGGGCTGTCTGCACGATACTGCCGCCCTGCTCGACCGAGCTATAGTTGGCAACCGCTGCATCTTTTCCATGGAGCGACCGAATCTCATCGACGACCGCGTCGGCAGCGCCTTGGGCGATGCCAACACCGTGGCGGTTGCCCCCCGTGTCGTTCACGATGACCTTGGCGCCGAGCTTGCTTAGCTGGAGCGCGTACGCCTTTCCGAGTCCGTTGCCCGCGCCCGTGACGATGGCAACTAGGACACACTTCGACCCTGCGACCGACGAGAGCTCGTACCTCGATTGGCCAGATTCATCGTCGCTGTTGGAAAATGATCAGCAGCAGCAGATCAGCATCGCGCGTATTGCGTGATGATTGGCTATTTCTCAACATCTTGCCGAAAATAAGGGATGCCGAAATTAGAGGGCCTCGTACAACATCCACGCAGGACTGCGTCTCGCGTCAGGGTTGCTTGTCCAAGCTCCTCCCAGCATAAATAGGGGATGCATCCACCGCATTCCATATCTTTTAGGATGGTAGTGTGGATCAACATGCATGACCTGACGCATGCAGTCGATTGACCTGCGTTACATTCGGCACATGCCATGGTTGGAACAACCATTTGATTGGTCATTTTGCGAGCATTTTGGCCAATCCAATCGAAGCCGGCAGACCACACGCCGAATGATGCAGTGCAGTCGCGGATTTTGCTCTTTTCAAAAATGTCGCCCAAACTCGCCACAGCTGTAGACACATCCTTGGAGAGTATGGCAAGCTATGTGGCGTTGGCATTCGAGGTCCAGAAGCACCGTTTTGTCCCATTTATTATTTATTCATGGCGTCCGCCACAAATAACCATGTATTACCATATTTAAGTGCTTTCGCCATCCAACTCATCGTCAGTGCCTTGACCCTCGTCTGCATCGTAGCGACTGCGTTGAAAGCAACTGAAGAAGGAATGCGAACTCAGTGGTTTGTATAGTACACGACTGGCCTAAGTGTCCACCTCCCTTACAAGATTGAAATTGCGGACTGCTCTTGGCTCGTTGCGGCGAATAGCCCAGTGCTAATTGTAATGGTAGACGCAAGAACTAGACTCCGCCTTGCTCCATGAACGTGGATCTGAAAATACGCGTATGTCGTGGCCAACCTGTTTGATTTGGCATGTGCCACCTTTGTAACTAGAGCGCGTAACCGGCACGGCCCAATATATACTTAGTTGTCAGTACGCCGCCCTCTGTAATGGACCTCGCGTCGGCGGCCGCGATCGTCAATTCGGCGAATGCCAAGGGAAGAGAGACGGTCAAGGTCGTTGTGCGCTGCCGACCGCTCTTTGGGAAGGAGATCACCGAGGGCCGGCAGTCGATCGTGACCATGGACGTCGCGGCCGCCGTTGTTTCCATCAAGTGCCCCGACAGCGACGCGTTAAAGAGTTTTACGTTCGACTCGGTTTACGACGAGCACACGGTGCAGGTACCCACGCCACATGCGTTCAACGTGTTTCAACGCGTGGTACTAGCGACAATTTTATGACGAGTCGGGCTACCCGCTTGTCGAAAGTGTCTTTGAGGGCTACAACGGCACTATCTTTGCGTACGGCCAAACCGGCTGCGGCAAAACGCACACGATGCAAGGCAAGGACAGCCCGCCGGAGCTCCGCGGCGTCATCCCCCACGCGTTTGACCACGTCTTTGAAAACATTGGCGCCGACACAGAGCGCGAGTACATGGTCCGCGCCACGTACCTCGAGATTTACAACGAAGACATTCGCGACCTCCTCGGCGACGACTCGAAGCAAAAACTCGAGCTCAAGGAAAGCGCCGACGGTGGCGTGTACGTCAAAGACCTGACAGAAGTCGTTGTGAGCGACGTCGCCAGCATTAACCGGTACCGCATTGTGTACAACTTGTCATTCTCTGAGTGAATGACGTAGGGTCATGGCCCGGGGGTTCAAGAACCGCACGATCGCGGCCACGCTCATGAACGAAGGGTCGTCCCGGTCGCACTCGATCTTTACCATCGTGGTGGAAATCAGTGAAAAAGTCAACGGGGAGGATCATTTTCGAGCGGGCAAGGTACCTGGTTCAACTTGCGATTCGAGTCCAACGCGCTATGTACTGTCTAGCTCAACCTTGTCGACTTGGCGGGGAGTGAGCGCCAAAGCAAGACGGGCGCGACTGGCGCACGGCTTAAGGTTCTCTCGCAACACACTGCTGCATACGACAACGTGCGCGTAGGAAGGCTGCAAGATCAACTTGAGTCTCTCTGCGCTTGGCAATGTCATCTCTGGTACGGACCGTGTTTGGATGTATCAGTTTGAAAGCGATGGGGTGTAGCTCTGGTCGACGGCAAAGGAAAGCACATTCCGTATCGGGACTCGAAGCTCACACGGCTGCTTCAAGTATACATCCTCGATACAACCACGGGATAACCCTATAAAATCGTTGTAGGACTCGCTTGGTGGCAACACCAAGACTGTCATGGTCGCTGCCATTAGCCCTGCGGATTACAACTTTGACGAGACACTCTCGACGCTGCGCTACGCCAACCGTGCGAAAAACATCAAGAACAAACCGACCGTCAACGAAGACCCGAAAGACGCCAAGTTGCGCGAATACAAGAATGAAATTGAGCAGCTCAAGCTGCTGCTCGCCCAGCAAAAAGCCATGTAGGGGCGATTCTCCCAAGTGCTTTGTTCATTTTTGCAACAGCACGCCCGACACCACCCTCCGCCCGACGCCACCACGACGAGGTGCGGCCATCATTTATGGTGGATGAAAACCAGCTAGTCACCGTGGCCATTAGTCGAGCGATCCCCGACGACCTCGGCCTCCATGACGCTCGAAGAAGTACGTCGACTGGTCAATGGACGACATACTGAAAGCTAAGACTAGGAAGCGAATTTAATGGCCACCGACAACGAAGGCGTTGCTGTGCCGACGACACCGTCGGGTCGCGCATTGCAGCTTCAGCGCAGCACGACCGAGCGCGAAGAAGCGCTCGCGGCCCAGTCCCAAGCGCTCCAAGAATCACTGCAGCGGGAGAAAGAAGAGATGCAACGCCAGCTTCGACTCGAGCAAGAAACCATCGAGAAGGCCAAAGCCGACGCCGCCAGCATGATGGAAGCGGCACAAAAGATGATGCTCGAGATGCAAACGGTCGCGCGCCCGCCGTCACAAGAGATTCCCGTCGCCGAGGTGGACCCCGACGCAGAAAAGAAGCGTGAAGACGACCGGCGGCGGTTCCTCGAGGCCGAAGAAACCAAAGCCAAGGCCGCCGACATGATGGCCAAGGCCGAGAAGCTCATGGCCGAGGCCGTCGCGCGCTCTGCGCAGCCACCCAAAGTGAAAATCGTCAAGGAAGTCGTCGAAGTGGTGCGAGAAGTGGTGCCCGAGGGCCATCTCAAGGAGAAAGAAGCACTGCAAGAGATGAACCAAACGATTCAAAACCACCGCGACCGCATGGCCAAGGAGCTCGAAGAGGCCCAGCTGGTGCGAAATATCCTTATTTATTGCTTCTTTTCGACGCGTTAATTGCTTTGTACCCATCCGTAGGCCATGCAACACCACGTGCGAGAGAAGAGCGAACTCGCGTCCAAGCTGCACAAAATCGGGTCCCAAATCTGTGGCAAGCACGACTCGCCCGCGGACGCTGAGATCGCGCTGTTAAAACAGCAGGTACAGTGTATATTGTCTTTTGATGCGAGGATAATTTTGGTTGGCAGGTCGAATACCGGCGGGCGCAAATCAAGCTCAAAATGAAAAAGAAAAAAGAAGCCCAACTTGAGATTGCACAAATGGCGCTCCAAGCCGAGAAGGCCACGGTCGAGGACGAACTCAAGAGTGCGCAGGAGCAAGTGCAAGCCAACTCGGCGCTGCACAAGAAGAAACAGCTCAAGTACAAGGCCAAGCTCGAGGCCGCGCGCGAAGAAATCGTCGACCAACAAGCCGACTTTGCCCGCGAGCGCGACAGCCTCATGGACACGATACGCCAACAAACACGCGAGGTCAAGCTCATGGAACAGCTCGTCGAGCTCTTCTTGCCCCAGAACGAGCTCGTCAAAGTGTGGGACAAGGCGGTGTGGATCGATGACAAGGAAGAGTATTTGCTGAGTTGCAGAGAACCTTGGTCCAAGTCGAGTGCACTAGGTGGCAGCTGCCCCGCATCAAGCCGCGAAGCGACTTTACCAGCATGAAGCTACCGACGCTGGGTGGTGGCGCCTTCACGCCGATCGACCGCCCGATCACAGGTGGGGAGGTGGGCGGCGCCGAGGTGTGCGACGGCTCCGCGCTCAGCAATCGGTCGAGCAAATCGCGCAACAAGACAACGCGGGTACGCTACGATGCCGGCCGCCACCATCCACCGTTCTGTGTCTAGCGTACGATCGAGGGTTTACCGAGCCGTGGCGACGAGACGTCGGGCATGACATTGCTGCCGTTGGCCGACTTGAGTCGGTCGGTCAAGCTGCCGAGTGCCCACAAGACGACGCGGACTGACAGCACCAAGGGGGACGATGGGACGCCCAAGCGGTCCTCAAAATCCAAGAGAGAAAAACGATCGTCCAAGCACCGACACCGCGAAGGCGAGAGCCCCAACAACGGGCTCGGGCAAACCTTGGAGCCGCTGCTTGTACACGCCGTACGTTGACCGAAAGCGGTGCAATACATATATACATGTGGTAGGACGAAGCGCGCACCGCCACGTCCGAGCTCGTGTACCCGCTGGGCGCCGACGACGACGAGCACATGGACGACTACCTCCCGCGGGACCGGCTTCAGTCCCGTCAAGGCTCGCGTCAAGGCCGGCGAACGACCGACTCGAAGACATCGGGCTTGGGCGAGACCGAAGACAGACCCTCGCGCCGGCGTCGCAAGTCGCTCCCGAAAGACGACGACGAAGTGAACGACGTTGAAAAGCCAGTGGCGACCAAGAAGAAGAAGAAACGCAAGTCGATCGTGGCAGCCGAGCTTCTCGCGCCGCCGTCGCCCGAGGATCCCGATTACGATGAAGTGCTCGGCGAAGTCTTCTCCAGCGGCGCGTACCCTTAAAAATAATCCGCAATTGCCGGCGTCATTTTGCTTTCTTTGGTGCTCGACCGACCATGCGACCGTGTGGGCGGTATTGCTGTTCCTGAGCTTGCTTGCGTGCATATTCGCATCATTTACGGGCTAGCAACGCAGCACCTTGTGGGGCGCTTTTGCCTTGAGCTTCGCGCTGAATGGCATCCCGGGTTCGAAGCGACAGGGCTCAATGCAACTGGGTATCTAGCGTACTATCGACTCGTCGCATAAATCTGATGGCAAACCGTCAACTTCGAGGCAGCACCCGATCGAACCAGTTGGGTTATCAGGACAAAGGTATTATAGTGGAAGCGGTACGATCAGAGCCACACACCAAGCCCATTTGGCGGTGAGAAGGGCCACTTGGGCTCCGCCTCGACGACCTCTCAACATTGTCTTGGTCCTTCGCACGCTACGCTGCACCATCGCGACGACACGTCCATCGGGATCCACAGCCACCTTGCTATACATGACGGGGCATAGAAGTGAAGGCAATGATGATGCCGTCGACGTGTCCATGGTGGTGTGGCCTACCTCCACCATAGTCCTTCTCCACTCCAATTTTGGTCTCAGAAGCTACTCAGGACAGAAGCATACGCATGTACTTGATCTTTTTCATAGCAGGACGAATTGTGACTCAGCGCTTGGTCTTTCGCTGGTTGGCGCTTGTCGATGTGCTCTGCCGCATCTTCTTTTGCGCTTGAAAGAACGCGAGCGAGTCCGGGTCTTGCGCTCGAATGCGGTCGACTTCCATTTGATCAAACTTTTCGCCTTCGTCGAGCTTGTCTTGGTCGCCGTCGCCATCGCCGTTCTTGGCTTGGCTGCCGCCGTCTCGAAACCACTCTTCGAATTCATTGACCATGCGCATGCGAAGGAGCTCGATGCTGCGCTGCGTAAAGTCGTACTCGGCCCGCGCTTCCTTGAGGTCGTCAAAGAGCACACGGTAGTCGCGCTTGGCTTCTCGCTCGCGCTGCATCAAGATGAACTCTTCTTCGTCCACGACTTCGTCGTCGGTCGCCTTGCCTTCCTTCTTGGGACTCTTGCGGTTCGTACGTTTCTCGTTCACTTGGAGCTTGAGCTCGTCGATCGCGGCTTTTGTGCGGTTGAGCTGTCCGGTGATGTCCTTCATTTTCTCCTTGATTTGCTTGAGTGATTCCTTCTCCTCTTGCAGCTGCATATGCGTCTTCTTTCCAGGTCCATTGCCAACAAAGAACTAACATGGCCGCGATACATACACCGGTCGATCGCATATTGGTACCTTGTAGGCGTCGTTCTTGCCATCGTCGTCGTCGCCATCACTGCCCTTGACGTCGTTGTTGCCGGCTTTCTCATCGCTCGCCAAATCGTCGATCGTTGCATCCCGAATCGTTGTCTCTTCAAGGCGCAATGCAGTGTCCTTCTTGTTGACTTCGAGCGACACGGGCATCGCACCGGCGGGGGCAACACCGAGCACGAACCCGTGCTCTTCCGGATCCCCCACGAGCTTTTCGTCGTCGTCCAGTGTCGTTGGCGCGCTGCCGTTGTCGCGCGATGCATTCGACGTCGACGTTCGCGTCGCGAGGGCCTGCGGCGACGCGCTCTCGGCGTTCCGAAGTAAAAGGCGGAACTGGCGAAAGAGCTCCTTGATGTGCCGCAAGCTCGAGAGCTGCAAGAGCGAAAAATCATCGTCGGTCGGCGCGTCCGTGTAGGCGCGCACGAGTCGCATGAGCTCAAACTTCTGCTCGGGCGTGTGCTCGTCGTAGACGACGCCCGTGCGTTCGACGAGCGCGTCGTGCATCGTGAGCTCTTGCTTGAGCTCTTTGATTTGGCGCTCGTATTTTTTGAGAAGAATGCTCGGGTCGGTCTCGACGATCGAAGTGGCTTCGTTCTGCACGCGCATCATGCGTTGGGCGAGCTTGAGCGTCGAGATGGTCTCTTCAATGTGCTTGCTTTCGCCCTACGAAACCCCATCATAAAATTCTCCACCCTCAACATCAAAACTCAAATTCGAAACTCAACATCAAAAAGAGAAATCCCATCAAAAATGCAGCAGAAAACGACACATATCGGTGTACCCAGATGCAAGCAAACATGAGCGTGTTGCAGTTGCCGCCGAGCGAGTCTTTGAGGACGTTGGTGAGTTTGGTTTGGCGGTACGGAATGTGGCGCGCTTCCCGCGACCCGAGCGCAACAATACACTGCTCGAGAAACGTCAAGCTCTGGTTGATGTACATGCTTTCCTTCTTGATCGTCGACTTGTGCGCTTTGCTGTCGTCGTCGTGCATGGTCTTCTTCAGGCGCTCGCTGCCCGCGAGGTCGACGAGGTGGAGCTTGCTGTGCACGACGTGTTCGTTGCCGCCGGTGCGCGACTTCTACTCGAAGCCATGAGCCAGAAGGCATTGGCACGGATGGAATCTACTTGCGAAATGTGAAAGGTAAAAATGCAGTGCGACCGGTTCGAGCGTTTGTTGAGCTGATGCTCGGCGACCGTGCGCTGGAGCTCGCCCTTGAAGAGCTGGTCGAGTGCATCTTTCTCTGTGGGCGCCTCGACCTGCGTGAGCCCACGCACGTACGTGCCTCGACTGTCCTCGACGACCACATAGTCGGCGACGTCGAGATCGTCGTCGTGCGGCGAGAGCAAGTCAAAGATACGGTCGTTGTAGATCTCCATGTACGAGACATGGACCGTCGACTCGATCTCGATGCGCGCGTCCATCTCTTGGTAGACCTGCGCAATCGCGCGCGGTGCAATGCCGCGGTGCTGGTAGTTGCGCGTGTCGCCAATCATTGTAAACGTCTTCCCGGCGCCGGTTTGGCCGTACGCGAGGATCGTACCGTTGATGCCGTCGACGATGCTACCGTGCACAATGTCCCGCGCAATCGCTTCGTACACTTTGTCTTGGCCGGCGTTCTGGAGTACTTGGTGGAACTTGAACTTCCACGCTTCCTTCTTGTTGGACGGCCCTGTCTCGGCCTTGGTATCGCTCAAGTCGATCTCGATCGTGTGGTCGTCCTGGTCGATGTTGATCTGGTTGGTCGCAAAGACCGCGGTCGGCCGCGCGCGGATGATGACCTTGACGCCATTCTTGCCCATGCTGTGCGGACCCGCAATAAGATCTTGGTGTCGGCTCGTGAAGCGACGCAGCCAAAGGGCAACGTCGCATCCGGCATCCGGATACTACGGTCCAAACGAGGGTCGACAATGTCAAAAAGGGGTATTTGTCCCAAGAGAGGGACCTTTTCGACAAAAAGGGTACCGCAATCCCAAACAACAGCACGCCAGACAGATGCAACTCGTACGGTGGCTGGGCCTGGTCGTGGCTGTCATCGCTGCGCGCGAGGCGCCGACCGACGAGACGTGTGCGCTCGATGCGCATGGCCACACTAGCTGCGCCACGCCTGCGGCGATGCTATCGGTGGAGATTGGTGTTGGCTGCAAGCCCAAGAAGCGCCGGCAAGTGACCAAGGCCGCCAACGCCAACGTCGGTGCCAACTGCGGCGAAGACGCGTACTACGTGAGCTCGTTTGCGCATCCAACGTATGTGAGCTTTGGCGTGGCCGACGGTGTCGGCGGCTGGACGGAAAGCGGCGTGGATCCGTCCGCGTTCTCGCTGGCGCTCGTAGCCGGCGCCAAGGCGTCGTTCGAGTCGTCGCCGCGCCTGGACCCGCTCGCGCTCATGGAAGATGGCTTCCAGCATGTGTTGCGTGGCGGCGACGCCAATCCGGGCGGCTCGACTGCGGTGTTTCTCGTCCTCGACCGAAAAACCGGCGAGCTCACGACCGCGAACCTCGGGGACTCGGGCTACCTCCTCATCCGGAACGGTCGCGTCGTCTTTCGCAGCGTGGAACAGACCTGGGCGTTCAACGCGCCGTACCAGCTCTCACTGTACCCTTCGTGGATGGAGAGCCCGGACGTCGACCCGTACTCACCGGCCAGCTCGTTCACGACCCGCCACACGATCCAAGCCGGGGACGTGATCATCATCGGCTCGGACGGGCTCTTTGACAACGTGTTTGACGCTGAAATCCTCGACGAGTCCATGCGCTTTGTGGGCCCCGTGCTCGCCAAAGCGTTGTCTCCGCAAGCGCTGCGACAAGCCATGATTGACGTGTCGTACTCGCTGACGATGATGGCCAACGCCTTTGCGCACGACCAAGCGCGCGAGTCGCCCTTCTCCAAGCTCGCGCGCGAGGGTTACGGGTACCAGTTCAACGGCGGCAAGGTCGACGACACGACGGTCGTGGCCATCTACGTCCATGACCACATGACGGAAGCTTAGCGCGTGAACTGCAGTTTACACCGCGTTCCGCGCCCGTGAATACTACTATTCCGTCGCTATAATGTCCTATTCCTCTTGCGTCGTCCTGTCCATATACTGCATTGCGATGGTCTGTAATGATATGGACCGTTCGGCCGGCGTCACCATGCATCTTCTGCCGTCCGGTGCGTCACTTGACGTCCTCGCCAAGATTCGCACCAGTACCGCAGTACCACGTTTCGCCGTCTACATTTTGCTTCTCCATATCTTTGCCCAGCGTCCTCACGTGCGTGCCACGTACGCACTTGTTCGTCGCTGATCAGCAAGACCTTGTCGTTGAAGACCGATGCCTTCGTCTCGGCCTCGGTATGCAGCATAGTGCGTCTCGTTCTACATGTTAAGCGTTGCTTCCCAATGATCATTTTCCATTTTGCCTCTTCTCGACTTTCCAGTCTTGCCGTCGCATTCGATCCGAGCTTCAGCGCAACTTGTATTCCGCTTCCTCTCGCATTCGTAGCAGCCCACGGAGACGTCCAAAGGTCACGCTGTTGCATGGTCGCTACACTTGCGTCCTCGGGTTGGTCAAGGGTAGGGTAGGGTCGGTCCAGCTACGTTGTTGGCGTCTAGGGTTGGGGGTCAATACACTGTTTATTGAGCCTTGCTAGTGCGGACCTGTGTGCCACTGTGCAAGCATGCATGCGCCGACCCCAAGACGGCTATGAGAGCACACGCCGGCGATGATTTGGTCCCCGCCTGTCTATAACGATCATCGGTTTCACCAAGTCGGTTTATGATGGCCGACAAGGACAAGACCGAGAAGGACAAGCGCCGGCCGTCCGTGCGCAAGACGAGCCTCAACAGCGCTGTACCCGAGAAGGCAACGAGTCGCCGGGACCTCCGCCGCGGATCGACGATGGCACGCATGCCGTCTCCGAAAAAGTCGCCCAAGAAGAAGGCCCCAAAAGCAACCGTTGAGGAGCTCGAGAGTCGTGAAGAAGTCATCAACATGATTCACATTCTCGAGACCGACACGGGTGAGGCGGCTCAGAAGCGTCAAATCCTCAAGCTTTTCGAGTGGTTCAAGGCGCAATACGCCATGCTGAGTGGCCAGCTCCGCGAGAGTTTGGCGCGCGAGCAGCAACTCATCGTCAAGGTACATGCGACTCTCGATGGCTTCCGTAAGCGGAGTGTGGCTGTAGTGCCGCGAGCTCAAGTTTGATGTGATGCTGAATGGTAATTGTCCTACTCGATACGTACGATGCCACTATGTGTGCTTGCTAGTCGTCAAGCTTCAGACCAAACTGCACGTCAAGGACACCCAAGCCGAGGGCCTTGGCTTCTTCAAAGAGGTAGTTTGCTCGTCGACATGAGAGGCGACATTAATGTACATCTCTCCAACATACTAGGAGTGCGAGCGCTCGTGGCACTCGATTCACATGGCCCAGGAGCGCGAGCAAGAAGCGCTCGCCATCATTAGTGTACACGGATCGTCGTCTCGGGCCCATGTCGCAACACAACGGACGTAGGACCTCCGGGACAAAATATCCCACCTCGAGAGCCAAGTCAAGGAGCTCCAGCGCCGACCATTGCTCGTCGAGCCACGCCGGTCGTCGATCACGCAGTCGGCGTCCTTGTCACAGCTGCGCTCGCCCAAGGCCGCCCCCGAAGCCGACCCGATCACAACGTTCAACGAGTGGAAAACACTCAACCGCGTGTGGAGCCCACCAAAGAGCCAAGATCGATCGACGGCGCTGTACTGGGGCAACTACACGGACAGCGGTGGTGGGCCGACGCCAGGTCCCACCACACCCATGGAGCGCGCCATGACGGCAGCGTCGCCCAAGAAGCGACCCGAGTGGTGTCGACACCTGCCTCGCGTCTAGCCTTTCGTCTCACGTAGCGAATGCGAAAAGACTGTCAACTTTTTAGTCCGCAATATCTTGCTAGGACTAAAGTCGTAGGTCAAACAGCGCAGGTAGATGCAGCTGGTAGAGGGCGTCGGCGACGCTGCAGCCGGTGGCGTTGAGAGATGTGAGCCCCGTGTTTCCATCGAGTGCCTCCACAAGCGTACCCGTCGCCGCCGACTGGAACGGGTTGTTGGACATATCGAGCGACGTGAGCGATCCGGAGAAGCGAAGCAGACTCGCTAGCGCGACATAGCCTTGCTTGTCCTTGAAGATGCCTGCCATGTTGCTCGATATATTGAGCGCCGTCAGCGTGCGATGAAAGGCGAGGGCCGAGCAGACAAGCCGGACGCCGTTGGGCTGGAGCCCCGCGCCAGCAATGCTAGTGGATAGAGGCAGTAGATGCAAAAGGCACTCTATCGTACTTGAGGTGCCGCAACACCGAGCGTTTGCTCTCCCAGCCTTGGACGAGCTTGGAGAGGCCGGCAAAGGACGGGCGGAGCGGACTTCCCGTGAGCTCGGTTTCGCTCACGTCCAAATACTCGATCGTGTTGTTGGTGACGAGCGCGAGCCCGAGCAGCTCGGCGCCACTCGGCCCGAGCGCATTCTTGGACAAACTAGCCAAATTGAAACTCAGAACTATCAAGTGGATAGGTACTGGCGGACGTGAGGGACACGAGGTGGCGCGACGTGAGCGCAACGTACGCTGAGAGCGCGTCCATGTGTCTCTGCGTCACATACGTCTGGGACCAGTCGAGCGACGTCACGTTGTCGCGGCACGCGACGCGGAGGCTCTCGGCGTGGTACGACCGAGGGCCGAGCGCACGCAATTTGTGCTCGAAAGTCGGGTCGACGTCGTAGAACGGCGTCATGTCGACGTCCGTGGCGGTAGAGGCGTCACGGAGCACGGACGCTGGCGGCGGTGCAAACTTCCACAAAGCGTCGTCGTCGGAATCATCGGCGTCGTCGGTCGATGGCATGATCTCGCGGCCAAAAGATACGATCGCGAAACGGCCTTTCTGTTGAAGCGACGCAGATGCGACGGCCAAAGGACGGACGTAGCGCGAGCCCGCGCGCCGAGATGGGCCGCCATACGATGCACACGCCGACAGAGCTCGTGCTCTTGCGCGGCGAGCTACCAACGTCGTTTGCTGGTGCGCGTCGGCGCCCCGACGTATCGCACCGACCAGCGTCGGCCGGACCAACCATGCTCCACGTGGTCGCGACGCCGGTGCGTCTCGCCTCGTTAACACCAACGCGATGTAATATACATAGGTGCAGGCGGCCATGCAGCAGCGACTGGTCTTGTCGCCGCGCGCCGACCCGGCGACGGCGGTGCGCAACACGACATTTTATGATCACGCCGAGTAATGCATGTGGTGTAGTCACCACCACTGGCGATGCGACCGGCGCGCGCTGCCTCGGCGGCACCCACACGCCCGCAACAGCAAGCCAATCCTCGAAGTAGACACCCTTTTTCCTTCTTAGTGACCGACGCATGGTTTGTCTTGCGTGGTGTAGACCTGCTGCGGCCAAAGAGCAGTACGGCCCAGCGCAAGCTGTTGCAGACAAGCCCAGACGATACACTTGGCACTACGAGCGATCGCACAGAACGCGACAACAACAACAACCACGACGACGATGCCAAGCTGGCGCCACGACCCCCCGCGGCGCGCCAGCCGCCGTTGCAGCTGCACGATGTTGGCGGCTCCAACAAGCGCTTCAAGATGGCAGCGGTGGTCATTGGCATGACGGCAAAGCTCGACCTTCGCCCCGATGCTACCGTCGCGACTCCCGAAGGCAATGATGACGACGACGCAACACTCCACGAGAGAATGCGGTCGCGTATCGCACCCAAGCACACACCGCGAGAGCAGCTTCGCGCCTACTTGGAGGCACCGTCCCAGAAAAAAAGCGACACGTTTTACTACGCGGTGCCGGCGCACCAGCTCCAGCCGTTCGCGCGCTACGACCCGTACACGCTCGTGCCTGTGCCCTTTGTACGACCCGCATCGTTGACGTTGCATTGATATATGTCTTGGACACTAGCACACTGTGTACGCCAACCACGCGCACATGACGACGCCCGAGCCGCTGCAGTTTACGAGCGACGACCGCATCATCGACACTCACATCAAGTGTGACTTCTACGTCGTTCATGACACGGGTCTGCTCTTCTACTGCAAGGCGAACGCGACCGTCGAGTACCAGTCCAAAGCCGAGTGGGACCGCGAGTGCCATGTGTTTGCAGCGGTCGCCAACATAGCCCTTTTTCAAAAGTGATTCTTTTTGTATATCACCAATCGATCGGCTACACCGGCCGTGACTAGGTACCGCGGGCTCAAGGCACTGGTGTGCTGGAAGCGCTACTACCGCCAGCACAAGTTCGCTGCTGCCCAAGACGCCATTGCCGACAAACTCTACTTTTGTAACCCGGTCTTGCATGCGACCATGGTGCACATTCGCAACAAACTCTTGCCATTCACGGACCTGACGCTCTTTGAACCGATCAACACCGGTGTACGTGCCCCGGCAGCCTTTGTCCACGCCCACGTACGCTATCCCATATTGTCGCAATGTGCAGGACAATATTGTGTGCGTGTTTGATAGCGGCTCCGCGTGGTGGAGACGGCGAGCCGTGTGACCGACCTCGCAAATGGCCTTCGCGATCTCCTCGCAACGATTGCGCGCGAATATTTGGCGCAATATTCCACCACCGAGTCGGTCATCACGCACGCCGAGACGTGCTTTACGTCTCGAAAGAGCACTGTCTTCCACGTCGACCAGCTCCGACGCACGTCGGGTCACCACTCGCCGCCCAAGCAACAAGACCACCTCTTCCCGCTCGCGCAACAAGACCACCTCTCTCTACCCAAACATGACCATGGCTCCCCGCCCAAGCAGCGCCGCCACCGACTCCAGTCGCTCGTCTCGGGCACCACCACCGACGTTGATATGAACGCGATCCGCGCCGAGCTGCAACGGAACCGGTTCCGCTACCAAGTCAGCGAAGCCAAGCGCACGCATGCGCCAGCGGTCGACCAGGTCAAATGGTCGATAGCGGCCGTGAAGCGCGCGCGCTGCCTCGAGCTTGCGCATTTTATCACCCGCGTGGACTTTATGTTGCTCGACCTGTACCAAGAAATGGTCGTGCGCAGTGCCCACCACCTAGTGACGGTGCTTTCAACGGGATCGGGCGCCAAAGGCCCGTCGCTTTTGCTCTCGAAAGAGGCGTATATCAAGGCGTACCGTCGCTTTGACACGTTTGGCACCGAATCGATGAACACGGCGCAGCTCACACGCCTCTTGCAGTTTGTGTTTGACGGCAAGCTGCAAGGCGACGCCCTCGAGCATCGTGTGGCGGCGTTCATCGCTGTCTTTGACAGCAACGGCGACGGCGACATTAGCCTCGATGAGTTTTCGCATGGCCTCGATATCTTGCTCGACCAAGAACGCATGCTCGCCATCGATCCCGACTCGATGAGCGTCTTTGAAACCACACAAAAGGTGCGCTTTCGTGTGCAATTTCCTGCACTTTTTCTGCATTTTGCAGCAATTTTTGCAGTTTCTGCATGAAATGGCTTGGGCCAAGTCGATCTAACGCGGTACGATGATCTTAGGTCGACATGTTCCGCCCCGAGCCGCTGTTTGAAGTGGCCTTGAGCCTCGATGGCGACGAGAAGCTTGCTTTTACACCGCCGTTATGCGAGCTCGGACAAAGCGTATCCGCGACGCTCAACGGCTTCTTTGACGTGTGCGCCTACGTAACGCGGCTCGTGCAGTGCCCTGTGCTACTGCCGTATCTCACGTTTGCGTACCAAGTGCGGTCGACCGACGTCGGAGCGATGCCATTGGACGAAATGGAAGTGACGCGCGTGCCGTCGCTTCTCCACGAACGCGCGAGCCAAGACGTGGCGTTCGTCTTGGTCGCGTCGCAGATCGACGAGATTCTCAAGGACGCCATTTGCGCGGCAAACGCATACGCCAAGTGCTTTGAAAAGCTGCGGATGTCGCACGTCGTCAACAATGGCATCGACTTTGACCTTGTCGCATCGCAGCACCGTCATGGCAAGTACCCGCTCGCACTCATGCAAGCCGATATTGAGCGCTTCCAGCACGATGTACCTTCTCTTCACTCAGATGTTTTATCGGGAAGCCTAACACGGGCGATGTAGCAAGCCAAGCTCGACGACCTTGTCAAGCTTCAAGACGTGCAGGTATGTCGTCCATTCCTTCAATGTGATGGCAACCAAGCCGCGGTAGCTCATTCGCGTGCACACGCTGGGCCTCAAGGCGCAGCTCGTGCCATCGCCGTCGCGGTGCCTAGAAGAATACGCACGCGTCCTACCCATTTTGGCGGAAGCCAACTGCAAGGAGCTGCTCTCGTACATTGAAACAGCATCCACCAAGATCCAGCGGCCCGCGACCAAGACACTGGACGCATTCGTGACGTACCTTGTGAACCTCCAAGTACTTGGTTATCTTGTTGCATAAGAAGGACAACCATGGCTGTTTGTAGGAGGTCAACGAAGAGCTTTTGACCAAAGACCACGAAGCGGCACAGATTACATCGTACTTTGAAGTGTTGCGCATCGCCGGCTTTGCCGTGCCCGACCATACGCAAGCCGCATACGATCTCTGTGGCCCGGAGCTCTCGACACTCAAGGCCAACGCGACAACGTGCCTTGCGCGGCGCGACACGGACATTCGCGAGTACGCAGGCCTTCTTACGCAGACCGTGGAGCACGTACGTTGCGTATATATATGGTTTTGTATCAAGGTTTCCACTCGATACATTGCTAGTTGGACGCCAACATTGAGTATTTGGCATCCGAAGCGAGCGCGGACCAAGTGTGCGACGCGGCCATGGACGCGGAGAAGGCCCTTGCGTTTGCAACGCACATTCAGGAAGCGGCGCGGGACCACGAGCTCAAGGCGAAGCGTCTCGTGTACATTCGCGGTCTCTTCAACTCGCTCTTGCACAACGTGCTGCCAGCGAATGCGCTCTTCCCGTCGCTGCCGCCCTTGCTGCACGACATTTCTCTCAAACACGTACGACGACGACGATCGATGCAGCATTTCCAAACTCTGTCTGTAGGATGTGTGGGCGCTGATTGCAGAGACGGAAGAGACGCTCGCGCGCTGGGGCCCAAGCGCGCTCCAGGACCTCCCCATGAGCGAAATGAATCTGCTATTGGAGCAGCTCACCGACATTCTCGAACGGATGGTGGACAAGTACGCGCATTTGCCCGTGACGCGGCGGCTCAGCGAGCTCCACTCGTCGCTGGCGCACGTCGCCCCGATCGTCCACGATCTCTGCAGCGAGCATCTCGAAGAGCGGCATTGGCAACGCCTCGAAAACAAGCTCGGCGTTCACTTCGAGTACGAAGTCGACACGTTTGCAACGACCTCGACGGCGTCCGCGTACCGCCATTCGGAAATCTCGCTGTCGTACTTGATGTCGCTCAAGGTCGAGTCCGCCAAGGACGCGATTCATGAGGTGGTCCAGGAGGCCGTGACCGAAGCTGCGATCGGCAAGAGTCTGAACGAAGCCATCAAAGTCTGGGAGACCAAGGACATTCCGTTTCTGCCGCGGCTCGTCGACCACGACACGCGTGAGATCCTCGTGCTCGGTAACACATCCGACGTCCTCGCGATGCTCGAAGAGTCCGACGTACCATTGCAATATATCAACATTGGAAATGACTATGGGACTAGGTGCTCCTGCAAACGATATTGGGTTCGTCGTACATTCGGCCGATTCAGGCGCTTGCGCTCAAGTGGCGCGACGAGGTGGCCACCATGAATGATCTCATGCTGCGTCTCGAAGAGTGCCATCGGTACTGGGACCATATGGAGGTATATTTTTCTTTATTAGTTTCAACACCCAAACGTATCAATGTATCAACATTAGGTGTTTCTCTCGTCCGAATTCATGCGCGCGGTGCCCGAGCAAGCCATGACATACAGTCAACTGGAGAAGACGTGGAAGGCCTTAGTCGACAAGATCAGCCGAAATCCGTCGCTGCTCCGAACCGCGCGGGCGACCGGCGTCAAAGAGCAGCTCGCGGCGCTCAACCACGGGTTTGGCTCGATCTACAAGCTCCTCGAAGGGTACCTCGCGGTCAAGCGGCAGAACTTTCCGCGCTTTTACGTGCTCTCGGACGCCGAACTCGCCGAGCTCATTTCGCAATGCCGGGACCCGCGCCATATTCAAAAGTATCTGCACTGCGTCTTCCCGTGCATTGGGTACCTTGAGTTTGGCGCCGATGACAAGAGTCAAGACGTTGTCGCCGCGCATGCCCCGCGGCTTCCATACCCCGAAGTCATTGTCCTCGGCAAGAATCTCAAAGCCAGAGGGTACGTCGAGCAGTGGGTCGCGGCCGTGCACCGCCGCCTCCACGAGCGCATGCAAAAGATGATCCGGGACGCTGTACCGTTCTGGCTCACTACTCTCGACCAGCCACTCGAGTTTGAAATGTTGCAAGATACCGCCCTCCAGTGTCTTCTCGTCGCCCAAGACGTTGTCGTGTGCCATCACATGGCCGCCGCGCTCTCGCACGCGACAACGTCGACGTTGACCGCCATGTCGGCTGCCCACGGAAGCCGCATATCGAAGATGGTGCAAAGCCTCTCGGTAGTCTCACAGCACGCCAGCGTCATGGCGGCCACGCTGCTCTTGCAACACTTATACTACCGCGATGTCATGGCGGGTCTCAGTGCGTCCAACGGCCAAGACCATTTGCGCTATTCGGTGCAGGAAGACTCGGGTGACGTGTTTGTCGAGCTCTACGATGTCCGCGTGCCGTACGGGTACACGTACTACAACCCGACGCGCAGCACCCTTGTACTGTCGCCGCTCACGGCGCGCTGCCACCTCTCGCTCTTTGCGACGCTGCGGTCGTTCCAGGTACGCGGCATTCTTTCATAGGACAAGGTCGGACAACTGAGTCTAGTCAACGCTTATCTCGGGACCGAAGACGTCGGGCAAGACGACGCTGGTGCACATGGTGTCGCGGGCCGTCGGGCGCGAGCTGTTGCAAACTGTTTGCACGCCACTGATGCGCCCTTTGCAGCTGGAACAATTGCTGACGGGGAGTCTTCTACTCTCGGGCACCTTGCTCTTGCGGCACGTCAACGTTCTCTCAAGCTCGCTACTACAGTACCTTGCGCAGCTCATTTCCACCATTTCGGTGCGTGATATGTCAGCATGACATACCCGTGACATGACATACCACGTGTAGAACCATGCCATGGCCAAGCGCCACGTTATCACGCTCGACGACCGCGAGGTGCACTTTGGTATCGGTGCAAGCGTCGTGATGACGTCATCGTGCCTCGCATCGGCCGCGCATCGACCTGCTTTCGCAGCGCTCCTCGAGCGCACAATCTCGTTGCCCATCATCCCGCTTGAGATACAAGTGGCCATGCATGCGCTCTTGTACAGCCATGGCTTTGACGACGTCGCCGACGCCGCCCGGAAGCTTGCGAGCGTATGGCGCGAGCTCCAAGCCGTGATAGCGCGCGAGGCGCCTGGGCTCCGACATGTCGCCACGCTTGCATCTGCGCTGCAGGCCCTGCGACCGTTGGCGCTGCAGCGACAGAGTAACGCAACACTCGAGGAAGCCCACGGCTTGCAGACAACGCTACTCGCCTATCTCAACGAGCACGTGCTCCCGACGGCGCCCGACGTGCACGCCCACATGATAGCGTTCGTCAAGGCGCTGTGGTTCATGTCGCCGCCGCCCCGGCTGGTGGCGGTCGAGCCATTGACCACCGCGAATGCGAGTGTCCCCGACCTCTTTGCATCGTGCTTGCACCAAGCGTACGAGAAACACCAAGTCGTGCTGACGCCAAGCGTGCAGGCGACGGCGACCCGGGCCGCGACGGCGGTCGCTATGTTTCGCACGGTCGTCGTGACCGGGGCGCCGAAAACCGGCAAGACAACGACGATGCATGTAGTGGCCAATGCGCTCAACTGTCTGCAGCCAATTGTGCACGAGGTCTACCCGACGATGGCCAGCTGGGGGCTCGTCAAGCCCCACGATACCCGCTTTGTTCGCATCAAGCGCCTCTTGCCAGCGGTATCGCGTTGCATGATACGAAGGTGGATCTGGAATCGTAATATTTGTAGGCGCTCTCGCTCGATCGGCTGTTTGGGACGAGCGGCGACGCTGAGACATCGATCTTGAAGATGCTCTTGCACGAACCGGCCGACATTTCGAGCTGCCACTTTGTCGCGCCGCCCGACGATGGGCCCATCACGATCCAGAACGAAGCACTGCCCCCGTTCGTACAAGAGCTCTTGACCTACCGACAGCGCATCTGGGTGTGCTTGGACGGGGCACTCGATGGCCCGTGGATCGAGTCGCTTCTTGGCATGGCGTCGTACAGCAGTGCCGGACACCTCGGGCTGCACCAGTTCCCGCAAGCAACCAAAGGGGTGGTTACGTGCGAGCCCCACGTCTCGCTACTCCTCGAAGCTGTCGCCCTCGAAAACGCGTCGCCAAGCTTGATCGCCAACGTTGGTCTCGTGCACCTTCACGACGATGCGCTCCACCATCATTTGTTCCAAGGGTTCGTTCGGGGGCTCAACGCGCGCCCCGGGGTGCCATATATCATCGCCGAGACGTGTGCCAAGTACCTCTGCGACATAGCGTTCGTCGATCGGGTTCTCGAGTGCCAAGGACAAGGTACTCTCGCGTATCCCATGGGCCCTGTGCACGCGGTACAGAACGTCCTCGCCTTGCTGCAAGCTATGCTCACCAACCAGGCGGCGCTACCGTTCGACGCCATCTTTCAAGCGTCGGGCGATGCGATGTTAGCATACGCAACCAAAGTCGAGCTCGTGGTGCTCTGGAGTCTGCTGTGGGGCCTCGGTGGCGGCTTGGATGCCCATACCAAGCGCATGCTGAGCTCGGTTTTGGAGCACCACTTCAAGCACTTGGACGAGGCATGGCAAGCCAACGGGGCCAACAGTAGCCTCTACGACTGTCTCCTCGATCTGCCATCACAGCGCTTTCGAAAGTGCAAAGACCACCTCTTGGCTCCAAATGCGCTCCTCGATACACCGCTCTTTGCGGTTTACATGCCCCGGGCCGCGAGCACCTTGGTGCACGTGGCCGCCAAGCACGCACTCCGCGGCGGCGCCCCGGTGCTCGTGAGCGGCGCGCCGGACGCAGGCACGTCGTCGTGTGTCGTGGATCTGCTTCAGCGCCTCTCGGCGTTCTCCGCCCGCGGCCTCTCGCTGCTTGACACGCCGCTCGGACCGGTGACCGAAGACAAGACCCGGCTGGCCAACATGCGCATGAGCACGACGCTGCTCGTGTCGTCCATGGCCGGGCGCATGAAGCGCCGGCTCCAAATCGCAAAAGGTGATCCGGGGCGAAGAGACTCGACGTTCATGCTGTCGCGCAATGCATCGTCGGACGCGACGACGACAGCACTGGACGCTGGCAACGTCGTTGCTACGTGCTTTGCTCTCTCGTCCGCCACGTCGTCGGCCACGATCGAAGCGTACCTCGAACGGTGCTTGCAACGGGAGCGGCGCGCGGTGCTCGAACCACCGCCGGGCAAAACCATGTTGCTCTTTCTCGACGATCTGCACTTGCCGACGTCCAAGGTGATGTCCATTGTTTGACTTTGTCAAAATACGATAAGAATCCGTGTAGTATCCGTCGCCGCACGCAACGCTTCGGTCCACTCTCGACTGCCACCACGTCTACTTGGGCTCTGCCGTCGAGCCCCATACGATCGAGCACACACTATTGCTTGCGACTGCGCCGCTCAGTGTCACCTCGACGTTGACCGACATGACGTTGCCGGTGGCGCGACTGCTCAGTCGGTTCTTCCCGCTGGTACTGGACACCATGACGCCCACCGATGTGTATCAGGTCGATACAACATTGTCCAGTGTCCAATGTCGACAATTCATATTCGGTGTAGCTGGTGCAGCCACTCTTTGCAGCGCACTTTGAGCGACCGGACGTGCGCTACCACGTGTCGATTCGACAACAAGTCGGCGTCGTCCTGGCTGTTTCGATCGACTTGTTTGTCAATCTCCAGGCCAAGACACCCCACTTTCGCCTTCAGCACCTCTTGAGCTTTCTGCAGCACCTTGTGACGCCGATACCAAACACGATGGTGGACATTGCGAGTCTCGTGCGACTGTGGTGCCACGAAGCACAACGTGTGTTCTACGATGCGTCGCCGCTAACGACGACCGTGGCCAGTGAAATCGACAAGAGTCTGAGCTTGCTCCGCGACCGGACCAGCACGACAACGTTGCCCAACGACGCGATCTGGACGTACACCCCGCACGGATTGCTGCCGGGTGCCAAAGAGCCCGCCGACGTCCACGCCGCAGCCCGCGCGATGGCCCGTCGTCAGAGCTCCAAATCACTCGTGTCGACGTCGCCCGTGTCACTGCCACCGCCCATGGAGCCTCGCGATACGCATGTCTACGGAGAGCTTGCCACGGGCAGCGACGCGGTTGAAGCCGACATTGGCCGTCTTCAAGCGGCCTTGGCGCCGCACACCCCGCCGTCCTACGTCCTCACCCCGTCCGCGGTGCGGTGATTCTATCGACATCGATCGCGCTCTCATCCTGTCTTAGGTACTGCCACTCTTGCGCCTTTGTCGACTTCTTGGCGCCCAAGGACGTCAGTGCCTCTATGTGGGCGAGATTGGCTGCGGCAAGTCATCACTCGTGGCATCGGCGGCCCACCTCCTAGGGCATCGAATGTTGCACTACACGGCACGTGCTGCGATCTTGCTTGCAGTCCACCTCGACTGGGGCGTAGGGAGGCGACGAGAGCTGGCGGCACCTGCTGAAGTGCGGCGTGCGCTGCGCCGGCGTCGAGCAATGCGACGTGACGCTCGTTGTAGAACACAGCGTGCACATGTCCGAGCGCTCACTCGACGATCTCGTGCAGCTGCTTTTGGGCCGCGAAGTGCCATTGCTCTTTTCTGCCGACGACCAAGACGCCGTACGCACAGCCTGCGTCTCGTCCATTGATGGCACTATTGTACATAGATGGCGCGGCAGGTGCGCGACGACAAGCTCGCACACTTGACGCACCAGCACGCCGAGCAGCTCACCAGTCTCATTGGCGACAAACCGGAAGCGTCGCTCGAGCCAAAGCTGCAAAAGCAACACGACGCGCTTCTCAACGTACAGCACGGCGAGACGGACGACTTGCTGCGGCAGTTTGAAGCCAACGTCGATGTCAACCTCGCATCGGTCTTGCCCATCACCAAAGCCAACGGTGTCTTGGCGGGGATCTGGGCGGACATTTTGCGTGCGGCGCAGCGCAACCTCCGCGTCGTTGTCGTCGTGACACCCGAGGACCTTCGGCGTCTCGTGCAGCGCGCGCCCAAGCTCGCGACCGCAGTGCCCATTGCCACGGCGTCGGCGATGCCCCACCCGTCGGTCCATGCGATCTGCCGCGGCCACGTGGTTCGGGCGTGGCAACGCCATCAGTCGCGCGTCCTTCTCGTCGAGAAGGACGTTGAGGTCTTGGCCGCGATCGGCGCCATGTGCTACATCTCCGCCTCGGCAATCACTACGGGCGGTATGGCTTTACAAAGCATCGCCCTCTTTGCCCATCAGGTATTTGCTTCGCTCGAGCGCCTCTCGGCCGACGTGGATGCCCATGTGGTGCGACCCAAAGCGTACCTCGAGCTTGTCGCCAAGCTCCGTGCCGAGGTGCGATCCGCTCCACTGACAATTGTGTACGTATATGACGCTGCAGGTGGACCACGCCCAGGCAACCGAAGCGACACTGGTCGCCACGATGGAGACGACGGTCGCCGGCATCGCTGCGAAAAAGACGGTGCTCTCCACGCACCAACTGAGCGCGGATCAAGTATGTTCGTAGCCGACACGTTGGAGCTAAGAGACGCACTGTGCTTTGTAGTTGCGCCATCGTATGCGGGAGCAAAAATTGGACGTTGATGCGCATGTCGCAGCCACGAATGAGATGGACCACGCGACGCAGACCGATCTCAAGGACGCCCTCCGGACGCTGGACGATGCGAACGTGGCGGTTGCGTCCTTGGACAAGCGCTATATCACCGAGATCAAGTCGTTCATTCATCCGCCGCTGCTGGTGCACCTCGTGTTGAACGCTGTGTGTGTCCTCTTTGACGTCGACCCGAGCTGGGAGAATGCCCGGCGACTTTTGAGCGACGTCAACTTTGTCTCGACGCTCATTGGCTACAACAAAGTACGACGGGCTCATGTCGATAATGTGTATGGAAAGCAGGTGTAGGACACGGTGTCGGATGCGATTTTGGACAAGTTGTCGCCGTTCATGGACGACCCGAGCTTCACCAAAGACGAAGTCGTCAAGCAAAGTGTGGCCGCAAGCACCATGGTTGTGTGGATCTCGGCCATCTACGAGTACAGCCGCGTGCGCAAGCTCGTGCAGCCCAAGCTCGACCTCCTTGCGTCGTCGCAGGCCACCCTCCGCGAGCTCGTCAAGGCTTTTACCGAGTGCCAAGCGCAGCTCGACGCGGCCGATGCGGCGTCAACCGACCTCGAAACCAAGATTCAAATTGATATGCAAGCCAAGGTTTGCACGTCTGTAGTGAGCCTGTCACGCAGGCTGCGATGTGTAGAAAGAGCTGCAGGAGCACATTGAGAGTGCTCGGTATGTGGCCCGGCAAGGCGCGGCTGTGCTCTCGCTGCTAGCAGTCGAGACGGCTGCCATGACGGCTTCGCTGGATGCGGTACCGTTATCTCTGCTCCACATGTTGCATGAAGAGAACGCATAGATGCTCGAGATGGAGACGACGCTCTTGGTCGAAGCTGCGTTGACCGCCGCGATTGTTGTCTACATGCCCAGCGTCCATCGGGAGGCGCGCGTGACGCTGCTGCACCACTGGCGCACCGATGTCTCGGCGGCCTACCGCGTCCACCCGACGCTGTCGATCGTTGCCGACGGAGCTCCGCCGCCCTGGGCGCGCTGGCTCTTTGGCATTGGCCTCTTTCATTCGGGCGTGCACATGACAACCGCTGTCGCGCTGGCGCATGCGGTGAGTGTCGTTTTGATCACGAATCTGTCGACCGAGATGGACACTCTACTGCTCAATGTGCTCTCGGTTGACGACGCACCCAGCGTCGTGCAGGCGACGGCAAAGGAGATAAGTGCCGTTCTCGAGGCGTGTGCTACGTCGGGCGCTTCGGTTGTCGTCCACGATGTGACTCCGACAACGTTCCCGACCGTACGTGTGAGCCCTCGAAGACGGATGATGTTGAACTATCGCATTAGGTGGCGGATGCCGTGACGCGCGCCGAGGACGCGGCACGTAAGTGCCGCCTTGTATGCACCTCCCGTCTGCCGTCAGCCGCCTTTGGCGACTATGACGGACTCGTCGTCGACGCTGCCCTCGCGGCCGACACAGTCGAGGTAGATGCTGCTACTCGACAAGCATACACTGAGAGTGGTAGGCGATGCTGCTGGACGACATGTGCCGTGAGAATGTCGCCAACGCCAGTCGCAAGAGCGCCGGTTGCGCAACCCGCAGCCTTCAAGCCGCGATGCTCGAGCTCCGCGACGGACACGACAGCGTCATGCACCATCTTCGCGACATTGTACAACTTGTCCATGTTCAAAGTATCGGTATATACCCCATGACGTAGCTAGCAACCCTCAAGTTTACGGCCGCTGACATGGACAAGCTCAAGGACCTCTGCGCACACAATATGCGGATTCGGTCCGCGATGGCCGACGACGAAGCGGCACTGGCGACCGCCCTCAACGTGTACAAGTCGGCAGCGAGCCAGCGCTTGGCGCGCCTCGGTGCCCACGTCTTTGCGGCGCTGCCAACGCCATTGCCGCTGCCGCTCAACGGCTATCGCAAGCTCTACCTCCAGCTTCTGGTTGCTGTTGCATGTCGAAGACTGTCTCACAGCGTGCATAGGTGCCGGACAAGTGGCGGTCCCCGGAAGAATGGCTTGCGCTCGCTCTGGACCACCTCGCGCTCGCGATCGACGCCTCCGAATGGCCAGCGTTCCTATGGCGACTGGCACTCCGCTGGCACGACGACAACGTCCCACCTCGACCAGCATCTGGTGCTCTCTCGATACCGTCCACGGCCGCGTCGACAACCACAAGCGGACTGCGCAGCTACACGCAGCTGCAACTCAGTGTCTTCCTACCCCGCAGCCTTGCCAATGCAACGAGCCCGCACCTTCTCAAGCTCCTCCAAGCGAGTACGGCCGACGACCTTTTGACAGCGCTGCAAGAGCAAATGCCAGCGGCCAAGCGACGCCGGCCACGGCCAGAGGGCCACGACACGATCGAGGTGCTGAGTGCCTACTTGGTCGCTGCCTGTCCATCCGCGGTCCAGATGGCCCTCCTCTTGCAGCTGCTCTGGCCGTCGCCGCGGCTCGTGAGCTTCACAACCGAGTTTGTCGCGACAACCCTTGGGCTTGGGAAGCTCGAGATGCGGCTGCCGCCCACAGTGTGGTACCTGCAAGGGTCGTCGAAGGAGCTAGCGCCCTACTATCGCAGCATCGTAACACCCGCGCTCCCGACCTCGCGCTCCTACCTCGCACTCATTTTGGACATGACGACGCCGATGCCAGCGCAGCACAAGGCGCTGCACTCGCTTCTCCAGCGTCCTCCGCTCGCCGCGCCGGACGAGCCGTTTACCCTACCCGCGTTCGACTTGAGCTGGAACCAAAAGCTCCTCTGCGTCGCGTCCATTCAGCAGCTTTTGCACCTCGACGACAACACGCCGCTCATGCTAACGCAGTACAGCTGGCGCTGTCTCTACATTGCAGACCCCGACCGGCTGCACGCGTATACGCAGCACTACCGGCATGACGAGAGACTCGTGGGGGCACTCGCCCGTGACGAAGCGCCACCGGCGCCGTCGGCGATGGCCGATGCGGCTACCTTGCACGTGTGGCACCCAACGACGACCGTGCCTTCCACGATTGCACCGCATCTCTGGACGATGGCGCCACCGCGCGTCCCACCCTTTGCCCGGGCGCTCCGCGAGGCTGTCCTGCAGCTGGCGTCGATCCCGTTCTCGCCGCGCGTCGCCGACGGGCTTCTCGGGGCGCCGCTCACCGACGGTGCTCGTAGCACCCTAGGCATTGTGATCTGGCGCGTCCTCTGCAGCCTTTGCTTCTTTCATGCTGCGCTCCTGGTACGTTGCAGCGACGCGATCGTAAGAGCCTACGTGTCTGCTAGGTGCGACACGAGACGGTCATTGGCGCGACGGTCGACGTGGCCCAAGTAGATCCGAGCGATTTGACACTCAGCGTGCTCGAGCTTGTCGGACCGGTGCTCTCAGCGCTAATGCGACTGTATGCCCGGCGGCGCGACGACGCGCCCGACCCGTTTAGCGGCGTCGACTGGCCTCGCTTGCGCCAGCGTCTTTTACGTAGCGTGTACCGCCGCAAGTGCAAGACCGACCGCGGGTTAGAGCTGCTTGAGATGCTCTTGACCGAGGTGCTGGGCCAACACCTCGTGACGATGGACGCGTCACGGCTGCAATCACGCTTTCAGTTGCCGCTGCACAGCTTTTATGGGCTCTTTCACGATCGACAGGCGCTCTCGGCAGAGGACTATGTCCGTCTCCTCTGCGAATTCGCATCGACTGCGTCGTTCGAGTGGCCCGATGTTCGTGTTTGGGCCCCGCTGGCAACACCCAACGTGCACCACGTACTGCTATCGACCGAGCACCGCGTCCAGGACGACGTCGTGGCTGCGTTTGCCAACTTTCTGCACTGCCTCCAAGAGCGACTGCCGAGTCCACTCGTGCTCAAACTGCACCCGCGCAATGCGAGCAACAAGCCGACGCCGATGCGCAGTCTCTGCAAAGCGGTCGTGCGATTGTACCAAAGCGACATGGCCACGTTGACAGCGACACTGCAAGCGCTCGCACCGCCATCGGGTGTACGCTACAGTGAACTGCCCTCCCAAGCTACGTCGGACATGACGCTGCTGCTGCAAGACCACGTGCCATCGCGGTTCGCCATGCATGGCCTGCGCGTTGGCACCATGTCGCTTTCGAGCTACTTGGATGTGATGGAGCGCCACGCTGCGTTTCTGCAAGCGTGGTGGGACGAAGACCATGTCGAGTGGTACTGCCCGAGTGTGCCGTCGCTTGATGTACACCATGTCGTCTCCATGGCGAGTCTCTTAACGTTGGACTAGGAGCTACTCGAAACGTTCCTGCTCACTTACGGCGTGCAGAGCAATCGCGACGTGGCACAGGTCTGCGTCGTCGTCGACGTCTTTGCGGCCTCGGCATCGATCCCCAATGGGCAGCGGCGGTACGAGTCTATGGTCCTCACGGGGCTCACGCTCCTCAATGCGGCGCCCAATGCCGCGCTTGGCATTGACACGATTGCTGGCCACGAAGCTTCCGTCAAGCTGCTCGTGCATGCGGTCGAGACGCCGCCGACCGATCGGCGCACGATGACGTGCCCGATCCTTGGTAGCCGCGTCGACGCGACGGTTCTCGGCACAGTGCCTTTGGGCGTGTCGGCACCGTCGGTGGCGACGTGTCCGGTGCTCGTCGTGTCGCCATAAGATACAATAAACTTGTACTGTGTTGGACAATACGTGTGGATTGTAAAAGGTAGTAGTACGAAATGCGTGGTGTAGTGTACAGACGGCGAGGACGACGAGGGTTAGAGGTGCATGGCCTTGGGCATGACAATGGCCTTTTGGCCGAGCTTGTGCGGGCTCACGGCCGACACGATGTGCGCCGGCGAATGCGCCTTGGGCGCCTCGTCGTGCACGTCGTGCTTCTTGCGGAACGCTTCCTGCTGCTCGTCCGAGATGGCCTTGGGCGTGTCCACCGTGTCGTACGAGTTGATCGAGAGCGACCGCGTCCGGATGGGCGCGACCGTCGGCGCTTGGTGCTTGCCGATCGGCGCCGAGTCAATGTCGCTCGGCATCTTCACGGGCGTCTGCGTCTCCATGTTCCGTCTTAGTCGAAGCTTATTGCAAAGTGCAATCTCGGAAACGTCCCCGGGGCTCCACGCACACTTGAAATTTGTATGCAAGTTGCACCCGTATCTTTCGTTTTCTCGGCGCCCCGGGCCGCGCGAACCGTTTCGTGAGGTACAAAATAGTGTTGTTTTGTGCCGATATTGACGAGACGCTGCAGAATCGTGTCGCGATCCTCGCCCGTACTTGCAACGCCTTGTCCTTTCAAAGTATTTGGGCAATACGTAGTTCGGCAAGGCCAACTTCCATGTCGTTCAAGGACGGCAAATAGGCGTGCGGTTGGCGTCGAGATCGAACAAATAGTGTGCGTTGAAGATAGTGTTCGAATCTTGGATGTGGGTGCAAGCTGGATGTCGCACACTATTGCGCATCTTGCCCTGACGTCACACTATTTCTAGAAAAGGTTCTCCGGATACAGCAGGTGGCACAGTATCCGGACAATCGAGGCAGCGATGGACCAGATCGCGCAGCTCCAGGAGGACATCCACAAGCTCAAGAAGGTCGTCGATGGCATCTTTGAGAAGATGTAGGATGCTGCTGGCCGTGACCTTCGTGCTCATGCTCGCGACGTAGCGAATCGGACAAGTGCAGCGCGGCCGATGTCTATGGTACGTCACGACGACGATCGTCGCCATGCTCATGCATCCCGTCGTAGCCGACAAGGACAAGGCCATCGAGATGATCAACCGCCTCTGTACCAAGGTATGTATGTGTACATTGCCTGCCACGCGCGCCCACCGTGACAATTTAGATGGGCGAATCTGACATGCTCGACCTCACCACGTCGCCGGCCAAGGACATTGGCGCCGACGTCGTCCAGGTTTTACGTCCGACGTCCTACCACGTATCTTACGCATGGATGCAGGAGCTCAAGGAGAAGATCGTCAAGCTCCAGAGCGAACGCATGAGCCTGCACCGGCGAACCGAGGCGTGCGTCAAGGGTCTTTTTTAGCTCGATAGCAACACCAACAACACCAACCTGTCTATGTCGAGTGGCATGTGGCGTCGTCTTCGCCCCGGTACTAGCGACGGGCGTAGCGAGGTTGGTGCGTCTCGCCTTTGGCGCTTGCCCATAAATCTGCATGCCAACTGCACATCGCAAGAGATACGCTACCGCGACTAGGACAAGCAATGCTGTTGCTGCTCGCGGCCATGGCGGCGGCGACGCTCGTGCTGCCTGTCCCCCTCCACGCCGGCGCCAGTGGATTTCTCAAACGACGTGTAATGGGCCGTCGGACCATGATGCAATCTCCGTTTCCACCAATCGGGCACGGCCGCTGAAGCTCAATTGAGCGCGGATTATTCGGCGAATGAATCGAGGTCTCTATGCAAGTGGCTATAGACGCGGCGCTGTGTCCATTCGCAACTCAATTCTTGAAGCCGCCATTGAGTTTCAACAGGACGAAAGCTTGCAGTTTGTATGGCGCGTATCCGGATTGAGCAATGGGGACGGCCGATGCAGGGGCGGTTGTCCGGATACGGGGCGCAAGAGCCAAGGTGAGGTTTACAGTCGGCAAATCCAGTCAATCACTTTCCTTGTTTATCGACGATGCGTGTGGTACAGATCCTCCAGCGCAGCGGCCGCGTGCTCGGCGCCCGCTCCACCGTCGCCGCCCGCGCCTTCTCTTCTCTGCCCGACCATGAGGTCGTCGGCCTCCCGGCCCTGTCCCCGACCATGGAGATGGGTACGATCTCGGCGTGGTTGAAGAAGGAAGGCGACAAGATCAGCGCCGGCGACGTCATTTGCCAGGTCGAGACCGACAAGGCCGTCGTTGACTTTGAGGCCCAGGACGACTCGTACCTTGCCAAGATTCTCAAGCCCGAGGGCACGGCCGACATCAAGGTATGTGCGACGCGACGCGGGGACATTTGCGAGGGATGCTGATGGAATGCGTAGGTTGGCGAGCCCATCTTTGTCACGGTTGACGAGGCCAGCTCGGTCGCGGCCTTGGCCACGTTTACGGTCGGCGCCAACGCTGCGCCGGCGGCTCCTGCCCCGGCTGCGGCCGCGCCGGTTGCCGCGGCGCCTGTCGCTGCTCCCGTTGCTGCTGCTCCTGTCGCGACGCCGGCGCCGTCGACAATTGCTGGCCGTATTGTAGCTAGCCCGTTGGCCAAGAAGATTGCGCGCGAGTCGGGTGTGACCCTCGCCGGCGTCTCGGGCTCGGGCCCGTTGGGCCGCATCATCCGCGCGGATGTTGAAGAGGCGCTTGCCCGCGCCCAGTCGCAGCCGGCGGCCGCGGCGCCTGTCGCCGCTGCGCCGGTTGCGGCCGTCGCGGCCCCGATTGTCCACGGTGACTTTACCGACGTCCCGCTCTCGGCCAAGGCCCAGGCGTTCGCGGCGCAGTTGACGCAACAGAAGCTCGACGTGCCGCACTACCACTTGACGATCGACGTGACGCTCGACAAGCTCCTCTCGGGTACATTGCTTCCTCCATCATCCTTCGTCATCCAGCAAAGCCCATGCACATCATCTGTAGCGCGCGACCTCTTGAACAAGACGCGTGGCGAAACCGAGCAGCTCTCGGTCAACGACTTTATCGTGCGCGCCGCGGCGCTGACGATGAAGAAGATCCCGGCGGCCAACTCGGCCTGGATGGGCACCTTTGTGCGCCAGTTCCACAACGTCAACATCAGCATGATGATGTCGGTCGACGGCGGCGTGCTCGCGCCCGTCCTCCGCGACACGAACCTCAAGGGCCTCGACGGCCTCAACGCCGATGTCCGCGACCTCGTCGAGAAGGTCACGAACGAGCACTCGGACTTGGCCGACGACGACTTTGAGGGTGGTACCTTTACGATCAGCAACGTTGGCATGTACGACGTCAAGGCCCTCGCGGCCATCGTGAGCCCCAACCAGGCGTGCTCGCTTGGCCTCGGCGTCATCTCGAAGCGCGTCGTGCCCAACGACGACCCGGACGCGACCCAGATCTACAAGTTTGCGACGCAGATGACGGCGACGCTCGCCTGCGACCACCGTGTCATTGATGGCGCGACCGGCGCCCAGTGGCTTGCGTCGTTCAAGGAGCTCGTCGAAGACCCCTTGCGCATGATTCTCTAAGTACATTTAATAGACCAAGTCACGCGTACGCGTTGTCGACACATGTCCTTGGTGGCGGGAAGAACGAGGGAATCCCCCATCGCCTTCACCTCGCTTCATCGATCTCGCAGGGACTTCCCCGCCGTATCCGGATCCAGCGTTGGTTGGTGCTTGTCCAGACGCACGCAACTTTACATGCCGCACCGCCGACGCAGACGCAGCAACAGTCGACCGGACGCTGGCCATGAATGCGCTCGCACAAGACAGTGCATGTGCCGTAGCGCGAATGGCGTTTGCAAGCCGCGTGCCGGTGGCCATTGCGCCGGAAATGCCTTGTTGAACTGTACGTTGGGTGTATTTAGTGTATCGGGCCGGACCATCTTGATATTGGCGCGTTGAAGTCGACAGCATGACCGACGACGTGGTCAAGGACGAGAACTGCGAGCGCAAGGCGCAGTGGCGCGTCACGGTCGACGACGTCCTCCTGACGCAAAACTTCTTTGGCCTTGGCGAGAACAGCACGGGCGGTGCGCTCTGGGACTCGTCGCTCGTCCTCTGGGCCAAGCTCCGGACAATGGCGATCGCAAGTCGCACCGTGCTCGAGCTCGGCTCGGGGGTCGGGTTCCTCGCCATCAAGATGGCATCCCAGGGCGCTCACGTCGTTGCTACCGACGGCGACATTGAAGCGATTTCCATCTTCCGCGACAACGTTCAGCGCAATGGCTTGCCGCCGATCCCAGCCCACCACTTGTCTTGGTTGGCCATCGTTGCCTCCACGAACGCGCCTCGTATGTCATTCTTTCTCTAGGGGTGACGCCGCGTCGCTCGCCGCCTTCCACGAGACATACCCTTCAACGTCGTGGGACTACCTCGTTGGCGCCGACTTGATCTTCAACGCCGACTACCACGACGCGCTGCTGGCAACGTTGGTGGCTGTCGTCGTGCGCCCCGAGACGCGCGTGTTGCTCGCCTATCGCGTCCGAGACGAAGACAAGTACGAATGCGTTGACGCACTTACCTCACTACGTCCTGACTACTATTAGGGAGGCGATGTTTCTGGAGAAGGTCCAAGGTCCATTTGTACTTGTGGAGGTACGCTTCCAGTCTAGTGATGGCGCAACAACCTTGAGTTCTAGAGCGAAGAGGTCGGTGAGACGGGGATCGTCTATGTGGAGCTTCAAAAACGTACGAGTACTCGTAGTACAGAACAATAATGCAGACAATTCTGTGCAAAGAATTATGCAGATTCCACTCTTATCGTGCGTGGATGGTTGGTCGTCACTGGACGGTCGGCGTTGAAGACGAAAGATCGCGCGCCACTTTGCACAACAACTGCGTGCACAAAGCGTTTCGCGAGTCGGTGTCGCAGGGTGTCTCGTCACAAAACTAAAGACCGAAACGAACTCGTCGATGCGGTCGAGGACTGCGGTCGCACCGTCCGTGGCCCAGGCGCTCATGCCAGAGACTGCGCATCGACGTGCGTTTGCGCTTCTCGGGGTGCTGTACGTGCTCGTTTCGCTCAGCGTAGGGCTCTGGTACCTCTCTCTCCTCGCGCCGAGCCTCGCCAACGACTTTTGGTGGGCGGGGTATGCGCCAACGCGCCACGAAGCGTTCCTTGTCGACGTGATCAACGCGCAGCTAATGCTCACCCGTGCAAATGCCCTCGATGTGTACGCCGCCGATGCGACTGTCCACAAGCGCTACGCGTCACCGACGGCAACCACGAACGTGCCGCCAACGTACGCGCGGCGCATTCTCTTGAGTGAGCTTCAATCGATCGAGTACGCGGTGCCGCAGCTGCGTCTTCTCAGCGCGCGCTGGTCCATGCGCATGTGCGTACAGCATTGCTGGGTCGACTTTAACAGGACGTTTCAAGTCGCCCACACGGAAGCACGCCAGCGCCGGTGCGAAGACAAGTATGGGACAAACGCAGCGGTCTACATGGAAGCCACATTGCGCAATGTCGTGTGGACCGACTATGTCACCGTCTGGGGCGGTGAGAACGGCCCATTTACCGTCGCTTTGGAGCTCGCTCTGCAAGAGACCAGTCGCGGTCAGTCCTTCCTTTCCAGCGTCGCGACGGCGCGCGCGACCACGTCGGTGGCCGACGAACTCGCCTACTGGCGACGCCATGCGATGCGTTCGTTTGAGCTGCAGTGGCAGAACCGGTATCGGCCGGGCGTGAGCGAGACCATGGTCCTGCAGAACGCACTGGGGATGCCACAGCTTCTGACGCTCAAGGATATCCCGCAAGGCGCCGGGCCATGGACGTCGGTGATCCTCTTTTGGCTACCGCTCAACGACCTCTGGCAAAATCAAGTGCTCAACCGCAGCCTCATTCGAGGCTCGTCGCGCTATTTTTTGGCCAACATCTCGGCGGACTTGCCGGCTCTCGACATCGAGGTCATGCACGGTGACACGACGGTGCCCGGGCAGTTTGTCGCTCAAGCCGCTCAATTCCGTGCCCTCATTGGCCCTTTTCAGAGTATTGATTGCCTTCATGTTGCTGTGCCACACTCCCTTTTAACGGCGGTCGCCGCGCTTCGCGTCGCGTCGGCCAACGACGTAGCTGCTCTGGTACCGCCGACAACACCCATTCAACTGCTGCCACTGACATGGCACGGCCACAGCTATTACGGCGGCAGCCCGCTGTGTGTTATGTTGCCAAACACGTCGTACGTGCAGCAGTCGTTTGATTTTACGAACGACTGCTCGTCGCCCCAACCGCTCGAAGTCGTACTTGACCCGCTCGCGCTACTGGTGGCACGCGTGGCCAGCGCCACTGCATTCTCCATCGAGACTGCGTGCGCTGCGGCAGCGCCTTTGTCGGTACCCACGTGCAGGGCCGCGCTCCAGAGCGTCGATGCGCTCTATGTCAAACACGTGGCAACCGCGGATTGGCCGGCCGCGCAACACGATATTGGCCTTGGTGTTGGGCTGATGCAATATGCCACGACCGCGACTGGCGCATGGCGCGTGCTTCGACAGCCACTACTGGAGCCGAGCTTTGCTTTTTTCGGCTGGATGTTTGTCACCGACTGGGCGCTGGGGCGTCGAGAAGTCCTCTCGTTCCAAGGCGACGTCGACAGCGTACCATTGATCTCGAACGTCGAAGCGCCGCTGGTGTACACAACAGGCACGCAAGAGCTGCAGACAGCCACGCAGATTCTCTTCTACCTCGTTGTCGTCACGTCCATCGTCTTGACGAGCGTCGGCGGTGTCGCGCTCGCGTATGCATGCTACGCGCGACGGGGCTTCCATGGCGCCAACCTCTTTGTGTTCAATCGCGTCACGAGTGCGGTTTGGCTCGGTCGGCCGCTCACCTTCTTGCGCGCTGCCTCGGCGACACTCCTCCTGAGCTCTGTGCATACCTCGCTCGAGACGTCGGCGGCGGGCACATCGCGCTTGGTCGCGACGCCACGCCACTGTATAGTCGCGGCCGTCGTTGCCGGTGAAGCTACATGGCTCACGTACGTTCTCAACGATCTTTTGGTTCTTCTCACGCAGCAACGTACGCGGGAGTCGAGCTTTTTTGCGAGCACGCTCGCGTGGGGTGTCCTCTTCTTGCTCGACTTGATCTCTCCGATTCAGGTGACCGGCGTCCTCGACCGCCACTGCGTCGGCACCAACATGGACTATTCCGTCTCGTGCACGAGTGGGGTCCTCTATATGGGCAGTTCGACGCGCGTAGCAGTGATCGCTACGATCCAAGTCGGAAGCGTCCTGCTTTCGTGGACGGCGCTGACGCTCTGCTCGCCCCACCGGCCCATATTGCCGGGACCACTGCTCTTAAATGGACTAGCCGACGCCGTCTTGACGCTGGCCCCCGGCTCGTCGTCAGAGCAATGTGCGATGGACCATGTCGCATGCGTCCTTGCCGGAGTGCTCCCGTTCCGTCTACGCGGTCTCAAGTATCTGTTCGACATCAAGCTCTGGGTGCTCGTCCGAGACACGCTCTCGACGTCGCCGCAGGTCGTCGTCTTGCCACGTCCGACGCTGCGCCAACGCACACCCGTCGATGGCCCCGCCCCGACACTCATCGAGCTCGTGGACAAGCCGTCCGTTCGATGGCGTGTTGTGCGTCGCATTGTCGGGCTCAGCTATGTCGTATCCTCGATTGTGAGCTCGATCTCGTATCTCAGCATCTCGCAAGTGAACCTCTCCAACGATCTGTTCTGGGCGAGCTTCAACAGTACGGGCGCCCACGCCTTCTTCGCCAACTGGCTCAACGAGCAGCTCATGCTTGGCACGACAGCGGTGCCCGCGCTCGAGTTGACGGCACCGCGCGTCACGCTTCCAACATCGTTTGCTGCAGCGTCGACGGTGGTGACGTCGCCAGCCAACTATGGCGCCCACCTCCAGCACACGCTGCTCGATTCGATCGAAGCGTCCATTGGCGGTCTTCGTCGCTCAAACGGCTGCAGTGCGCCCTGGATCTTTTCGCCGTACTGCTATCTCGACTTGGAAGCGCGATGGGAGATGGCCAACTCGGCCGCGCGGCAGTGGCGCTGCCGCACCATGCGGTCGAATGGCGCCGTGTACCTCGAATCCGTTCTTCGCAATACAAATCTCGCGTCGCTAAACGCGTGCTGGGGCCAGCGTTTGGAGACGGCAATCCTAGCGGACTTGCGTCGTTCGTCGGCCGGCCAAACGTGGATCGACACCACCTTTGACGCGTCGCTCTCGGTCGAGGATGAAGCGGCCTACTGGCGCGCACAGGGCCTCACGCACTTTAGAACACAGTGGCAAAACTACAAGCGCATTGGTGTCCAGAGCAGCTACTCGATTGGAAATGCATACGGCGTCACGTACCCGCTCAAGCTCGCTTCGCAAGAGACAACGTACCGGCTTGGAATGCAAACGTCGTTCAAAATGTACTGGGCACTCGCCAACGATCTGGACGCCATCGATCGCAACACGTCTGGCATCGGCGGTTCGAGCCTGCTGCGACACAGTGCCAACTACGCCTTTGCCAACACGAGCTTAGCTGCTGTGTATGCGCTCAACGGGTCCTTGCCACTGCCATTGCCTCGGAGCTTGTCGCTGACTGCCTCGCAATTGGGGCCCTTTGGGTCCATCGATATGCTGTACGTTGCGCCACCGCGGGCACTGCAGCGCCTTGTCGCGACGATCACGGACCGCACGCGCACGTTGCTCGCAACTGACCGTGCCGCCAAAGCCGCGTATGATGCTATCACGCCCCTCGACGCCTCGTACCCGGTGCCCAGTGCGTGGATCACCGCCAGCTTTGCGGCGTATGGCAGCTCACCGCTCTGTCCCGAGCTCAGTTCGGGGCAGCTCATCTCCGTTGGGCTCGTCAACTTGCTCTCGTACGATGCGACGTGCATGGCGCACTCGGGCATCGTGTCCAAAGTGCAGCCGACGCGCCAACAGTACATTGTCAGTGCGCTTCTCGCGCAGCTCGCTATGAGCGACAACTACACTGCCGTGTGCCGTCATGAGCCGTCGTATCTGGCGGCGTGTCTTGTCTATCTCAACGCGACGACGTCGTTTGTGCACACCAATCTGAACCCCTCGGATTTGGCGCCAAACGTGCTGCAAGTGCGCGACCTTGTGCGCGCCATGAACGTCTCGTTCATGCTGTTTACAGCGGCGTCGACGGCAGGCGCGCCACTACAGCTTGTGACGGTCAACCTCCTCGACGTTGACGAAGCGGGCTTTGCGTTTTTCGCTTATCTTTTTCTCTACGACTGGGTCGTTGGCATCCGACAAGTGGTCACGTTTCAAGGCGATAGCGGCGCACTCACGCTCATTACGGACGTCCAAGCGCCACTGAGTCAGCCGCCACAGGCGTCCGAGATACCGAGAAACATTGCCCAGTACTTTCGGTCTGGCGTGCTCTACGTCACGTGCGTCATGATGGCGATTGCCGGTCTCGCGACCCTGTACATGCTCGCTTCCCACGGACAGTTTGAGGGCTGGAACATGGCCGAGTTGGGTCGTGTCGGTGGCATTGTATGGGTCGGCCGTCCGCTGCTATTGCTCCGTGCGATGACAGCGCTCTGCGTGCTTGCGACTGCGACGATCGAGCTGACGTACGCGGGGTCTATGAGCGGCTTTGCAACGACCTACGATCCGTGGTACAAGACGCTTCTCGCCGCCAACGAAGTGACGTGGCTTATCACGATCGTCAACGATGTTCTTTTGGTGGCCACTGGCGATTACGCAGCGTACTATGTCACGCTCAATAGCTTTCTCGTCTACGCCGTGGTCGCGGTGATCACGCTCGTGTCGCCCGTGACACCCGCCGCGTCGATCGATTTGCATTGTGAGCTATACCAAATGGATGCGTTGGTCGTTTGTGACGCCGGCACAATCTATATTGGCCGCATTGAGCGACTGGTGTTGCTCTTGGCGACTGTGGTTGTCTCCCATGGTGTGTGCTACGTCATTGTGCGTCGTCATGCGACGCCGAGGACGCAGGTGCCGTCCCTCTTCCTCTCGTCGGGTGCCAAGTATCAATTTACGCAGACAGAATGGGTCCTGCATGACACCTACCACCTCGACCGAGCCTCGGCCGCCCTCGACGGACTCCTCACACTACGTGTTCACGCCCACATGATCTTGCTCGACATCAAGACGTGGCGGACTTTTGTGCTTCCTACAAAGAGTGCCGCAGACACTTCCATCGCCCTCGCGGCTGCTGTGCCGTTGCTCGAGTAGATACTGTCGTAGATCATGACGACATTTGGTTCTGGTCTCATCGATCGGACGTGCACTCAACTGGTACCGGCCTCGACTCTTTTGGTGGACATCGTCATAAGCCTCGATGCATAAGCCTTGAAGCACGAATCATATCGATTGCCAAGCTACCACAATTAATCACAACACGGTGGAGGAGTAGCTCAGGTCTAGCGCTCCGATGTGTTGGTTTTTGGCCCAGGCTCATAAGCTCCGAGCCAATCGTATATTACTATTATTGTAGTACCTAGGCCTTGCTAGTATTGGGTTACTACGTTGGCCCGCGATACGTATACAACTAACAGGAAGCACTCCAACTCGAATCGAGTTTTTTGCTCGTGGCTCCATGCCATGATTGCAATATTTCGTCGAACCAGAATGTGACCACACAACTCGCTTACAACAACACTTCTCGGACGACGCATTGCTCCTGCCTTTGCCTGCATGCTTGGTGTTCATTCGATCTACACGGCGTCACGCTCGCGCAGTTGTCGGCGTACTCAACGGCCTGTCTAGGGAGCGCCGCCGCCTTGATACAAGCCCCAAAAATTGCCAAGCGAGAGCCTGGCGAATGTGCGATACTATTACTCAGATGGGCTTGCTGGGGTGCTGTGTGGCCTGTCGCGACTCGCTGGCTGTCGTCGCTCAGGAACGTCGTCGGTGGAGAAGGCGAACGGTCGAGGAGGCGGGCGGTGCGACCTTGCAGGGGCCCACTTCAACTTGGCAGGTTATCCGGATTTTTAAAAAGGTATGACTAGATACTTGTATGGTTTCATTATATTGGAGTGGCCACACTTGATTTTTGTATACCGTTGAAGCGCAATATTCCTCGCCGCACCGTATCCGGACGCGACCTTGACAACCTCAAGCCACTTGCGATTTTCCATCGGCCATGGACATCTACAGCCCGCTGCGCAGCACGTACGGCTCGAACCCGACCGAGAGCCTCTTGAGCCGACCACCGCGGCGCCATGCCCGGCGCATGGCCCTCTTCCTCGTCCTCAACGCGGTCGCGATTGGCGTTATGTTCGCCATGGGCGTCGTCATGCACACCTCGATGACGCGCTACGACACTGCGCTCGCACACGTCCAAGCGCAGCACACGAGCTTGCAAGCGACCGCGCTCAAGCTCGAAGAGGCCTCGGGGCTTCTCAAGGCCGTCGACATTACCGACAAGATTCCGCAGTCGCATGCCGAGGCGCCAGCCCCGGCGTCGCTCGAGGCGCAGCTCGCCGAGCTCCGGCGCATGACCACGATCCTCGAAGCGATGCCGCACGCGATGTTGCCGACCAAGTTTACTGCCAAGTACATTACGCCGCACAAGAACCAAGTGCGGCGTGGCACGTGCTGGGACTTTGCAACCATCTCGTACCTCGAATGGTCGTACCGCCAGCACGGCGTGACAAAAGGCTTCTTGCACGAGGACGCGTACGTGGCGCTCTCCGAGCAAGCGTACGGCACGCGTGTCATCAACCTTTGTGCGGGCCCGATCTCGTCGCCGCAGCAAGTCGTGTGCCGGGTCGCGGGCGACGAGGTTGATACCTTGATACTGTTGCAACGCTGACATGTCTCGTCTAGTTTTGGAATAATTCGACCGAAGGCGGTGAGAGCTCGGCGCTCTTCTACCTCGAAGACGGACTCAAGGATGCCATTTTGCCCGAAGCTGTTTGCCCGTACATCGGCGACCACGGCCCGAACGACACAGTCTGTGACGGCATGGACGCTGCGCTCCGCACCAACCCGATCCGGTTTGAAATGAAGGTACACAAATTTTATCAAGACGAATATTGTGGACAAGATGTCTGCTAGCGCATGTATACCTACTACGACGACATGACGGCCAAGCGCGAACTCGTCAAGCAAGGCGCGGCCTTGGACCTGAGCACGTCGATCGCGTCCGTGACGCACTACTACCCGTGCATCGATGCCTTCTACGACGCGGCCCACTGCGCGCCGTCATCGTGCACGCTGTGTCCGGCGAGCTTGACGCAAACCACGTGCTGCGTGCCGCAGTTTAGCATCAAGGCGATCAACATGGAGGGCGAGTACCTTCATGACCACTCGATGACGTATCTTGGCGGTCACGGCATGGTACTATCAATCTATCAAGTTGTCAAATCTTGACATATGTGTGTTGTAGCTTATGGTGGGCTACAATGATGCCTTCTTGACCCAAGACGGCTACACCGGTGGCTTCATCTTGAAGAATTCGTGGGCCGACGGACCGACGCAAGGGTCGCACTCGATCAAGTGGTGGCTGCAAGACATTTCCGACTGGGAAGAGCGCATTTTGTGCCCCAACAGCCACAGGTATCTATCTCTTTTTCTTGTATTTGTTTCAAAAGACAATATTTGTGTCTAGTCCGATGAACTATTATGCATGCGGGAATGCGGCGGTTGCTGTCAACAATGCCACACCGTCGCCCAAGTGGCACGCGGGGTTTGCACCGTGCATGGAGCCCAAGATCGAGATGTTCGCCAATGTCTCCAAGCAGCCGCTGCACCTCGACTGCACCGCCGCTATGTGCTCTGCCAACGCCACGTACTTTGTCAAGAATTCGACCGACTATGGTGACAAAATGTACAAATTTTGCCTCTGGGAGCTCGACTCGGCGACCAACGCGACGCGTGATCTGTGCCTCAAGCCCAACCGCCTCGACGGGATCGCCAAGGAGCTTACACCGCGCGTCGCGTACCCCAACGACCCGGACCTCTGCGGCTTTTACTTCATGCCGTACGAGACACTACGCGCGTACAACGCCCGCTACAAGGGTCTCCGGATCCACAGCTTTGATATGACGTGGGCCGACTCGAGCTACGTGGCCAACAAGGCCAAGTTCCCGCAGTACGACTACACCCTGCTCGAGGCGTCGACCAAGAAGCAGCGCCGTGCCGACTTTCCGGGCCCATTCCCATTTGCAGAGCACATCAATTTTCACAAAACTTAATTTTGTCAATGTGAAAAAATGTCTTGTTGGCCGCTCAAAGGACATTAGGACATTTTACACAAAGGACAATATTGGTATTTGTGGCCTTAGGTTGCATGGCGATGTCGGTGCGCCTTGAACACGTGCGCATTGGGGAACGGCCCGTCAAACGAGACGTGCCGCTGGCGCTTGGTGGACCGCAGCAGCGGGCCATAGTCGTACTGCAAAAAGGCGTCCGCGTTGGCCGCATACGATTGCGGCGCCCACGAAATGTCAAAGCTGTTGACAAAAAATCCTTGGAACTGCGCGTTGATGTGGCGGTTGACGTCGTACGGGATCATGTAGAAGCCGCACAAATCCGGGTCGTTGGCGTAGACTTCGACGGGTCTATGGAAATATAGACAATAATTTCCACACAACGGCGACAAATAGCGTACTCGAAGACGTCGGCAATGGCGGCTTGCCGCAAGGGGGGCAGGCACATGAGCGTCGACGTGTCATACGACATGTTGTACTCGTAAAAGCACATGATGTACATGTGGTCGCCATAGTCGGTGCGATTTTTGGCAAAATAGACCAGCGACGGGTCGCACGCATCGGCGTCGATGCAGCGCAAATGCAGTGGCATCTGGTTGAGGTGCGCGTAGAGCTTCGAGTCGTCCGACAAGACGGCGTCGATACCGACAACGTCGTCTTCCTCCGAGGCGATGTACCAGCTGAACGGACTAGACATCAAATGAACTCGCGTCGTCGGTTGGAGAATGAGGTACTTGTAGCTGTTGGGGCACAGAATGCGCTCTTCCCACTCGGAAATGTTCTAGCCAAACCCAATTAGATCGAGATTTGCCAGCGCTTGCCTACCTGCATCCAGTACTGCATCGAATGACTGCCTTGATACCGGCTGTCCGCCCACGAATTCTTCACGATAAAGCCACCAGTGAAGCCATCGCGCGTCTCATAGAGGTCGTTGAAGCCGACGAGCAGCTATTCAACGCAATAAGAAATGACCGCGTTCAATCACAGTACCATGACGTGGCCGCCGTCACTGGCCATGCTCGAGTGGGACACGAATTCGCCTTCCATTGTCACGCTGCTGTCGCCGGTCTGCGGGATGCAGCACGTGGCTTGCGGCAACTCGGGCGGACAGAGGTGGCATGATGACGGGGCACAGCGTGGGTCCGTCACGAGGTCGCCAATGCAAGGGTAGTAGTGTGTGAGCGTCACCATGTTGGTCGAGAACGGCATGGCGCTGCTGCGCGCAACGAGTTGGGCCTTGATCGTCGCCTCTTCGTAGTACGTCTCCATCGCCTACGATTTGATGGCTGTACATGACAACATGTTTAGCTTCCATGCCCGAATACCTCGACTGTGAAGCGGAGCGGGTTGCTCGGTCGGCGCAAGGCAAGGCCGGGGCATTCAAGGTCGTGGCCCATCGTCGGAATGTACGGACAGACGCTGTCGGGGTAGACGGCGTCGTGGAGCCCGTGCTGGAGGTAATAGAGCAGTGGCACTTCGCCGCCCTCGGTGGAGTTGCGCCAAATCTGCAAGTGCAAAGTCAAAGAGTGCACGACGCTCGCCACATACATTGTCGTCGGCAATACGACACGCTTTTTGCTGGGGCGACGCGCTGCGACCGGTGCACATGGCCGCGACTTCGATCCCGTACGCCTAATGGCATGTTCAATCAAATCAATTACAAAACACAGGAGCATACTTGTTCCGAGAAGGCCACATAGTCGTGGGGTGCGAGCCAGCCTTGCACAACGCCGTGGCGCCGGTACGACTGCTCAAGGAGCCCAATCGTGCCAAAGTCCCAGCACGTCCCGCGGCCGGCTTGGTTCTTGTACGGCGTCACGTACTCGACGCTAAACTTGGCGGGCAAGCTCGGTAGTACGACCGTGCTCGTCATGGCCCTACCAGCACACGAAATTGAGCCTTCGCTGGAGAAGAGAGGACACGAGTACGTCGGCGAGGCGGCGACGTTGACGGCCGCGATGGTGCGGGCAGCGTTCGCTGTCGAATTGTGGAGGTCCCATCCGAGTAGCAAGAGAATCCCGACGTTCATGACCATGATAACCCCGAGTCCATAATGCGTGAGCCAACGCTTCGAGATCTGCAGGCGGCTTCGACGCAAAACGGGCAGTTGGTCCTGGGACCCGTACAGCGGCGCGTACTGAGACGACTGCAACATGACACAGCAAAATCGCTTATGCCGTACGCGCTCAGGAGCGTGCCACGTGGAACGAATTTGGCGCGAAATGTAACTGTCTCTGCCACAAAGGCGTCGGTTCCGACTCTCCCCCGATCGGGCGTTGTCCAACTTCAAGCGGGCAAGACGCCGCGACATGCCCCGCAGCGGTCGGTCGCCGACATGTCTGTAGACACGTCGTTGTGTGGGAAGGTACTACTAGTAGCCGCCTTGCGCCTCCAATTTGGGTGGTTTCGTGTCGACCGATCGGCATGTGGCGATTCGAATCGCCGCTTCTCTTCCCCGTGCAGCACCGCACTACTACTGGGACGTATACCCAGCGAGTCCCCAGCGCTTGTGTGAAAGTAGCTTGCAAAATCATGTCATGCTTTGATGCTTGGGTGCGCCCTGCTCTGGCTACTTTGAAGCAGCTGCTGCCAACTGAGAATCTGCGCTGGCGAGTCGTTTCGCCAGGTTAGGAGGTAGAGTCTGCGTGACTCACTCGCTATGTATACTCATGTGCTTCGTCGATGCGGCGCGCGAACGCCGACCGTGGGCTTGGCTGGGGCGTCGCAACTGATGCCAACGCGAGTCTCTCTCCTTTGATACTGATTTTCGAGAACATCGAATATGACAGGATAATCAATTTCAGCCAATGAGATGGACGCTTTCCTACGAAAGGCAGAGGTCTCCGCCAATCAGCGGCAAGGAAAGATCGTCGGTCCATGGCAGAGTCTCCGAGTCTCGACACCGTCGACGTGTCACTTTACAAGTCGCAGCGTTCTCCGCAGCTCACTCTTCAACCGACTTAGCATGGGCAACCCTCAGGTAGATCTCGTTTTGGCTATCTCAGATCTGATCCGTTTCAAACACAGTGTGCGAATCTGGCCAAGAGCGTCCTTCTCAAGCGTCTCGAGCGCCAGCGTTTCGACTCGGCCGACTGGGCCATGAACCTCGTACGTCACTCTTAATGCCGCATGGAGAGATTCAACGGTATTGGTAGCCCATCAACCGCGAGCAAAGCGACGTCGACGCATCGAGTAGTGTGCACGAGACCGACTCCAAGTCGAACACGGCCGCTTCGTCGCCAGTGACCCAGCGCGGCAAGCCGTAAACGTCCTGTCGCTTTCTTTATATATGCACGAATAGAATTCACACTAATGTACTAACTGGTCGACTTGTACTGAAGCGATATGCGCTTGCCAGCCATCAACCTCTGTGCCTGCAGGCATAATCCACGAGGTGGGATTCACATTTTAGTGAGAAAAAAGAGGCCAACCCGTCAACCGCGATCTGCAGTGTGCAGGGCGACGAGCACGACGCAAACATCGACTAGTTGGGCGGGCCGTCGACGACCTTGGCAAATGGGAAAGGGCCGTCAAAGTCGTCTGCGTGCTGGAAGGCTGTCGACTGCGTGAGGAGGTCGTAGTTGAGATGCGGGTACTTGGCCTTGTGGCGCAAATACGACTGCGGGTGCCACTCAATGTCAAAAGCATTGACATAAAAGCCCTGGAACTGCGCAATGTACCGGCGAATCGCCTCGTACGGCATAAAGTAAAAGCCACACCGGTCCGGGTCGTTGGATCGAACCTCGCTCGGCACGGGCCTACACCAAAGTTGAATCTCAATTTCAAACATCAAACATCAAAATTCGAAAATCGGCAACAACTCCAAAGTGCGGACAAAGCACATACAACGTACGTCAACGTTTTCGCAATGTCGACTTCGAGCATGGGCTTGAGGCAAAACGCGCGCGCCTCCAACGCCGGGCTGTACTCCCAGACGCACATGATGGTCATCCGGTCGCCCCAGTCGGTCGTGTTTTTCACAAAGTACGTCACATTCGCCGCCTTGGAGCACTGACGCTCGTCGAGGCACACCAAGTGCAGTGGCTGGTAGTTGATTTCCGCATACACCAGCGTTTCCTTGGAGAGACAGGCGTTGATGCCGCCGTTGAAGGCCTTGGTGCGGTTGAACGCCGCTTCGGTAGGCGGCGCCGTCGTCACACTCGACATGTTACGGGGTGCGACGACGGGCTCGGCGTCGTTGCCGCACTGGTACCAGTTGAACGGACTAGAGAGTTCTGGTCATCCCACGGATGTTTCAGAGGCCACGTACTTGTACGAGTTGGGGCACACAACGCGCTCTTCCCAGTCCGAATGTTCTTGCATCCAGTAGTTGAGCGAGTGGCTGCCTTGGGTCGGGCCGTCAAGCCACGAGTTTTTCACGACAAAGCCACCGGTAAACCCATCGCGCGTCATGAACGCATCGTTGTAGCCGACGAGGAGCTAAGTATCCGATGGCATACGATGTGGATACTTGGATAGAGACAATACCATCGCGTGGCCGCCTTCAATCGTCATTCCGCGATGCGAGAAGAACTCGCCTTCCATGTTGCGGTTGCGCCCACCCTTGAGAGGTACACAGCACGAGGTTGCCGACATTTCGCTTGGGCACAAGGTGCAGTGGTCCAAAGTGCAATGTGGGTCGGACGCAAACTCGCCAATGCATGGGTAGTAGTGCGTCACGTACGTCACCGGCGTCGAGAGTGCCATGGCCTTCTTCTGCTCAAAGAGCCGCGCCTTGATCGTCATATCGTCGTACCACGTGTCCATCGACTACATGACAAGTTGTTCAATGTGTCCGAAAGGCATCAGACAGAGCACGTACGCGCACTTTGAACTTGAGCGGGTTGTCATGACGACGGTCGGACGTCAGCCCCGGGCACGTCGAGTCGTTGCCGCCTGTTTTGATATACGGGCAAATCGCGTACGGAAACACCGCGTTCGCGAGTCCGTGCTGCAGGTAGTAGAGCTCGCCGACTTCACCGCCTTCGGTCGAGTTCTTCCACATCTAGCGCCAAAAGTTTCAATGTATCAGGTGAATTGGTGACGCGAGAGTACCGAGTCGCCGGCCACGCGACACGCCACTTGCTGTGGCGACGACGGTGGGCCCGCGCAAAGCTCCATGACCGCAATACCATACGCCTACGCTTTCGTCAGTCGCCGTAGGTTGTTTGGACAACGAAGGACCTGCTCGGAGAACGAGACATATTCGTCTTCTTCGAGCCAGCCATGGGCGAGGCCGTGGGCGCGGTACGACTGCTCGAGAACGCCGATGGTGGCGAAGTCCCAGCACGTGCCACGCTGGGACTGGTCCTTCCGCGGGGTCACATGCCGCACTGCGTACTTGGACGGGGCCACCGCGTGGGATCGGTACGCGGCGTGCAGATTGGCCTCCGGTGCTTGGCTCCTAATCACATTCGTTATGGCCGTCATGGCAAAGCGATGAGATGAACGTACAAGAAGACGTCCATCTTGGCCGAGAGCGCTTCAAAGCGAGCGTGGGACGTGTGCATCGAGACGCCGACGAGGCCCAAGGCGCCAGCGATCGCGACGTTGAGCCCAAGGAGGACGTTCGCACGCAGCGAAGAGGACCGACGCGGTGCAGAGAGAAGCCCGTCGCCCTCATGGGCCGGTGTTCCGTAGTAGCTCGGTCGCGAGGTCATGCCGGTGGCGAGCCAAACCAAAAGTGAATTGCGTCGTTCGAAAGATACGAGCATCGTTCACCAAAGCGTCTCAATGCGTCGTGCAGAGTATTTAGATACGAGATAAGCTCTTAGTTTGAGGCATTATTGAGAAACAGCATCAATATGAGACGGATACGATAAAAACATAGACAGGACGACAAGCCACCGTATCTTGCGGGAAGATCGCGAATTGCCTCGTCCCTTGGCGAGCAATGCCAATCCGCAGGTCTCCTGCAGGCAATGGACGTGTAAGGTACCGGATGGAGCGTCATAAGGATACCCAACGATGCGAACCCGGTAAGCTGTTGACGCAAAGCCCCATTTTGAATCCACTGAACGCCACATTTGGCGCCAAAACCATTGTGTAGGAGGCTCGGAGGCCGAAGCCTTCCGCTGTGGTTTCCAAGCCTTTTGCAATCTTTCGGCAGCGCACGGCGGTTCAGCGGCTCGCGTTTCTCGACTGGTCATCGCTGTAGGCGCATCGAGCCAGCGTTTACGCTTATGTAGGTTACACCAATGCAGAGTGCACCGTTGGAGGCTGTCACTCCTCTATCGATTCTAGGCGGTACTAGTCGGTGGCAGCTGCTGAGTAGATGGCCGAGTGCTTGCAGTGCATCAGCGTGTCAATGAGTCCTGCGTGTCCTAGTTTTAGGTCTACCGGTCGCTTGAATCCGGCAACCGGTGCCCCTTCCGGAAGGATAATTCCGGATACGCGTCGGCTACTCCCACATTGCACCATGGTCAACGCCGCACGCATCAGTGTCGCCGCCGCCGTGGCAGTGAGCCTCGCGCTCCTCTACGTGCACAAACGGCGTGCGCTCGACGCCGCGCACAAGAAGACACTGACGAAGCTTCGCTTTGACTTGACGCCGGCGGACATTGCTGCCGAGACAAGCGCGATCCTCGAGGCGTGGTGCGCTGTCGACGACGAAGTGGCGCTCGCCGAGTCGTGTACGTACGAAGAGACGGCGGCGCGGCTCGCACAAATCGAGCTCGAGCTGTCGCCGCGCATCAGCAGCGTGAGTTTCTTGCGCTACGTCGGCGCAACGCCCGCACTGCGTGACGCAGCGACCGCTGCCCACGAAGCCATCACTGCATATGGCCTCCAGAGCAGCATGCGCGCCGACGTCTACCGCGTCATCAAGGCGCTCGCGGACAGCGCTGTGGGCGCGCGCCTGGAGGGCGAGAAGGGCCGGTTCGTCCAGCGCCTCGTCCGCGATTTTGAGCGCAACGGTGTCCACCTCGACGCTTCGCTCCGGCAGCGCGTGCTGTGGCTTCAAAAGAAGATTGCGTCGCTCGCGACTGCGTTTGCAAATAACCTCTGCGACGATGCCACGTCAGTGCTCTGTACCCGCGACGAGCTGCATGGCGTCTCCCCCGATGTGCTGGTGGCCATGGCGACCGACAAGTACGGCTGCTTCAAGGTCCGTTCGTGTTCGCTTGCCTCGTTGTGACGGTCTATGCAGGTGACGATGCACTCCCCGATCGTGTTGCCTGTGCTGCAGACCTGCCACGTGGCGGCGACGCGGCAGCGTGTCGAAGCGGCGTTCAGTAGCCGCTGCCAAGCGACGAACGTCCCGATCCTCGAAGAGATGCTGCGTCTTCGCCGCGAGGCTGCGTCGCTCCTTGGCTTTTCATCGCACGCGGCCTATGTCGCCAGCATTCGGTATACCATATTCGCTTCTCTTTGTCGACCGACGACATGTGGCAACGTAGGATGGCGCAGTCGCCAGCAACCATCCTCTCCTTCCTGCACGGGCTCGACGCACAGCTCACACCACTCGCTGCGACCGAGCTCCAATCGCTGCTGGCGCTCAAGCAGGCGACTGAGTCGACGACCGACGAAGCGTCCGGTGTCTTGGCCATGTACGACTATCGGTATTATCTGCATTTGTACCAAAAGTTGCACTGCGCCGTCGACCACCAAGTGCTCCAAGAGTACTTTCCACTGAGCCACGTCACGCGCGTGCTTCTCGAGACTTGCGCGCAGCTTTTCGCCGTCACCTTTACCGAGGTACTTCCCCTAGCCCGACCCGACCCGACGACCGCTATCAGATCTACAAGACAGTCATAAGATCCACACTTGCATGCTATTGTAGGTGCCGTCGCCGCATGTATGGCATCCCGACGTCCGCATGTTTGCCGTGCATGACGCGCGAGCCGGTCGCCGACATGGCCACCTCATGGGTTATGTGTACCTTGACCTCTTCCCCCGGTCCGGCAAGTACGCGCATGCTGCTTGCCACGGGCTCCAAGCAACCGGCCTCGACACGGAGCTCAAGCGACAGGTAAGACGCACCAACAGAGTAGGATGATACTGTACGGTAGCTGCCAGTCGCGGCCATGGTGGCCAACTTTACACCGCCGAGCGCGACCAAGCCCGCTTTGCTGCTGCACAGCGAGGTGGCGACGTTCTTTCACGAGTTTGGCCACGTCCTGCATCACGTTTTCTCGGAAGTGCACATCAAGCGTTTTGCGGGCACGGCCGTCGAGCGGGACGTTGTCGAAGCGCCGAGCCAGCTCCTCGGACAGTGGGCCTGGGATGCCGACACGCTGCGCCGTCTCTCGTGTCACTACACGACGTCGCAGCCGCTCTCGGACGACCAAATTGCAGCGCTTCTAGCGTCGCGCAACGCCTGCGCCGGTCTCCAGACCAAGCGCCAAGTGCTGTATGCACTCTTTGACCAGACCGTGCATGGCGACGACGCATCGACGGATGCCGACACGGAGAGCCTCCTCGATACGCTGCACCGTACCGTGCACTTGGTCCCGATGACCCGCGGCACAAACCTCGCGGCGTCGTTCGGTCACATTGTCGGCAACTACGATGCCCAGGTAAAACCACCAATGACCCTAGCCCTAACGTGGATGTGTCTAGTACTATGGCTACCTCTGGAGCGACGTCGTTGCAACCGATATGTTTGTCTCGCGGTTCCTGCACAAAGGTCTGCTGAACCAAGACACGGGCATCGAGTACCGCGAGCGCATCTTGGCGCGCGGCGGCAGCGCGGATGCGGTCGACCTGATCGCAAGCTTTCTCGGTCGGCCGCCCAACGACGCCGCATTTTTGAACGCCAAAAATGTCGCGTAAACAAAAGACAATATTGTACGACGTGCGCGACCGAGCATGGTCGTCACCCATGCAATGACATTTCGTTGCTCGTTGGCATTGGCTCATGGCCGCTTGCAAATCCGCTGCTGCACCTTGTTGGTTGCCACTGGCTTTTGTGTAGTAGACACGTCATATGGGCACAAGACGACGACTAGTTTTTTAGTATTGGGTAGTGTACAGGTTTGGAAAGGTTAAAAGTGGTGATGGCGGTGGTGGTCGTGATGGTGGTGCGGCGTGCCCACCTGCACGTAGTGCGTCTCGACAATCGGGACGCCGTCCGGAATCGACGACGCCTCGTGACTGCTCGTGCGGTGCTTGTCCGTCTTTGGATGGTCGACTTTGTCAGTTTGGTGCCGACGCTCGGTCATTTCAATGGCATGGTGGTCCGACGACGAGGACGACGACGAGAACGACGACTTGCGTTGCGAGCGCGACTTGCGGTACGGAGAGAGGTGGTGGTGCGCGTACAGCTCGCGGTGATGCGTCGCATCGTGCGTCGCGTGGTGATCTTCCTTCTTGACGACGACCGGGTCGACGGCCGTGACAGCAAACTGGAGGCCAATGCCCGCGACCCAGAGCACGAGCGTCGCCGTGAGGTAGCCCCACCACGCCGACGGAATATCATACTCCCATGGTCCATTTCCAAACGCTTGTTGGCGCGGAAGGTCACACACGCTGGGGTAGCGCCCGGCAAAGTACCCAATGCCCCATACCGTCATTGTCGCCCCGGCGAGGCTGGTCGAGACGATCTGGAGCGGCTTGCCACCGAGGACGGTGAGGGCACCAAAGACGAGGGCCCACGACGCGACGCTAATGTACAAGGCGCCGTTGGGATTCGACGGCCAGTACTTGTAGCCATAAGAAATGTGCTGGAGTGCCGCGAACGCCGCGCCGGCGCAGAGGCCAATGACAAAGTTGCCGACTTGGTCGAGGAGCATCGAGATGGCACCGATGAGGAGTGCGCCAATGAGGAACGCGACCCACGTGGCCGTGACAATATACGACTGATCGGCGAAAATCAAAAGCGAGAGCACGTAGAGCAAGAGGCCGCCGAGTGAGAAGCCGCAGAGGAGCGCCGACACCTTGAGCATTTTGAAGCCGAGAAACGCGAGGACAAGCCCAATCGGAATCGCAAACCCCGCGAGGAGACCACTCCAAATGTGCGAATAGTGGTAGTTGAGAAGCAAGTCGAGCGAGCTCTCGGGCGGCGACGGCGACGGCGTCGGCACGGTGGGCGACCGGAGACTCACGGCGCGAACGACGTATGATAGGACGAGCGTGACGGCCGACTCGGTCGTGTCGGCGGCAACGACATGCGCCAGTAGCCCCAGAGCGAGAGCGTCCAGACGCATTTTGCTGCACGTGGCAAAAGGAAGATTGAGACACTGAGCGCCAAGTAGCGTCCAAGTGATGCTCGCAGTGCGCAACCTCTGCAGAAAGGCCGCGCAGCGACCTGATTGGACAATGTATCGGAGAGGAGCCAATCCGAATCAAGCTTGACAGCGACATCAGCCAATGGGGTCGATCGAGTCATTGACAGCCGCGCGCCACGACTAGTCCAAGAATGCGATGCTATAAAGGGCAGCAGCAGGTTTCACGGGAGTCGCCTACCTGTATCTATCTATCCACCACTATCGCATCACTCGTGTGAGAATCGAGAGGTTCAGAGAGGACCAAACACTTGGTCGTGCTGTCGGCGCTGGAGTCCGAGCTCCACTCTACCAACTCGACATGACATTCTGCTGACGTCTCCCAAGCAATGCTCCCGACGTGAAGCCGTCGCAGTGTACGTGAGAGCCATCGTTGACAATACGTTCTTGATGCAATTTGCGACGAACGTCTTTTCCACAAGCGCGTCGAGAGTGTGCCCAAATAGAACAGCTTGATAGTTAATACAAGTACTTATTACGTAGTACTTGCGCAATCACGAAGCACACACTTGAAATGTGTACAGAGTGAGCTTGGGCACACTATAGGAACGCCACAAAAACGGTCTGGTGACAAAGGCAGAGGAAAACCGTCGCCGTGCTAGGTACGAGTAGATAGTGCTAGCAAGGGGATGAAAAGAGTTGCGTGGCAAGGCTCTGGCTGGTTGAGCACATTTTATCCGGACAATATTATCCGGATAAAATGTGCAGCCACCGCTGCTCAGCAGTTTGTTGCGCAGATTTGGAGTTTGAATCGAAGTCGCGTGTTTCGTTATATATACATAGCTGGTGACGCAGGTAGCCCAAAAACCAAAGAATCGTGCTCGTAGCGTGCCTACAGTCTGTGCAATGCGCCGTTCCAGTTGGTGAAAACTGATACTGCATCTAGTATCAATCTATCAATGTATCAATGTAGCATCGAGCAACTTCGCAGAAATGCGCATTGCACAGGCTGTAGCCACGCTACGAGCACGATTCTTTGGTTTTTGGGCTCCCTGCGTCACCAGCTATGTATATATAACGAAACATGCGACTGCGTTTCAAACTCCAAATCTGCGCAACAAGCTGCTGAGAAGCGGTGGCGTGCACATTTTCATCCGGATAATATTGCTCGGATAATATGTGCGCGCCGCATGGCTGCTCGGCCACACGACAGCAACGTGATGCTTATACCCTTGGTAGTAAAGCTAGCTCAGAACGTGTGGACTCTATCGTAAGCGCTCAAGTGAAGGGACGCGGACCGAACTCGTGATCGATCACCACGGCCATGCAAAGAAGTGTAACCACAAGGATCCTGTACTTGTCAACGAGGCACACGCACTGGTTCGATAAGACGACTACGACCACCAAATCGATTGCAAATTCTCTGCTGGATTGATCGCCGTCGTGTCATCTCCTCGCTCCTCTCTGTGGAGGGACACTGCGCGTTGTTGGTTGGCGCATTCACCAAATCGTGTTGCATTACGAGTCTTTGACCGTGTAGAGTTTGTGAGAAAACTTGATGCCAGCGTGCACACTGCCCTTGCGGACGATATGGCCGCGTGAGTTGTCGAGCCACTGAAGCAGCCCCGCGAGTACCTCTATCGACGTGCGGGGTCCAAGCCCGGACAGGAGTGTCAGGTTGTGTTGAAGCTACGGACAGGAGTGTTGATCCTCTCGTGTTATAACATCGTTGGGTCGGGCCACCAAAATGTTACAACACCGGCACGGGGCAGCATACTGGGTGGCAGTGTCTTTTAATGGCCTTTTTCGAATAAAAGAAGGAAAGTTTGATTAAAAGAATGCAAAACTGAAAAAGAACGCGGCTGCTTTTCCGATATCAGCGCCGAACCAGACGGTAGCCGATCGCCGGGTTGTAGCAAGCAGGTGGGGCCGTCCGTCGTCGTCATTTGCAGTCGCTTGAGCATGAGCTTGGAACTAGAAGCAGGCGAGCGCAAGCACCTCGTCATGGGCAACAAGAACCACCTGACGCTGCCTCAGCGTCTCTACCAGGTCGACCTCCAGCTGGCCGTGCGCATCTACGGTCTCTTTGGCCACTCCAAGGCGTGGCGGCTGCTCTGGGAGTTCTTTAGCCTCACGGGCGATGGCATCCTGTACGTTATGCTAGCCCGCGCGCAGTCTCGCTAACCCTCTATGCTGCGCTGTAGGTGGCTGCTCATCGTGCTGCCGCTGCTCGCGCTCGCGTCGTTCGCCGGCATGCTGGCGTCCATCACGAACGGCCAAAAGGCCTTCCTCTACTTCTTCTACCTCTGCCAATTCGTACAGGCCACATGCACGCTCCGCCTCATGTTCGAATGCTAGGTTGACATTGTGTGCATCGTCATCTTCAAGCTCATCTTCCGCCGCCAGCGCCCGCCGCACCACCAGTCGGATGACCGCTTCGTCGGCCCCGACCAGCACTCGTTCCCGTCGGGCCATGCAACGCGGTCTTGGTGCCTCGTCGCGCTCATCGTGTACCTCGCCCACTGTACGTTCGTCCTCTTGTCGTCCTGTGGTCTAAGCCGCCATAGACTACCCGCGCATCCTCACAGACATGCTCGGGGCGTGGAGCGTCCGTGCGATGCCTACAATCATGGTTCTCTGGGCGACTGTCATTTGCTTCTCGCGCCTCGCGCTGGGCCGCCACTACCCGAGCGACATTGTCGCTGGCGGCGTCATCGGGTTCTTCCTCGAGTTTGCCCTCTCGGCCGCCGCCATGCGCTTTGTGTTCCCGGTCCTCCTCGCGTCCGTCGCCTAAGTTTAGCCGCGCTAGCGAGATATACTGACAATAGACAAAAGACAACTTGTCTGTTTTTGACGATCCATAGTGTTTCTTATTCGTTGCGATGCGGATTGTCGGGCAGAGATAACGCGAGCAGCACGTCGCCGCGCGTACCGACGACTATGCAGCCGTCTTTGAGAGCTAGGGGCGACGAGAAGATGTCGCCAGCGCCATGGAAGAGCAGTGTCGCACGCGATGACACCACGGGTTCCCAGAGGTAGACATGGCCGTTGGTCGTGCAGACACACGCCATCAGCGTCGTTCGGTCGGGCAGGGTCGCGGGTGATGCGTAAACGGCGCATCCGAGGTCGACCGATGCAATGCAAGTACCTATCTTCACCAGTTCGTGAAGCTCATGACGACAACGACGTACCGTCGACCATCGAGACACAGCGCACGACACCATCGTGGGAGCCAAAGACAGCCGCTTCGCTTCCATCGCTCATCGTCGCAACGCTTGGGGCGCTGAAGATGGGCTAGTTCAAAAGTATCAATGTATCAAGTCGTCCGATGCCGACCAAAGATACGAACTTTGGTCGTCGCATATGACCACAAAGGCGTCCCTGTGGTCGTCGAGAGCGCGTAGAGAGACGCGTCGGCGCACCCCACAAGCAGCAGATCGTGGTACCGACCGAGGCGCAAGCTGCAAAATACAGGGGCGGTGCACTAGACACAAGTATCGATATATCAACCTCGAAGTCACACACACCGTATGTTGCCACAGCGGCGTGGGCGCCTCATGCATACGCAGTGACGGCCATGCGTAGGCGCGGACCTCGCCGGCCAGAGACGCGCAGTAGAGCACCTTGGCAGCGTACACCGGGCTGGAAAAGACACTACGTGATGCGATGGCGTCATCGTCGGCTCGATAGACGGTCGCACCTCTTGGTGAATGGCAACTTAAACAAACACGCGCCCGAGTCGAGTGCGAGGCCATAGACATGGTGGTCGTGGGAGCCGACAACGACCGCGTTCTCCTCTTCGACGACGACCGGCGAGCACTTGACTTGGTCCTGCGTGAAATAAACCCACAACGTCTACAGAGAGAGATGATGCGACATGCAAACTGGTCGATAGAGTCGAGGGCAACACGCACGCTGCCGGTGAGGATCTCGAGGCAGTAGACGCCGCCGTCGTAGCAGCCGACGACCAGCCGATCGGCTGTCATGGCCGCGCTCGACTCGACACGATCGGGTAGCTCTTTGCGCCAAACGACTTGACCGTCGGCGGTGGTGCAGAGGACGGTGTGGTCATGGGACCCCACAACGATGTACTCGCCCGTGGACGTCATAGCGAGGCGCGGTGACGCGTCAATACACTTGCGGACGGGCACTTGCCATCGCACGGCGTCGGTCCGCAGCGTCACGCGCGCCCGCTTCATCGCTGATGCGTCGGGCGACACGACACGACGTCGCTTGCGCTGCACGAGCAACTGCAGTGCGGCGACAGTCATGTCGGCCTACGATATTGCGTCCGCATGACGATCTTGACCAATATACGCAGAAGTACCAGCTCGACCGGACGCAGCGTCGTCTCGTGCTGCGTTTGGAGTGTGTGGAGGACGATGGCCATAGCCATCGAGTTGAGGCCGAGCTCGGTCAACGTCAGTGACGGGTCCACTAGGCTGGGCGTATAACCGGTGGAAGCGAGGCCACCCGTTGGCAGCAGCGCGCGCAGCCACGACGGCAATGACCGCTGCGCAAACAGCGCTGGGATCTGAGACGGATCGGCCTTGCCACTCGACGTCTCTGGAAACTGCGCATAGGGGACTCTCAGTACGTGCATGGCCACTCGTGGGTGCGCTCTCTCGACAGCGTGGCGCAGCGCATCGGTATCGACAGCTTCGTCGTCGATGCCGACACAGAGCACGACGGTGTCGAGCTGATGCCAGCTTTCTGAGGAAGCGACCGGAGCGATGGCGACCTTCCATCGCCGGTGGTGTCGTCCGAGGTACATTCGCGCTGAGGACTACCACCCAAAAGATGATGCTTCGAGTGTATCTGCTTTGGGCTTACCTCGATCGCGGGTACGTGCACCTGCACACCACTCACTTTGACATACCCGTCGTTGCGACCACAGAGGTACAAAAGACCTTCAGCAAAGTACGCGACGTCGCCCGTCTTGAACCAGCGCTCGCCGTGCAAAGTGCAAAAGCGGTGGGCCTCGTTGTCCGACCTACGCATCCGTCATACCCACGTCTTGACACCGTGACGTCGACAAGCGTACATGTTGACGTAGCCTCGCGCGAGCGGCGGGCCACCGATGTAGAGTTCACCACGTGTCTTGTCGCTTGTGATCTCAACACCGGAGGCATCGACGAGCCGTAGCTTGGTCGCGCCGATGGCGGTGCCCACAGGCACGGGTGCCGCCGCCGTTGTTGTGAGCCAAAACGTCGCATCGCCCGCGACCTCGGTGCTGCCTACGTACGCATGCAGATGAGATACCGCTTTCATCGTCTTTGTGGGGCATACCGTAGAGATGCAATAGCTGCACCGATGGCAGTGTAGCAAAGAGCGTCGCGACCAGATCTGCGTGCAGTGGCTCGCCGCTCACGGCCACGCAGCGCAGAGAGGGCGGTAGCAGGTTCATTTGCAAGAGGAGTTGCAGCACGCTCGGCACGAGCGTCATTCGAGTCACAGAAAAGCGACGTAGTGAGAGGGCAAAGCCAGCGAGGTCGGCCACCACCGGCGGCGCAAAGGATACCGACGTCGACGAGGGCAGGACGAGCGTCGCGCCAGCGCAGAGCGTGCCAAACACCTCGGCGATGGCGTCGACGAACGTGAGTGTTGTGTGCCGCAGGACGCGTTCGCCCAGTCCGAACGGCAATGTCGCCCACATCCAATCGAGTCGATGCCACGTGGCAGCGTACGAGCCGATGACGCCTTTCGGGCGCCCGGTGCTGCCCGAGGTGTACAGGACGTACATGGCATCGGGGTCGCATGCCCAGGTCGGCGCCATGTCGGCGGACGGCCACGTCGCAAGCACGATATCGTCGCCGAGGGCGTGGGTCAAAAGCCGCACGGCCACGGCGCCGCCCAATTCAGAGCGAAGCGCAGCGAGCAGCGGCGACGTCGGTGTGCACACGAGTCCCGTGGCCGCAGCGTCCCGCAAGAGGCTGCGATTCCGAACGATGGACTGCATCTCATCGATTGGTACAAAGAGCGTCGAAGGCGTGATCGTAGCGCCGTACAGGACTGCGATTTGCGGCACACCCAACGGCAGCGCGAGGGCGACGACCGGAAGGGCCGCGGTGGCCAGCGCGCTGGCGACGTCGGTGACGAGCTCATGCAGCTCGTGGAACGTGACGACGATGGAAGGTCCGACGATGGCGGGCGGTCGCACTACGTCGTCGGCCGCGGACGGGCTGGACGCGGCGAAGGTCGCCACCACGGCTTGGAACCGCTGCATACTGGCCAACTGATTTTGACCGCTCAGCTTGCCGGGACAGGCGGCGCCATCATCGAGGACTCGACCTCCATGTAGTCGCCGCTGCGAGGACGAGAGGCAGCGAGCAATGTGGTCGCTGCCACGACCGCGATGCTACCTGTCGTACAAAGGACAAAGGACAGACGCGTCAAGAGCAAGAGAGGAGCAAGTCCATAGCAATCGCGGGATTGGAATTATTACTTGAGTCGCCACTTGGACTTGACCTCCTTCTCCATGGCGTTGAACGCTTCCTTTGTATCGGCGCGCTCGCAGTAGGCGTTGGGCGGGAGCACGTGGGCGTAGACCTTGAGGAGGTCTTCATCGTCCTTGGTCGAGCCCGAGACGCTGAGGTCCTGCGCGAGGTGCTGGTTGCTCACAAGGCGATCGCGGACCGACTCGGGAAGGGCTTGGCGGCCGCGGAACTGGCGGCGCACCAAGTGCGGGATCAAGTCGGCTTTGATGCTCGCAATGTGCTTCTTCTCCGCCAAGAGGTCGAGCACCCAGTGCGAAAAGATGTACACGTGCGCGTCGTAGAGGTCCGTGTGCATGTTGATGCGCGGGCGGCGCTTCAGGAGCGCGCGGGGCACCTCGAGGTCGTCGTTCTCATAGACCGAGTGGGACACAAACACGACGCGGTTCTCGGCGTCGACCATGCCAATGCAGTCGATCATCTCTTCGTCGCGGCGCGGCTTCTCCTTGCTACTCTTGCCCTTGCTCGGGGCCTCGACGACCTCTTGCTTGAGCAGCATCGTCACGGTCGCGTCGTTGATACGATGCAAGTCGGCCACGTTGTGCAAGACGCAGTCCGTGATGAGGTCACCGGCGAGCACGATAAAGTCGGACCGGATCTTGTCGGCGACCGCGCGGAGGGCGTCGGCGGTCTCGGTGGCCTCGCCTTCGACGGCGACGACGGTCACCGAGATCTTGCCATCGTACTGCCCGAGGACGTACGACTGGACTTTGTCGAGCATCTCGTTGGCGGTCACAAGGAGCACGTCCGAGAAGCCCGAGTTCTCAAGCAGCGCGAGCTGGTAGTAGATGAGCGGCTTGCCGTTGACGAGCAGAAGCGGCTTGGGCGTCTCTTCCGTGAGCGGGTACAGGCGGACGCCCGAGCCGCCGGCGAGGATCACCGCTTGGTACTCGGCCATGGACACCAATAAAACTTTCTGGCCGACGTCCTTTAACGCAATATGCGTTAAAACGTAGGACCACTGCGGTAAACGATTTTTCGGAATTTTCAACACGTTGCCGTATGCGCAACGATGCCAATTCCATCATTACACGTGCAGTAGTGTGTGAAGTGTGTGCGTCTCATGCATCATTGTAGAGGCACCACGGACGTACTACTTGCAGTCGACTGCGAGTACACGCTATGTCAGCTTGGTGGAGTCGCGAGCTGCCTCGGCCCCACCCGACTATGTCGTGAAATGAGTCGAGTCGACGACCAAAGACCGATGGGGCGTACCGGCGGGCACCAGACTAGCAAGCCTCAGCTACAAACCGCCACCTGCAAGCCGCAGCTACCTATTGCACTTCGGGAATAGTTCAACTGAGTTTTGATCCCCAAAGAACTGCGCGAACGGTGACCATGAGCGAATGCGCAATGCAAGAGCCAAGGCAGCGACCGGAACGAAGGCGTCCGAAGCGTACAACGTCGTGTGAAGAGGATGGGCTGTCCCGAGACGTCGTTGCGTGCAAGCGAATATTCCTTTGATTCGAGTTGTGGTTGCAATGCGTGATACCATACTAACCTCTTTACCCGCCGTTTAAGCCGTTTAACGCGCTGGCAAAAGACGCCGGATCTCGTATCCGGATAATATTTCCGGAATGCAATGGAATATTCCGGTGCTGGACCACAGGCAGTGGTGCGACACATTTTATTGCGTCCGATACAATGCGGTGTTTGTATGCCAATATCAGAACCGAGTTAAAATAATACGTCCATTTTTATTGTCGCGTTGGATAATAATACCTCGGCTCGCAGGTTGTGACCAGCGCGCATGAACGACGGCAACCCGTACGACTACCTGCTCCAGCGGCCGGGCGGGCGCGGCCACCCGATGCAGCCGGCAGCGCCGCCCGCGCACCACGCGATGCCCCCGAACCCGATGGCCATGGGCTACTCGTACCCGGACCCGAGCTCGGGCATGCTCGACATGTCGATGGCGATGAACCCGATCCCGTACAACGCGGGCAACTACAACGCGATGCCCATGATGGGCCATGGACACCATCTGCCACACGGCGGTAGCCACCATGGCATGGGCCCTCCGTCGATCGACCCGACATTCCACCCGGCGTACATGCCACCAGCGCGCCCGGACACTGGCATCAACTCGTACTTCATGATGAATGACGGCGGTATGAACTACACGGCGCCCATGTACCCACCGCCACCACAGCGTACGTGTATGACGATTGCACTGGATACAACGAGCGAACTGTAGAGTCGATCGAGCTGCCGCGGGCGCCAATTCAGCGCCCGACGCCGCCCAAGGCCAACACGACGCCAAAGCCGGCGCCCACGAGCACATACCAGCTGCAAACGCAAGTCGCGATTCCGCTGCCTCGGCCGCTCGAGCCGTCGATGGCCATCACGAGCGCGCCGTCCTCAAACACGCACAAGGCCGCGTCCGAGGCGTCGTACGAGTCGGGCGAAGAGAACGTCGCCAAGTCGGAGAAGCGCCGGAGCCAAGTGCGTGACGCGTCTCGGCGCCGCCGTGCCAAACACAAGGTCCATCGTTCCGCATCGATGGTCGCTCACTTGGGAGCGTCCTAGGAAGAGGAAGCGATGCTTGTCAACCGCATCAAGGAGCTCAAGCAGCAAGTGCAGATCATGGAAGGCTCGCATACGTCGGGCGATGGCGACGCCCACCCCATGGCGGCCATGTCGGACCACGACCTCGAGCAGTCGTTCAAGGACCAGAAAAAGGTTGTCGAGACGCTCAAGGCCGAGTACAAGGACCTCAAGGCGCGACTCAAGCACCACGAGGAGTTTGCGCGGTCGCTCCAGCAAGGCATCCAAGCACTCTCGGTACAGTCCATGTAGTGTATCCACCATCGACGAGCCATGTTTAGGGCTCGGGCGGACCGGTCCTCAACACGCTGACGGGCGGGTTCACCGGTAGTATGATGGCAGCGACGCCCGCGCAAAGCTTTGACTGGAGCTGGATCAAACACGGCGACGTGGAGTGGGTCCATGAAATCGTGCGCACTGGGTTCCAGGAGCTCAACAACTGGAAGCCGCCAACGTCGGCCCAAGGTAGTACCGTCTTTTCCGGAATTTACGGTAATATGGTATGGTAGAGCCCGTGAATGCGTCGGCGATGGGGTGGACGTCCGACTTTTGGGAAGACGGCGATCGCACCATGTGCTTCTCGACGCACAAGTTGATGCGCGACGGCGTCCTTCGGGACTTTGTCGACAAGACGTGGGGGATTCTCTCCAACCGCGACAAATCCCGCCGCGTGTACCCGGACTGGAAAGAGCTCGAGGTAACGCGATTGCGCAAGGTTGATACAAAATTGATACATTGGAGTAGGTGCTCAAATACGTCAGCGAAGACATTGCGATCGTCCGCATCTTCGAGTCGGTCGGCGCACGCAACGTGACGTTCTGCGCGGTCGTCTTTCGCATCTTTGTCGACGAGCAGCACTACCTCGTCGGCATGAAGTCGTACGCGATGACGCCCCCGAGTAGGTCCCATTGTCGTCATACGATTTTATTGGCTGATTGCTCAACTAGTGCGCCAGATCACCGCCTCGATGCGTCCCCAAGAGGCGTGTGCGTGGAAGTTTTCGGTCTCGCGGACCGAGCCCGGCATCGACGTCGAGTTTGTCGGCTACCAAGACGTGGACCAAACCGTCAAGAGCAAGGCCGGCATGGAGGCCATGTTTGTCATGCTGCGCTGGGAGAGCGAAGCGGCCACGCAGCCCGTGTTTCGTCCTTCGCACAATGCCCAGCCCACTCGGCTCATCCAGTAGCTTGCTTGTTCTCTCGTTGTAGCACAAATCGAGCAAGCGATATCGTGCTACTTAGTATTCCTCGTTGATGTCGCCGTTGTCGATCGACAAGTGGCACAAGACGTCGAGCGCATATCGCTTCAAGCGCTCGGTGGCGCTACTCGAGAGCTTGGTCCCATGCAAGTTGAGATGCGCAAGATGAGATAGCAGCACCTGGAGGCTCGGGACTTGGTCGTCGCTGAAGTCGTTGTCGCTCAAGTCCATGTGCTTGATGTGGCCAAGCATCGGGACGGTTGCTGCGAGCGTCGCCAGCGCATCCGCTGAGAGACTGGACTGGATGAGGTGCAAGGACCGCAGAGTGCCTTGACGGCGCAGACATGCCATTAGCTCTTTGATCGCCGGTGTCGTGAGGCACTCGAAGCCCAGTAGACTCAGCTTGCGCAGCGGCAGCGCCTCGATGACTTCGAGCAACTTTTTGTACTCGGTGGGATGAACCGGCCCCGGTAGGACCATGACATGCAGCTCACGGACGTGCTGCATGGTCCTTAGCGTCAAAACGGCGGCCTTGATCTCGCTCCATTCGCCGTCGATGGTCCAGGTCGTCACCGACGACAAGGCAGATTTCGTCGAGACGACGCACGCTGCGTCGTGGGCATGGTAGCGCAAGCACGTCTGTGGTGTCGCCCACGCGGTGACGTACCGAGCCAGCTGCGCGCTCGCGATAAAGTAAAGACGTTGGAGGCGTGGCGACGCGCGCATGGCGTCATAGAGCATTTTGGCCTCGGTCACCGACACCGACAGATTGTGTATGTACAGCGTCTCGACAGGAAAGGTCGCCAGCACGTGGGCCAGCGCCTCGATGGCAGCGTGACGGCGCTGGATCGAGTCACAGTACAGTATCAGCTCCATCCGGCGCAGCGTCGCTTTGGTACAGGCAAACAAATGATCGAGCGCCGACTCGTCGTCGGTTAGCGCATTGAGCGTCCCCGTGAGGCTCATGGCGCGCAGACGCGGCGCGTGCGCAACGTACGTCGCCACTGTGCGCAGCGACACCAAGTTGATTTGAAAGTTGGTCACGCGCGCCAATGACGACGGCGCAAGGGTGGCGACGCTGTTGTTGTAGTCGGGGAGTACGACGTCCGCACTGGGCGAGACCAGTGGCAGGTACTTTTCTGGCTCGCCGTCGTTCATGAGCACGTACGGATGGCTCTGGAGCACGCGCGCGAAGAGCGCTTCGTGGCCAATCGACGCCTCGGCCGCGCACCCGACGTCAAGGATGGGCCATAGCATCCACGGCGGGACCTCGGCCGTGAGCTCTTCCAGTGCTACGAGGAACGGGCTCTTGCCAGCGCGAGGCAGCGTCCGCAGCGCCGAGAAGAAGGCGGTGGCCGTGTCGAGGTAGCACATGATCGTCTCGACGAGGTGCTGCGGCAGCGCGAGCCCGGGCGCCATCGGCTTGATGCGCTTGGTCATTGCCATTTTGTCGGCGCTAGCCAGTCTGTGATTGGTCTAAATGATGGGTTGAACCGTGCGGGATTGGCCGTACTTGGAGCGTTTTCCTAGCCGACACCCAACGCTAACACAATGCGAGTCGACGAATTAACGACGACAAATGTGTACTTGTACACAAGTAGAATGTACAAGTACTAATAACCAAATCAAGTGCAGCACGACCCACGACGCTGCCTCGTATATGCAAAGAGACACTTCGATCTACTCGAAGTCTTGGGGACCTTTTTCCGCATCGTCCAGCGCAAGGTGCGCCAGCGGACGCGTCTCTCGGTACCACGCGTGTGATTCCAGCTGGTCTTTGGCATCGTCCGAGAGCTTATTGCCCCCGAGCCAGAGCGTCCGGACCTGCGGCGAGTCCACCAGTGTCTCGAGAAGCGGCACGTCGGCATCGGTCAAGTCGTTCCAGCGCAAATCCACGGCCGTCCACTTTGGTCGGTGTTGTAGCGCTTGCACGAGCAGACGGAGACCTGTGCTGCCAAGGTCGGAAGAGACAAGCCGCAGCGCCGAGAGATGCTGCAGCTCAGAGAGCATGTTGATCACTTGCGTTACACGACGCGTGTCTTGAAGCAGCAACGGCCCAGACAAGGTGAGCGCTCGCACGCCGTGGAGCTGCCCGAGGGTCGATAGCAGCAGTGTAGTCGCGTCTTCATCAGGTGTATAGAGCAATTGAATGCCCACGTGCTGGAGGTGCGGCATGCGTCGGAGCGTGGCAAAGACTTGGCTCAGATCTGTCTTCCGCGTCGCCATGGTCCACGACAAGAGGCTGGGAAAAGGGCAATGGTCCGGGCGACAGGCTACCTCGTGCGTGTGACGGCGCATGCATACCCAGGGCGCGCCAAGGACGGCGAGTTGGCCCGCGAGGTCGTCGCACGCAAACAACTTGAGCTGCGAGAGGCGCTTGGCATCGAGAATGGCGTCGTAGAGCCGCCGCGCGCCATGCTCGGACGTGGCCACGGAGTCGAGCCTTAGCTGTGTCACGGGCAGCGACGCGACGAGTCGGGCGATTGTATGCACGGTTGCTTCGGGCACCTGCTCACCGCACTGACCGGTGAGCGCGAGCGTCACGGATTGCAGCGAGTCGCAAAGTATCGGTATAAAACTCTTGAGGTAGCGCTCGTGGATGGTGCTTAGCGCGCGGACGTCCATATCGAGAGCGAGAGACCGAAGGCGGGGCGCCAGCACCAAGTGCTGTAGAAGCGACTGCAGTGACACGGACGCGGTGAAATCGATGTGCAAGCTTGTGACAATGGCCACGGTGTCGGCGAGTTGCCACAGCAGCTGGGCGTCGGTGGCTCGCAGCTGGACGCTGGCGGTCGGCGAGAGCATGCCAAAGTACTCTTGTGGGCTACTTGCCTCCAAGACGACGCGCGGATGGCTTTCAAGCACGCGTTTCACGAGCGGCGCGTAGGCGGCTGGCAGCTGCGCAAGCCCGGCGGCTGGCTGGAGGACGGGCCAAAGGCACCACGGGGTGACCACGGTCGCGAGGTCGTAGAGCGCACTCAAGAACGGGTCCATTTTGGACCGGGGCAGCACCTCCAGGGTTGAAAAGAAGACGATCGGCGTGTCGATGAAGCACGCAATTCTCTCGAGGAGCCCTTGCGGCAGCGGACGCGGCGACGCCTTTTGTCGCTTCCGCATCCTCCAAGCGCCAAGACGTCAATCTGATGGCGTTCACGGATTGGCTGTTGCGAGCTTCCACTCATACCTGTTTTTATAACCGTCAGTGTGTTTTGTAGCCGACACAATCAATTCGGCAAACGCAACTTCGATTAAGGAAGCAACAGGCAGCTCGTCATTATTCAAACGAACGACTGCTGGTAGTCGTCGAGCGCGAGGTGGCAGGGAGACCGGTCCAGTTGCTGCAAGTAGCGGCCGAGTCGTGCCTTGGCCTCGGGCGAGAGGTCGTTGCAGGCGAGCCAGAGCGACTGGAGCTGCGGCATCGCAATGATGTGCTCCAGCACGGGGACCGCGGCGTCACCAAGAAAATTTTCAGACAAATCGATGTGGTGGAGGTGCGGGAGACGGGATAGCACGGCCGCGAGCACGATGACCCCTTCGGTCGTGGTGCCTGCGCAAATGAGCCGCAGTGTTGCGAGATTTGGGAGCTCCCGAAGCATGAGAAAGAGCTGCGCGGCGTGGTCTGGGTTGCCGAGGAGACGCTCGGCGGAAAATGCGAGCGACCGCAAGTTTTGTAGCGTGGCGATATCGGCGAGGAGAACGGGGTACATATATACATCGTCGTCGCTGTCACAGCTCACGGAAATGTGGTGCAGTCGAGGCATCGCCCGGAGCAACGCGTACACTGGGCGCGCCTCCCGGTACGAAGTCGACATGGACCACTCTCTCATCGTTGGAAAGGCGGACGACTGCGCAACCTTTGCGACGCATGCGGCGTCGTGTTCGTGGTAGCGCAGACACGTTCTCGGCTGGCTAAACGCCGCGATCATACTCACAAGCTGATCGCAGCTTAAGAAGTTGATCTTGTCGAGGCTCGGTGCGTTACGAAGCGCATCAAAGAGCGTGCGTGCCCCGGCGTTGCTTGTTCGGACGCTCGAGAAGCGGACCATGGAGACGGGAAACGTCACGATGAGTTGCGCAACGCGCATCACGACCACGTCACTCAGCTCGTCGAGAAGGTCACCGTCAAAGAGAAAAACTAGCGACTCCAGCGACGGCGAGAGACTCGCCGAAAGCACATCAAGGAGATCGTCGTTCTGTAGCACGACGCCGATATCAACGGCGAGGCGCAGCGTGCGAACGCGGGGTGCGTTCGCCAAGCGCGCTGCAGTGGGCACAAGCAGTTGAGGGTCCGTGGAGATCACATGCAAGTCGGTGACGTTGGCGAGCAAGGTCGTGTCGATGATTTCGTCGTCAGTCACGGCAAGCTGGAGCTGGGCCGTCGGCGACATCATATAAACATACGCAACCAGACAAGTCGTATCGAGCCAAACGCGCGGATGGTCTCGGAGCACGCGCTCCACGAGCGCTTCGCTCGCCAGAGGCTCATGCGCGAAAATTTGCAACTTGGGCCACAGGCGCCACGGTGGGCACACGGCCGCGGCCTCGCAAAACGCAGCGAGGAACGGGCTTCTGCCAGTGCAAGGTAGCTCGTTCAGCGCCGAGAAGAAGGACGTCGAGTCGTCGAGGTTGCAGACGATCTTCTCGAGGAGGTGCGTTGGCAGCTCCGGCGTCGTCATAACCAGATCTTGTCTGATTAGGCAGCACAACCGTATTTTGGTTTTATAGAGGACATAATGTTGCATAGTGCAAGCTTAGTCAACGCCGTCATCTCCCACACATATACCGGTATTTAGCATGTCAAAAATAAGGTCTACATTCCGTTTTCTAGATTTTATAGGCGACTCAATTAATTTCAACCAGAACCAAAATGTTGTCAACAAGAACTGCACCAGGTATCAACCCCTCCAGCTCACAGAGCTAAAGCCAGAGCTATAGCCTGTAGCTTTGTGGGATGGAGGGGTTAATATCCTACATTATTTCAAATGCCGAGTGTAAGCGATTTCATCCTGCCTCGTGTTGGCGGGGTCTATCCTTCTGCTCATCGAACGCCACGTTTATGTGTCCTTCTTGGTCATATCGAGCGCGCGGGCCATCACTCGGCGCTTGGTCTCGTTGCGATACGTGCCAGAGTCTTCGCTGCAGAAACTATCTTCGGTCTTGATGTCGACCCACGACGTCTCCGTGTCGTTGCTTCGCTGCGTATGATGGGTCTGCGCGCGGTTCGTGAGCCGGAACTGGCCCCGCGACCGGTACACCGCGAGGGTTTTCATAGCCTCTTGGCAATCGCGCAAGTCTTCGAGCAATATTTTCTCTTGACCCACGGTCGCGTCCAAACCCAAGTCGGCAAAAGCGCGTTGCAGCTTCTCGCTGAGCGCTGCGAGTCGGGCTTGGCCGAGGTCAAGGTGGCCGTCGTCGGCCTCGCGCTGGGCGGCGTCCATGGCATCGGCCGTCTCCAGTCGGTGCTTTTGCCGCGTAACAGCCAGACACACCGAGGTGTCGGTGACAACGCTGGGGCGAGCAATTGCGCTCATGGTCGCCGTCGTCTCGATGCGGGACGTCAGTACATTGACGTAGCGCAGACGAAACTCGACCAAGTATTGCTGGTCGGTGTCGACACTTGCCGTGGTTTGGACGTGCACGAGAAGATCGCGGAGCTCTTCGCTGTACAAGTCACCGAGCTCCACCACATAGTGCAGCCCAGGAACCTCGACGCGCTGGGGGCGCTTGGTGTTGATGTCGAGAATGCGAACACCTGGCGACGCGACGAGCACTTCGAGTTGAATGTTTTGAGCCACAACGCTGAGAAGACCTCCGAGGCAGTCGGCGAACGCGACCGAGACAGCGTCCGCGCTCTGAACAAAGTAGTACGTGCCTCGACCAAAGTCCGAGATACTTCGCAAGAGTTTGGCATCGTGGTTGTCTCCATAGCCGAAGGTGAAGAGCGACACGGGCGACTGCTGCTCTGCACGAGCACTGGACGTAGGCGCTTCGTAATCCTTGGCGGTATGGGGGGCGTCGCTGTAGCAGCTCTCTAGAATGCTGAGCAGCGGCAACGATTTCACCACACCGTAGTTGGCAAGTCCATCCGTCAAGAGAAGCACCGACCGAATGGGGTTGGGCGACCCACCGTCGCTCCGCTCTGGGCGTCGAATCTCATCCAAGCCGGCGAAAAGACCGCCGCTGAGGTTCGTGCACGTTCCTGCTTGAATGGCGCGAACCCGCTTTTCGAAAAGCGTTTTCCCGTCGTGCGTCATGAGCGTGAGCGGCAGAATGGTCGTCACGTCACTGTCGTACACGACTAAGCTCACGCGGTCATTGGCCGAGAGTTCCCGCGCCAAAAAGGTCAGCGTCGTCTTGCATAAATCGAGCTTCTCCATCTCGGCCATGCTCGCCGACTTGTCGAGGACAATCACGAGGTCGATCGGCTGGCGCTCAGTGTCGTCGCACGTGGGGGCCTCGATGTGGCAGTTGACATACGTCGTCGCGTTGTTCTCACGGGCTGCGATCTGCTTGACCTCGGTCGCGCACGAAAGCAAGAGGGACTTGGGCAGGAGCATTTTCGACATGGGTGTCGAGTTTCGTGAAAGCAAATTGGCGATTGAAGAGGTGAATCAAGTGCAGGGAAAATATAAAAGAAGAGCGTGCGCTCTTTTTGACTCGATAATTACCATTTGTACTTGATATTTTCCGTAACGTCCAATAACATTGCAGCTCCAACGAGCATGACTGAATACGCGAGTTGTTGGTCGGCGCAATTCGTTGAAGCACCAGTGGGGTCATGGGAGGGAGCTGCGGGGCATTTGATTACCTCGTCGTCATAGAATATTCTCGGCCATTTTGAAATATCAAGTTGATACTTCAAATCTCTCCTGAGGGACATGATTACTGGCCAAAATGTTAGTTCTCGTGGCATTTGTGTGGTCAGAATGCTCCTTCTCGCGTATGATGGTCCAACGCAGGCTCGTGTAACTGGATGGTGCTATTGGAGTTGCTTGTTACACGGCCTCAGCTTGCTTTGACTGGAACGTGCGGGCGTTCAGCCACTGGATAATGGTCTGCTCGACCTCGTCACGCTTGGACTCGCGCATGAGCATATGCCCCACGCCTTCAAAGACGACGAGGTCCTTGTCGTCGCTCGGGACATCGCGGACAAAGGCGCGGATGCTCTCGGGGCACACGATGCGCTCGTCTGTGCCCATGACGATGAGCAACGGCGTCCGAAAGTTGGTCTTGAGCTCGGCGAGCTCCTCCATCGCGCGGAGGCACTGCTCGGCCGTGCGCGCGGGCGTCATGCCGTGGTACGAGAGCTCGTCTTGGTCAAACTCGAGAAGCGCCGCGGGCTCGCGCGACAGTTCTACAATGATATTTGTCTATAAGCCTTTCCTTGTCGTACAAAAGCAGCGTCGTCGTACTCTCACGCTCGACGCCGGGCACGATGCGCCAGGTCGGAAAGTAGGTCGAGAGGAGATACGCAAACACCTTTTGAATCCGGAGAACCCACGTCATCGGCACGTTGATGGCTGGCGCGATGAGGACGACAGCATCAAACGCATGTAGCTCGCGGACAACCGTCAACGATGAGAAGAGGCCGCCGAGGGATATGCCCATGAGAATGTACTTGTCGACGCGGACATTGAGCTTGTCGACTTCGGACTTGGTGAGCGCAATAAACTGGTCAATATCGTCCAGCAAGTGCTGGTAGCGCTCGAGGTAGACTCTCTCGCCTTCGCTTTTGCCGTGGCCAATGTAGTCAAAGGCGAAGACGGCGTAGCCGGCCTCGGCGAGCAGCTCAAAGAAGTCAAGATACCCCGACGAGTGGTCGCCTAGCCCGTGGAGGAACACGATGACGCCACGCAGTCTCTCGACCTGCGGCACGACCGACTGGTAAAAGAGCTCCACGTACCGGTCGTTCGTGAACGTGTCGGTGGTGTGGATCGAGTGTGTCTTCTGGGTGGGCATGGCGTTGAGATCTGGATCTGGGTGCCAAACGGCAAACACCTCTATGAATTGATATATTGCAAAAACGAATAGATTCATGTATTGATATATAAAGGAAACCATTTGGATTGGTCGAGATCGACCAATGGCATCGCCGCCATGATGCGGGTGTCGAGAACATGGATGGGTTGACTCCGACGCCGTTGGATCGCCGAAGGCTAGGAACGAGTCGACACCGGTTCACACTAGCCCAGGCGCTATAGAGTATGCTGCTAGCGTTCATGCCGCTGCGGTTGTCGCGCTTTTTGTGGACCTTGCAAAATTGCACCTGATTACCCCGCCACGAGACATTGTTGATGCAGCTGCGCCGCCCAAGATGATTCTACATGATCAGCAGTCTGAGCTCGCAGCCCGAGCTCGCAGTCCGAGCTGGTGTAGCTGTTAGTTGATGTGCACGCATCCGTGCCAGAGTCTTAGTCGCAGCTATTAGTGGAAGACAGCGAGAGAGCTGACAGCGGTAGGACGCAGCTTGGGTGCATGGATATAAAGGCTTGGTAAACGAAAAGCTCGGGGCTCACCGAAACGCAGCACGGTATTCGGTGCGCATCTTGGTCAGTGTGGACGAGAGAAGCTGGACTCGGATGCGGTCCTTCTCTTGCAGTCTAGACACCGCCATATTCAATAAGCGTCGCAAGCGTCCCGCTACGTACAGGTCGATCTTCCACTGCTTGCGCGTCTGCGGCGTCGAGAGGTCCGCGCTATTGGACTTGAGGCTCTTGATGAGATCGCTCGGCACCTCGACGTTGGCCAGCATGCTCTTGCGCGCTACGACGCTGGGGCGCAGCATGTCGTGCACTGCGACACCAGCCGGCGGGGCCGTCGGTACGGGCGGCGCACTGGGCTTGTCGCGCGCAAGAAGGTCGACATGGGTCGTCGCGAGCTCATGCAGGCGGTTCAAGTTGCTCTCGGGGGCAAAGTACTCCCGCACCTCGTACGGGCGACCGAGCACGTGGTCTTTCGACGTGCAACCGCGGGTCGCGCGGGCGTCGGCCGCAAACTTGGGGGCGCCGCAGCACGCGTGGTGCGTCGAGGCCTCGAGCGCCGACGTATGCGCTGGCACGGGGTGGTGCAAACACTCTTTGATTTCTGAGCCCGTGAAAAAAACGTGGCACTCGACGCAGTACAAGCACTGGAGCGCTCCCCAAAGCTTCCAGTACATCGTCTTGGGCGACGCAGCGAGTGCCTTGAGCCAAGGATCGACCCTCCAGTCGTCCCGCGGTTCGTGGCGAGAAAGCACTTGCCCAAAGCACCCGATACTCGGGATCGCGTCATGGCAGTGCAAGACTCGAACGTGGCCGCTATAGTAAACGACGCCGCACGCCGCGCATTGGTCGAGGCCTGTCTCAAGCTGCTTGAGATGCCCGAGCAAATGGGCGATGCGCTTGCTATAGAGCTTGTAGCAGAGCTTTTCCTTGCGCGGCTCAATCATGTCGAGCTGTTCGAGCGAGCACTTGAGCGCGATCGCGTCCAAAATGCCTTCCGAGACGCAGAGGAGGTCCCCCGGCATGTCCACGACGGACTCGAGGTGCGTGCCAATGAACGTCGTGCACTCGTTGACGAGGTAGTCCATCTGCAAAAAGTCGGACGAAATGAGAATTGGCGTGACGTTTTCGACACCGAGCTTTGTGAGCGGTGACGTGCCCACGCCGTTGGCCGCGTGAACGTAGTTGTAGAGCCACTCAAAGATGCCGACATCGCAGTGCACGGAAATGTCAATGTCCTCGCTCGAGCCCGAATCGCTTAAATAGGCGCAAAAGTACCGCATGTTGTTCAGCAGCAGCGCCTTGTTACACGTAAAGTCCCGATTGACTTTGCGAAACTCGTCGCACACGTGGATGACGATGGTCTCGTCACGGAGCTTACGCGGCTTCTTATCGATCGTCTCGAGCGACGGCGCCTTCTCGTCGACGCTGCCTCGGATCGTGCGCGGCGGCTGCCGCACGGACCCTTTGCGCTGCATTTGTTGGCCTTTCGCCACGAATCTGCAAACTCGTATCTTTGGATTGGCCAATCGTGTCGCTTGTGGCGGCCAACGCCACTTTTGAAATGGCTGAATCCAAGTATTGGTTGAATCGTAGATTTTTTCGAATAGTTTCGACTCGAGTTGATTTTGCTCGATTTTTTGCGCATAGTGAACAGGAAACAAAGTTTTATGCATTGTTACTCGACAGATCATAGGTAGATGGGGGTAAGGGCCCGCGCGCCGAGAGTGGTGGCAACTTGACGCGGCTCGGCGATACCTCGGAGCGTCGCATGGCCTGTGGCGCGGTCGCAATGCGGCGTAGCTCGGGGCGCTGGAGCCCTGGCGGCAAATGAATGTCACCCACCGACCGCGTCGAGAGCAAGTGCGCTGGCGACCGTGGCGATGCCAGAGGTGAGTTGGTGAGATCATTGGGCGCTGGACCGCGTCGCGGCTGCCTATACCAATATAGGTGCATTAGGGGTTAGGGCAAGAAAAGTTGCGTGTACGGAGAGGCGTGTTTGGTGGCGCTGATGAGAAGCTAGACAAAGACAAAATTGATCACACCGTAAGAACGGGACGAGGCTACCTCGGCGTCGCGCCGCTCGTCTTGGTTGGTCTCGCGCGCACTCGGTGTGAGGGGTTCGAGCTTGACGAGTTTCTAAAAGGATGATGAATAGGAGAGGAAGGCTACGTGCACGCAACCTTAGCCCGGTGACGCATGGACGGCGATGGCACGTCGGGCGATTGCAGAATCGAGAGCACTTTGGATTTGGGCATGGGAACGTCGTCGTCGCCTTCAGGCGTCTAAATGCACATCATAGTCATCCAATTTTGCCACAGGTTCGCTTCGCCTACGGGGAGCTTGAGCGGCGGTGTCGCCGGCTTCTCCACGACGGCCAGCTTGGGCTTCGATTTCTACAAATGAAAGTGTGTTGGCTTGACTGAGTGCAATACAGCGCGGGGCGCACCGTGGTCGTCACTGTTTTGGGCGGGGAGTCACTGAGGGGGCGCGACGTGGCGTCCGCTCTGTACTTCTTACGTTCCCGCCGCACACTCTTCAAGAAAGGCGAGAGCAGCAACTGTTTGGCGTCGGGTCGCTTGCTGGGGTCGCGCTGAAAGCATGCGTGGAGAAACGCAACTGCCTACGAGATGACCTCGTTAGAAAAGGCATTCGACGCGGAGGCTAAAATAACGCCATTCCATGTGTACCTCGGCTGGCAAGTCGGTCGGGACCTTTGGAATCGAGTCGCTCGACACGATCTTGTACATGGCGGTGAGCGGGTTGCTGAATTCGTGCCACGGCGTCTGACCCGTGAGCATCTCGAGCACGGTACAGCCCAGACTCCAAATGTCGGCTTTGATCCACCTACATTGTGCCATGAGACTTTACTGAGAAATCGACAAAGTGTACCCTTCGCTGGTCTGTTGCTCCTTGATAACTTCTGGCGCCTACGCCAGCCACATTCTCTCAACCAAATCATTCAGCGCACAAGGACCACCATCCAATGGGGCGTTCCCTTGAGTCCGCCGACGACCGAGACGCTACCGATTTCCTTGAGAGCGCCAAAGTCGGCTAACTTGAGCTGCGATTGGTCAAAATTCAGTAGCACATTGGCGCTCTTGATGTCCCTAACCAAGACGACCCGAAGCATGAGCACTCGTGGAAGACGCGATCGATGCGTACCGGTGCGCAATGCGGTGGTCGTGAAGAAACTGCAGTGCGCGCAGAAGCTGCCACGTGTAGCGCTGCGTTCGCTCAAGCGTGAGAGCACCGCCCACCGCGCGAATGTACGCGCTGAGTGAGCCCCCCGGCATGTACTCCATCGCTATCTCGAGCAGATGGCGGCGCTTTTTTTGCTTAACGCCTTCGTAGTGCACGATGTGCTTGTGCGTTAGCCCGTGCATGATGGTGGCTTCGCGCATGAGTGCGTCCTACACCACAACCTCTGTTTGATCATGTTCCGACCGATCGTAGAATCTACGATTTCATCGAACGAAAGATCCTTTGTGCTCAGCTCTTTGAGCGCCACGACGCGCGTGGACGGCGGCAGCTCCGTGCACTTGTACACGATACCATGCGCGCTAGACATGATCATGGTACATTGTCAGTAGCCCTTACGATAGGGCTGGACGGAGTACCCTTGCCCGATTTTTTCCTTCTTGAGCCACTTCTTCTTCTTTGGTGCGGTCTCGGTCATGGGGCCCGCCACTGAATCGGCAACTGCATTTACGTGCTATCATTAGACGCTCCGTGGCGTGGAATTAGCCTCGCCTTTCTGTCGCTTTCGAGCGACCTCGTGGCTGCTGACTACTAGTCCAGACGACATATCTTTGTTAAACGGTTTTGAGATTCCAGCGACTGCGGTCGAGCTGAGCCTTTAAGGTGCTTGCGAAATCATGTATGTTTTTGGTGCGAGGAAGATCTCCAGTTCAAGGCACGGTGCGGCTATCGTTCCGGAAGCAGAGACGTGTTGGTGCGACGTCGGAGATGGCGACGCTATGGTGCTAATCACAAAATGGGTGTCGCGCAAGCGAAGCGGTTGCACGCTGTCGCAATGAAACTAGTCACGTTTTCTCCTGTGGGATTCGCGTAAAACTCTAGTTTTACTCGAAACGGTTCGTGATTGCTCGGCGCATGGCGGCAACGGGCGCCGTCTAGCCGATCGTCGTCGCCCCGTTCTTCCCTTGCCCTGTACATGGGGTGTGTCACCAGCCAGCCGCGCCCTGCCTCGATTGCTGTGACCACCGATCCTGACCCCGCCCCCCGCAGCCTCGAAGAAGAGCGTGCTGTCGATAGCCGTGTGATGTCCCAGCTACAGCTTTCGACCACGAACGCTCGCGCCACCACCGATCTCGTCAAGAAGGTCACGACCGACGTTCATGACTTTGATATGGACGGCCACGTTGTGCAGCCTGCAGCATCACTCAAAGATCCGATCTCCGACCGATTGCAGCCCAATGCGTTTGTTCGCACTGAGCTGCCAACGCAAATCGTGCCAAGTAGCAAAAGTCCTTTGCCACAACTCAAGTTACCCAACGCGACGCTCGCGAACCAGCCTCCGCTCGAGTACGCGCTCTCCCGGCCGCCGACGCCCAAGACCATCCAGCCCAGTGCCAATTGCGACGTCCGACGGGCGTCGTTTCGTGGTCGCGGAAGCTTCCGAGGACGTGGCGGGCGTGTGCCGCCGGCAGGCCGCCCCCCCGCTGCCGCCGCGACCCCGACGCCAACGCTGGCGCCCGCCGACTCTAATTTCGACGACGATATGATTCAAGTCGTCGACACGAGCGGGTCCGAGAGCGATAACGGCAGTAGCTTTGCCGATGTCGAGCCAGCGGAGGCGCACGACTGGCTTGCTTCGAGCCACTCGTTTCTTGGCGCGGCTACCATCGTCGGCAGTGACGACTCGGACAACGGCGATGACGATGAGGGTGTCGACGATTGGCTCCAAAGCGGGCCACGCCCCGACATTCCGACCAAGGACAAGGAGCATACCAGTGTCCAAGAGACGCCGGACGTCCCGGCGCAGTCCAAAGCGCGCACGGAAAGTGTCGAGATGAAATCTGGGGCGTCTTCGAACGAGCCTCTGCCTCTCGTGGCAGGTAGTGTACATGTATCGTTGAGAGAGCTATATAAGAGAAACCACTCATGTAGGCGCTGGTATCCGAGACACGACGGTCGTCAAGAAGAAGAAAGCGCAGCTGCCCACCCACAATTTGCCGCACCCGACGCCGATCTCGGGCGATTGGCTCAATTCGCGCACGATGATCAACAACTACATCATCTTGGAGAGCCTCGGTGTCGGAAGCTACGCCGAGGTCAAGCTCTGCAAAGAGAAGGCATCCGGGCAGCTCTTTGCCATGAAGTTTATTGACCGCGATATCATGCACAAGCACGGCAAACTCAATCGGCAGCCGGACGCGCTCAACGACATCAAGCGCGAGATTGCCATCATGAAGAAACTGAATCACCCCAACGTACTGCGGCTCTTTGAGGTCATGGACGACCCGCACGTCAACAGACTTTTTCTCGTCCTCGAGTACATGCAGCTCGGCGACTTGTTGAGTTTTCAAAAAAAGACAAAGCCGATCTCGACCACCGACACGATTTGTGCGCCGATGCTCGATCCCGAGCTGCACGGCGTCGCCCTCCAAGTGCTCCACGGCCTGTCGTACCTCCACGACCAAAACATCGTCCATGGCGACCTCAAGCCCCAGAACCTCCTCATCGGCGAAAAGGGCATTGTCAAGATTGCTGACTTTGGCATTTCCCAAAATTTGTATGGCAGCAAGCAGCAGCTCCTCGAGTCCAAGGGTACGCCGGCGTTCATGTCGCCCGAAATGTGCTCGGGCGTGCAGTGTACGTGCCAACTATCAAGTGCCCACTTGACAGATTGATCATTTGCGTAGACTCGGGCCAACTGGCCGATGTGTGGGCGGTCGGCGCGACCTTGTACATGCTCAAGTTTGGCAACCCGCCGTTCGTGGCAAAAACGGCTCTCCAAGTCTTTGAGAAGATTCAGAACGATCCCGTTCTACTCCCGCCGGGCGTGGACCCGGCGCTCGCCGACTTTTTGTACAAAATTATGACCAAGGACCCGAGTCGTCGCCTGGCGCTGGCGGACGCATTGAGCCATCCGTGGATCACAAAAGACCGGTCGCTGCGCCGGCGACCCCTCTTGAACGTCCGGATCACAGTGTCGGCCGACGAAATCGACAGCGCCATTCACGCCACGTCGTCTCCGCTCCATGCTACAACGTCCAACGCGGGGCTCCCGTCGCTCATCGCCGACCGCCCAGCGCCAACCAAGACGTCGTCCAGTGCCACCGAGTCCAAGGCTTTGGGGGGCAGTGCGCCACCAACAACGCCACCGACACTGGTGCTCGAGGCCAAGACGCCAGGCGACACCCGGAGCCACCACTTGCAGGCGCTGCACCGCAATAGCGGGTCGAGTAAGCGGCGGTCGCTGCTCCAGAAGCGCAATCAGCACCTCTCGAGCGAAGAGATGCACTATCGCAGTGAAATGTTTGCTCAAAAGAAGAGCCATCCGCGGCTCATTGCGCGCAACGAAGGCTCGTTTGACGACCTCCTTCAGCCCTCAAACGACGGCGTCAACTCGAGCGACGACGACGACGATGGCGACGACGACGACGAGCATGCGATCGCCCCCTCGATGCATCATCTTGACGAGCTGCTCTTGACGACACTGGCGCCCACCGCACAAGCCGTTTTGCCACCCAATTTGGACAACATGGACGCGCTCACGGCGTCATCGGCCAACTTGATGCTGCGCGAGCCGTGCAATGCACTGCTGCATATCCGCTTGGCGTTGGCGAGCGTCCAGGGCCGGCGCACGACCCAGGAAGACCGGTGCATGGTCATCCCAAACCTCGCATCGTACGACTGTGGCCGCGAGACCATGGCGTTTGTGGCAATCTACGACGGCCACGGCGGCGTGACGGCCGCCAGCTACCTCCAAGAACATTTACACCGTTGCATGCTGCGAACTCTAACGCTGAACGCCACTCCTCGTGCCATTGTGGATACTATCCAAGACGCCTGTATTGCGCTAGACAGCGACCTCTGCGATTATTTGTACGCGAGCGACTGCCCGAGCGGCTCGACGGCGACGTTTGCATTTCTAGAGGTTGTGCCGGCGTCGCGCCGCCGCCTCGTGCTTGGCCATGTGGGCGACTGCCGCGCCGTGCTGTGCCGCGACGGCGCCGCCAACGTCCTTACCAAAGACCACCGGTGCACGACCAAGGACGAAGTCGACCTCGTCGTTGGCATCATTGGTGCCCACGCCATTATCAACAACCGCATCAACGGTGTGCTTGCGATCACGCGCACATTTGGCGACCTCGAGTTCAAAGGTCGGACGCGCAAAGCGTCCGAGCGCGCCGCCCGCGTCTACTCGCAAGAGACCGTCAACACTGTACTAAGCGCGACCCCGGACGTGTTGATCGTTGAGATTGAGCCCTCGGATGCCTTCTTGCTCCTCGCCTGCGACGGGCTTTGGGAAGCCATGGACTGCGACGCTGCTGTCGCGTTTGTCGTGAGCCGCTTGGCGCTGCATGGCCAGCTGCAGGTGGCGGCCGAAGAGCTCACGCAAGAAGCGGTGCGGTGTCTCTCGAGCGACAACGTGAGTGTCATCCTCGTCGACCTCACCAACGCCTCACCACGCGCAGTGGTCTAAACCCAACCTCGTATTTATGATTTTGTTCTCGACATCTTTACACGGGGCGACAATGTGGCACTTGCATTTGGCGAAAGCGGGTGTCGAGGTCGGCGGTGTGGGCTGCTTGCAGAGCCCGGAGGCTCTCGAGGTGCGATGCTAACGTGGTCATGCGCGCCTTGTACAAGTCGTGGGCTCGCCGGCGCTGCTTGGCAAGAAGGCGGTCGGCCAATTGCAAATGTACAATATTTGTCAAGGCAAACTAGGAGCCAATAATCGGATCGTACTATCCAATCGTATCGAATGAAAAAGGATATTCGGATGGCTCGATTGAGTCGTAGCGGTCTTGAGGTTGAAGTAGTAGCACGCACCATTGCGCACGTCCATTTGTGGTACCCACTCGTCGCTGAGCTTGGCTTTCAAGCACGCTTTTGTCAGCGTCGTCGCATAGTGCTAGCACAATTGCTGACTAACGATATGGACACGAACCAGCACGAACGTTCCATTGTCGCTCAAAGTCGGCGCTTTCGTTTGTCATAGACTGCGTCGTCACGGCCACTTCGACTGAGACCATGCAGTGCCACTCGAGCATCTCATTGACGAGCGGCGCCGTGGCCTGGCGCCAAAGAGGGTACACCTCGACAGGTGCGAAGACAGCACGAACACACCTGGTGACGCTGCTGCCGCACCGCCCACAATCGACGCTCGTGCCGCGTCGCACGGTGCGCGGCCATGCACTTGAGGTACCAAACGCGCCGCCGTGCCAGTACGCGGCGCAGATGACATTGGATCCTACAGCGCCTCCATCGCTCCACAAGTCGGACCCCAGTCATCCTACACGCATGCAGCAGCGTGGGCGCTCGGCGTTGTCAGCTGCAGTAGGTCCTACGCAGAGGCAACATGAAACAGCTTCGGCCAGGGCGTTGCGGCTACCGTGCGCAGCCGGCTACGCAGCAAACATCGGCGATACCACAACCAGCGCAACAGGCGCCGCGCCTAACCCGGCGTATGTGGTAGATCCCCCTCGCGCGGCTCGCCATACCGTGTGCCGTCGCCGCAGTCGGTCCCAGTGACGTAGCCACGCCACGTGTCGTCGCCAAAGCGAACGTAGTCGGCGCTAGACAGCGGTCCTGAGTGTGTACATGTGCGAACGACGTATGGAGCCGTACGCGTAGGAGTGCAGCGGCCGCGGCTTGTCTCTTCAAGTCGCAAAGGCAGGCGCGATACTGTGCGCAGGAGCGGCGATACCAGCGCTGAATTCGTCGAATGGCCACGATCCGGCGGTGGGCTTTGGCAAGCGTCTCTGCACACGCTCGTAAGCGTGAGCTGGTACTGCGTTCGAGCACGCACCGTTGGTACGAACGTCCTTGGCGTAGCGTTGGGCGTGAACAAGCCGCTCAAACGAGCTACTTGGCTGGCTCGATGGCAGGTACGTTGCTTGGGTACGCACGACGTTGGTGACCATCGAACTCAGTGGCAGGGCCGCTTGGGCCTCTGAAGCAGCGTTCTCCTCTCTTTTCTCTGGCATTTCGACGAGAAGGTCGGCAAGCTGCTTGCGAGAGAGTGCCACCATCTCTGTGCGTCGACGATCGACTGTGAACGCACGAAAGGTTGCCGTACCGCGACAAATTTCACTCGGCTCGTGGGCTTCGATGCGCCCAATGATACGGTCGAGCTGGATGGCTCGCTGGAGTTGCTGCGCCTTGGACGGTGTCTATAATACCATAAACATGATCCCTACTCGCTTGCGCACTCTCAGCTACCTTGTTGTCGTCCGTAGCAGCGGCTTGGCCCGCTATTGTCTGGACCATGCCGTGCAAGATGCGCCTACGCTGCTGGTTGAACATGGCAACGCGTCGTGCGAGGTTTCTACCGAAAGTACGCGACGAGGCTGCACTCGTCTTCTTCGCGCGCGCCAGCCAGTAGCTGCGGCGAAGTACGCAGTTGGTCGAGCAAGCTATCTTCGCGGTCTACAGCAGCAGCATATTGCCTCGTTCGTACTTTGTGCATGTGTACTGCAGCGCCACTCCTCGCGGTATTTGCATTGCAGTATGGTCGTGCGCGTGGCGACTGCGGCGCGATCCTAATCACTCCTCGTTGCGAGTCGTGCATCAAATAGCGCCTACGCCCAACGTCGCAATGTCCTCGGCGCGATGGAGGCCGATGCGAACGACTTCGCTGAGCATCGCCTGGACCTGCGCCGCGCTGGCAAGGGCCTTGGTCCCTACACGGCGCAATGTCAATGGCGGTCGAGACGACGTGGCGACCTGGCGCCAGCTCCGTGCGGGTCTCTACACTCGTAAGTGAGCGTCTCTAGATGGCAGCATATCGACACGATACTGCTTGTTGGCCGGCGCAGCGGCGGCGGCGCTGGCGACCGACCTCGGCCCGTCGACCCAACCCGCATGAAACCGACTTGTCGTCACCGCTGGACTTTCCAGCATTTGAGATCCAGTGGATGACCAGAGAAAGGCAGGTAGGAAGCGGGCCGACTGAGCTGGTTGATTGGTGATAGAGAGAGGAGGTGCAGAGCTGAGGTGCAGCTACCTCGGCGGCGCCCCAGCTCGGCGCCCCAGCGACGAACGCCGTGGTGATGTGTCGCTTTGGGGCGATGTGCAACACCCATCACATGGCCCTGAGTGACGCCAGGGATCGGCCGCCACTTTGCACTTTGACCAAGTGCAATGTGCATGCAACGCCGTTAGGGCAATACAAGGTTCTTATAGATAGGCTGCTGGCGCGCATGTAGGGCAGCACCCTTCATGGCGTCCATGAGCTCGTAGTTGGAGAAGAGAGATGATGATTCTACTGGGCACCGACCGACTGGGCCACCGCTTGCGAGAACGGCGTCTTGGTGCGCGTCTTCTGGTCCGACATCCAGATCCGAAGCTTCTCGAGGTTCGGGCCCGCCTCGTCCGGGACCCACTCGACGTACACTTGGATGTCGGTCCGGTTCGACACGAGCGGCATGAGCAGTCCCATAAAGTTTTGGCGGATCTCGACGCTCAAGCCAGGGATTTCGACGCCGCGCGCAATGATCTTGGACGCGTCCGTCTTCTTGTCGATGATGCCCGCGAGCCAGTTGCCGAGGTGCTCAAACTTGCCCGGTTGCATCTTGCAAATGTCGCGGAAGAGCACCCCGAGGAACTCAGACGTCATCGCCTTGCAGCGCTTCTTGAGCTTGTCGTGGATCGTGAGTTCTTGGTACATGGTCATCGCCGGCGTGTTCTCTAGCCCATGGATGCCTTGCGAGTAGCAGAGCCCGCAAAGGTTGTAGTTGACGCACACCGAGCACGACCACACGGTGCCCTTGATCGGGTGCTCGCCGCAGCCGTCGCAGAACGCCATCGCGTGGTCCGTGTCGGTAGGCGCCTTCTTCGTGCGGCTCAGAAAGCTCGGAAGGCCCGGCAAACTCTTCGAGATCTTGGGCAAGTTGGAGCGCGCCATCGTCATGACCGACCGCCGCGCAGGCGGCAGCTCTGTGACCGACTGCGGTCCGCCGTAGATGACGGACATGCGCCCCGCGTCCTGCGGCTCGCTCTTAAAGTACGGCAGCTTGAGCTTGGGGTGGTTGAGTTCGACGCGGCGCGTGTCATGGAGCACATGCTCCGAGTCCTTGTGGCCCGACGGACCGTAGAAGACGTGGTTGGCAAACATGCCGCCGGGCTCGCGCTCGTCCTCGCCAAAGGCGTCCTTGGGCGACGTCGGCGTCCCCAAATCCGAGTCGAACTCGTCGTCTTCGGGCTTGGTGTCGATCGTGCACACGCTGAGTTTGGCCTCGACCGGGCTCACGGCCTCGACGCGGGCCTTGGCCGGCGACGCAGGCTGGTTGCTCGAGTCGGCCATGTTGGTCGTCGTCGTCGTCGTCGCTAGTAGGATGATGGTACGAAGGGCTGCGCTGGCGACCGTGGGATAGGCAGTCGCTTGTCACGTCGCCCCCGGAAAGCAGTTCTGATTGGTGCAAGAACGAACGATCCATGTGGTCTTCGTCCTGCATTTTAAAGCCGATATTTAAATACACATACAAATCGTATATATAGACACATTAAAAATGAGGACGGGCGACGTCGCGTTGCCCACCACGCGCCACGGACGGCAGGCTAATCACACGCCACTTTTGTCAATGACGCGGTCCCCTCCCTGCAACTTGACGGCAGGCAGCAGCGTCCACGACTGCGCAACGATCGTCCGCAAACGTCCAAGGCTCCACGCGGTGACGCCACCCAGTATGACGTTCGCTTCGCATCGTGCTTCTTCTACGGGACATGTGGCGATTCGCGATTTTTGGGATTCGAGGTCGGAATTCGTGCCACGAACGACAGTGCATCCTCAACAGCAAGGCGCGAGCTCGCTGCTGGCAACGCCGTCCGTACCAGGTAGTGGGCGTACGGCTGCGACTCATGCCTGCGACGACTCCATGGGGCAGCTCCACCAGCGAGACACGGTGGTGTGAAACTTGGCGTGATAACGTGCTAAAGTAAAGTGTTTTTAGATTGCCGTCCGTGAGGATCAGACCTGATCCGCTTTTGTGACGCAACTTACGGAATGCACTGTGTTTTCTGGTGGCCGCGTTAACTTACTATGCACGAAGAACTAATTCTGGGGGCGTGGGATTCACGCTGAGAGTGTTGGGAGCGCAATTTCAATCTCCTCGTCGTCGTCGCTTGCGCTGTCATGCACGGTGGCCGTGTCGTCGGCGAGGAAGTCGTCCAAGTCGAGCGAGTCGGACGAGAGGCGCGACGCCGAGTGGGAGCGTTTGCGCAAAAATTTGGCGCCAAAAGAGCCGAGTTTGCCCTTGACGTCCTTGGAGCTGAACGAGAGGCGCGAGCTACCGCCGGAGGACGACGACGTCAACGAGAGCCGCGACATGGACGCTGGCAATGTCGGCATCTTGATTGACGATCGGCGGCGCGCTGGCTTCTTCTCCGGGATCGCAGCGGCCCGTGCGTCGATTTTGCAGTACCGGCACTCGCTGCTGACGTGGCCCACGAGCTCCTCCATCGTACACTGCGGCGTATCGCGCAAAAAGGCATGCCAGGCCGCGTACCCGCCGTCGAGGCAGCTCACAAAGCGAAAGCCGTGCTTTTGAAACCAGAGCGCGGCGCGGTTGACGATCGCCACGTCTTCGCGGATGCCTTCGCGGACGAGCGACGCCGTCTCGTCGTCCGTGACAAGCGTCATGGGCAACGTGACGCCGTGCCCGACAAGCACGAGATGCACATTGGATCGGAGCGGCAGCAAGGTCGCGAGCGCCGTCTCCATCATCTCGGGCGAGTCAAACACGGCCGGGTCGAGCGTGTACCCAGATGGAATGCCGCCACTCTTCATGTCCTCGGACGACCGGCGACCGCGGCAGTCGACGATAAAGTACCTCAGCGAGAGGTCGGTTTTTGCGCCGGGAATGCACGCGGCGGAGGCAACCTCGTTGGTCGAGATCGAGAGACACAGGAGCGGCGGCGGCGGGTCATGGCGCGCGCTCGGGTGTTCCCACTGCGCGCGCTTGGTTTTCTTATGCACCCAGTAAAAGCGACCAGTAAGCGTCTTGCTCTCTTGCTTCTCCCAGACGCTCATGTCGACGGGCGGCGCGGTCGCCGACGCCACCGTGAAGGTTGGGTGCGGACGCGCGTGCCAGAACGTCGTGTACGACGACGGCGTCCGCCGCTTCAACAGCGTCGCCAGCACGACCGTGGCCTTGGCCGTGCCAACGTCGTCGAGTGCAAAGCGCGGCTTGAGGATCGCGCGGATGCTCTCGGCATTCGACTGCGCCATTATGCTATCGCGGGCCAGCATGACGATCGATAGGATGACAAAGAGGCCAAACTCCATGTCGCCGCTGATGAGGTAGGCGTCGAGGAGGTACACAAACGAGGCCGGTGGCACAGTGCGGTAGACATTCGCGTAAAAGTAGTCGAGAGGGACGCTGCGGCGCGTCCAGTCGGGCACCCATTGAAAGATAAACGCTGCGAGCGCTGGGTCGTGGTACAAGAGGAGGTTGTCGAGCATGTGTTCGCGCTGCTCGAGCTCGATCGGGTTCTTCTCGTGTAGGTCGTCCGGCAAGAGCGAGAGCGTCCCGGAGACCAAGTGCGGCAGGTGGAGTGCACAGTAGCGGTAAAAGCAATCGTAGATCGTGTGCAGCGGCAGCTCGAGGAGGAAGAAGGGCGCGAGCGCCTGCGCCATGCCGCTCGTGTACGGCACCGCCTTGGCCGTGAGCAGCCACATGAGCACGGTCTCCATGCCGGGCTGCGCGGCCTCGCCCTTCGTACCTGCCATGAGCGCAACCGCGTCCGACACTTCCTTGCGCAAGAGCGGGTCTCGCGGCAACGACGCGAGGCGGTCCGAGATGCGACCGAGCTCGTCCGCGCTGGAGCTTTGGCGGTCGTGCACGTGCAGAAGCACTTGCCACACGAGCCCGCGGAAGAGGAAATGGCGCCGCTCCGGAATCGTAATGAGCTTGGTCTGCAGCCAGTGACGGATGGCCTCGAGCTTGGGCGATGGCGCCGCGAGGAGCTCTTCGAGGTGCTCCTCGCTCGCCGACTGCGTCCCGATCTCGTAGATGCGCCAGCGCTGCCAGTGCCGGCGCTGAATGAGGCGCTTGAGGCTGGCGGCGCGGGCAGAGTCGTCGTCGGCCATGCTGCTACTGACTCGGCGATGGGCAAAGTCGAATTAAGATCGAAGTTGGAACGACATCCAGCGTATCTTGCGCAGTGCAAAATAATTCAGACATTTGCTTACAAACACTGCTATTGATTAAAACAAAAGATTAAAATACGCAGCAGCCTCTGCACTACGAAATTCGGGCTTCGAAGTTCGGTGGTATTTTGGGTGCTCTCTCGACGCAAATAGTGTACAAGTATGGCGTTGCCCTGGGTTGTATGGCCATGATTGAAGTATAGAAGCATAGCTTGCTTCAAGACCATGCTTTTCCTAGGGATGCGATTCTTGCATTTGGAATGCTGCAAGCCCTCGCCGACAAAGAAAGCTTCACTCCCCGAAGTGAGTTTGTAGCACTATATACTGTAAAAGGGAACCAAAAGTGTAAATTAGCGTACGAGCCGCCGAAACCACTTGGCATTTGTATGGATCTAAATATAGCTCGGCTTCGAAAATCGAATCTGAGCTGAGGACGCTGGTGTTGGCGCCATCGATTGCGTTGTCGATTGACGCCGCTTACAGTGTAAGTCGATGAATTCTGTATTGCGACCCCACATCAAGTATATGCCACAGCGTAGGCGCCAGCCTGTACTTAGTAGTGGTAGCGAGTCCTTGCGTCCGCAAACCCGTCTGCCAACGGATCCCCCCATGCGGACGGCGCAAGTTCAATAAGATGCCCACGCAGCCAACAAGGTGCCGAATCAGACCAGGCCTGGGCGCCCCAGAGTCAGCTGTAGGTTTGACGGTCGCAGTACCGCATGGCCAAAAGCGGTACAGGCTGCGGATATTTTATCCGGAAATCTTTATCCGGATGAAATGTGCACTGTGCCGCTGCTCAGGAGCTTGTTGACGAAGTTTGAAGTTTTTACGGAGTCGCATGTTTCGTTATATATACGTAGCTGGTGATGCAGGGAGCCCAAAAACCAAAGAATCGTGCTCGTAGCGTGCCTACAGCCTGTGCAATGCGCCGTTCAAGTTGAAGAAACTGATACTGCATTTAGTATCAATGTATCATTGCATCATCGAGCATATTTGCAGAAATGCGTATAGCACAGGCTGTAGGCGCGCTACGAGCACGATTCGTTGGTTTTTGGGCTCCCTGCGTCACCAGCTATGTATATATAACGAAACATGCGACTCCGTAAAAAACTTCAAACTTCGTCAACAAGCTCCTGGGCAGTTGCACCGAGCGCATTTCATCCAGATAACAGTGTCCGGATAAGGTCGGCGCCAGCGACGTGTTGGTATTATTACCCTAACGTACAGTAGCTACGTAGCTCCCTAACGTTACGTGTAGCATTTATCGTTGTCATTCAAGCGAAAGCTATCAAGAGACAGCATGACCCGCGCCAACTTGGTAATCGCATCCACCAAAGCGTATTGCATGCATTACGAGCCTTTGACCGTGTAGAGTTTGTGAGAAAACTTGATGCCGGCGTGCACACTGCCTTTGCGGATGATACGGCCGCGGCCGCGCGAGTTGTCGAGCCACTGCAGCAGGCCTGTGATTTGGGTCTCGGGCATCTCGTAGTCGCGCTTGTCCTTGAAGATGTCGACGGCAAGGCGCATGAGGAGGATGTAGAACGCAACGTATTTCTTCTTGTCAATCGGGCAAGGAAACCCGCTGTAGCGCGCGAGGAACGTCTTGACGTACGTGAGGACCTCCTTGTAGAGCCGTTTGACCGCCAATCGATCCAGAAATGCCGGAATAATTTCAAAGTCCACGGCAAAGCTCACCTACATCAATTTTTCTCAAACTCAACGTCAAATTTCACGCCAAACACAAACACACAACGTACAAGGCTCTCCAACCCCATATCGAGGGCGTCGTCTTTGCAGACGTCGTGGGTTGACGTGTAAAACTCGCACATGATCTATCGTCCGCATGAAAAATTGTTGAGAAAATACAGACGCACCCGGAGTGGCTTTTGCTCGCGTTGGAGAATCGGAACCATCTCGAGCATGGCTCCCACGATTTGGTCGTGGCTGAGGCTTTCAGGTCGCGAGTCGGGTGTCTTCTCTGTCTTCAACTGCGCGTGCAGTGCGTCCAAAAGCACCTTGAGGAACCCAAATGCGTCGTAGCAGCTCACGAGCAGCTGCACGTCGCCTTTGGCTTCAATGCTCTTGGAAAACGGGTTGAGGTGGTGCAAAATGACGAGCCGAAGCATTTCCGGGGTTTCAACATCTGGGTATCGTTTCGCCCCCACGAGCGTGACGGCTTCGCAGAACAGGCTCCGGCTAAAGTATCGGTGCCGGAGCTTCCCAAAGTTGGGTCGCACGGGACACGCGCCAAACTCGTAGTCTTTCCGCTGCTTGACTTTGAGCTTGTTGTCTTGGGCGACTGCGAGGATCTTGTTGAGGGTCATGTCCACGTCGCCGAGCAGGAGGGGTGGCGTCACGAGCCCCGTGTCGACAAAGTACCGTCGAAGGATCGAAAAGTGCACGCCGTGGCCTTCCGAGCACGCTTCAAGGCATTTGTACGTGCGAAAGAGAAAGGTTTCTACGCCAATAATTCGGAAATTTGCGCTCAACCATGCGCCAAAGACCGTACCAATCGCCTTCTTGTCTTTGAGTTCCGGCTCGTTCGAGACTTCAATCGTGGGGCTCGCAAGACCGTGCAGCGCGTACTTGGTCGACCGCTTGGGCATGGGCGATGCCTGCACGTAGTAGGTACTTGGCATTGGAATCTCGACATCGTCTTCGCGCATGAGTAAATTTTCGAGCGATTCACGCTTGCATTGCGCCATTTCAGCGGTGACAGCTTCCTAATGCAAATACAGCAATCTAGTAGATGACAAAATGACTGCAAGGCCCTACGAGTTGCGTCTCGAGAAGCCGCTGACACTCGTGCGACGTCTTGAGGCTCTCAAGAAGCACGTCTTTCTCGGCCGATAACGCTTGGGCGGCGTGCTGGACATCGACAAACTGCTTTTCCCCCACCATTTTCTCCTTGAAGACTCGTGTCTTTTGCTCCTCGAGCGACGTGAGCGCGGCGGCGAGCGCGCCGTGGGCCTTCATCGCCTCGGTTTCGTGCGACAAGCGGGCACTGCGCTCGGCTTCGCACGTCCGCTGGGCTTCGCCGAGCGCCGTCTCGAGGTGCGTCACGCGCGTCAAGAGTGCTTCGTGGATCTCCGAGTCGGCGACCGACCGCTCGTTATGGACGCAAAGGAGCTTGTGTTGTTCGGCCAGTCGACGCTGAAGGAGTTTGTAGTTGAAGAGCAGTTTTCGCGTCTTGGCGCGCTCTCGCTCAATGGCTTCGGCAGCTGCTTCCTGGTACTGTGCTTCGAGCTGCTCGATCGCAAGGACCGATGTCGATGTTTGCGCCCACGATGTGTCGTCGTCTCGTGTTGTAGGTTGGAATGCTATCGGCTTGGGTGGCTCTGCCGCGGCGACGCTTGTGACTTTGACGCTGGGGACAATATTCGTGACAGGCGTACGGCTGTAGAGAATCTTGACGGGCGGCTCGTCCGCAACTTCTTTCGATGTGAAATCCGTCAACTTGTCCGGCGCGGTCGCAGAGAAATAGGACGCTGGAAAGCAGTTGCTGTTGAGTTCGTCTTTGGGTGCGCATCCCTGCACGTCGTCTTCGCCTTCTGCGATCGCCGCCAGCGTCGGGGCTCGTACGTCAGCATCGACCACCGACTTTGTGGACGGTGACAGGAGCGCGTCCGAGATCTCATTTGTCGCTGTTTCGAGCACCAAACTCGCCTTGGGTAGCGGTGCAACGCGGGCCGTCGGTGGCGGCACTGTCTCAAGAGTGGCGGTTGCGAGCTCGTCGAGCGTCACGACATCACTCGCCCTTGCCTCCAACAGCGCCTCCTGAAGATACTGAATGCGTTCGCGACTGTCAAGGTCGTCGTTCTCGACTTGGATCGTCTCGAGCTTCTCGAGCAACGACGGCCGTCCATCTCCGCGTCTAGGACGTTTCAGTTGAGACGAGGCAACCGGCCACGGCATACCGGCGTAAACATCGTCCGATCTTTGCACGGCACATAGCGTCTTGGCACAGCTCGTAGAGCAAGACGAGTGCGTCGGCAGTTGCATCGTATGTCGCACCAAGCGCATCTTCGATCGCAAGCAGCACCTCGCACGTACACAAGAGCGGTCGGGCATCAGCGTGCTCGGTCAAGCTAGCACCCCTAAATAAGGCCTTTTTGCCGCTGGCATTCCTACCTGTTCAAGATGGCGACACCGTGCGACTGCACGCGGTCATCGCTGCGGTGCTGGTTCATGATGCACGTCGAGGCGGCGATAATGCGCGCTTCGAGCCCGCGGATCGGCGCACTGCCGGGCTCGAGGTCGGCGACCAGAAAATACACCAAGTCGGACGCGCTCACGGCGAGGTCCTTGTCCGACGCAAAGGCCAAGAGCGCGTCCAGCACAATCGGCAGCCCAAATGCGTCGACGATCACTGTTTTGCAGTCGTCGTCAAAGGCCATGAGCTGGAGAAACTTGCTGCCGTGGGTCGTCGTCGCAAAGTGGCTTTTGTGCAACTGCATCGCCCGGAGCGCGACGGGCAAGCTGCCGCAGTGGAGGAGGTACGTGCGGTGGGGCGCGTCAAACGCGAGCGGGTAGAGGGCTTGAAGGCCAAGGGCCATGGCGTTGGCATCGTCCATCGCAGCGTCCATGGCCACGAGCATGCGCTTTGGAATGTCCTCCTTGATGAGCAGCTTGCGCTCGACTTCGCCGCGGCACCCGAGTTTTTTGACGACCTAACAAGTGTATATATCGGTCGATCCACATGGTGATGGGACAGCTACTTGGTAGACGAGACAATGAATGGGCGCGCAGGTCGCGTCTTGAAGCGCGCGGCGCACATGCGTCACCACTGTCGGCAGCTGCGACCCGTCGACCTCGATGAGCCGGTCGAGCACAACTTTCCACAGTGCTTCGCGCTCTGTGCCCGGCGCCAGCGCCGCCTGAAGCAGCGCGTCGAGGCTCATTGCTGCAGGACTCTCCATCGCAGCGCCAGAGTGCACTCGTGCAGTCGTTTTGCGAGCAAGAAGGCGCGCGAAACCGTGTGTATTTTCGTTCCTGCATCAAGTTGATCCTTTTTATAGTCCATTCGGCGGTCATCGAGAGCTTCGTGTACGACCTGTCGCATGACTCGTGTCGATCGCTTCTGTTGATGAGCTTTGCTATTATAGCTGTCCCCTGCCTAGTGGGTTCGGTGTCGAGGACATATTTCACACACACAATTTCACACCTAAACGCGATGTAACGCCTGTTTTACACACGCAACCGTTGTCCGGTTTTCTTAGCCGACACTGCAAAAATGGATATGTTGGTGCAACAACCTCTAGCATTTGATAAAAGCATGGCGGCCAAGGTCCCGGCGCTGGTCATCGATGCGCGGCAAGAGTGGATGGACCTCTCGGTCGCGGACGACGAGATGGACAGCGAGGAGCAGATGCGCAACTGGGAGTGGTTCCAGGTGCAGCATCCGGGCTACCGGTCGCCCGAGACGAAGCGCCGGCCAAGCCCCGCCAACCCGCCGCCGGCCAAGGTCAAGCCCGGCAAGCTCTCGGACGAAGACGTCCTCAAGCAGATGCTCAAGGAGCACAACGACAAGGTCAAGCACGCGCGAAGCAGCGCATCGTCGTCATCGTCCAGCCTCGACGGCCGCAGCTCCAAACGCCATTCGAGCCAAATGGCGCGCCGACCAGTCAAGCACTCGAGCATTCCCGAGCACGACGAGGTCGAGTGCTCATGGGCACCTGCCAGCGCCATGGCGTCGGTGGCTGCGCCAGCGTACACTGTCGGCGATAGCTCGTCGCAGGTCAAGCGGCGCAAGCCCAGCACGTCGCCGCCGTCGAGTCCGCGCACGAATTCGCTGACGCGCTCCGTCAGCGACGCGTCGAGCGCCAAGCGGCCACAGCGCATTCGACAGCCAGACGCAGTAGACAAGGCCAAGGAGCCGCGCCGAGCCTCGTCGATGGCAACGTCATCGCAGCGGCAGCTTGAGCAGGACGAGCGGGAGCTCCAAGAACTCTTCAAGCAGCACAACCGGAAGCTTCACAAGACCAAGCCGAGCGCGCACCCGCACCAGAAACTAGTCCAGCTCTTTGAGAAGGTCGAGAACACCAAGTACTATGAGCTCGGGCCGCGCGAGCGAGAGCGTTGCCAGGACATCATCCACAACTGGATCCTCGCCTGGGAAACCAAGGCCAAGCGCGAGTATTACGAGCTCTCGGTACCCGAGCGAGACGTCGCCCACCACAAGATTCACATGATGGTCCTGCAGCGAAAACCGTCGCTCCCCACGTAATTGGTTGGCATATCTTTGTTTAGTATCTAGTTATTGCTTGCGGCTAGCAGACGCAAGCTCTTCATGTGGTGTTGAAGGTCCTTTGCGAGAGGCAGAGTACTCAGGGTGCAGCGGCACATCGAGATGCTTGGTTGGTTCAAAATGGCAGGCGGAACCAGAGGGTCTGGTGGAGGCTCGCTCACCGTACCAGATGCAGTCGGTGTTGGTCATGTACGAGCAGGATACATACCCGATCTCGCTGCCGGAGCTCTGCTCGAGGTGCAAGAGGCTCGAGTCTGGATGCTGTCGACGAGCGCGGTCAATATGTTTGTATCGACGTTTGCAGTTTGGTACGACGACACCTTCTTGCGCTGATACCGCACGACTGCGCGGTCTCGAGCGACACCAAAACTGCTGCGACAGTGTATATTTCCTAGCATGCATCGCACTATATATATCTACAAGGACTAGGTGTCGAGCATGCACAGCATCGCGCAGCCGCGCCGAATCCAATGGTCCTGGCTCTTCTTGCTCGGAATGTCGAGGGCGACGACAAAGTTGGTCGAGTGCCCCGTCGTCGAGAGCGTCCCGGCGCGCGTCGACGTCTTGTACAGCGGACACTCGTACACATCTTTGGGCTTGTACTCGATGCTCCGCGTGGGCTTGAGCCAGATGATGGGCATCTTATCAAAGAGCTCGCCGGGCTTGGACTCGCCGATCTGCATCGTATTGCGGTCAAAGCGCGCGCCTTCCATAAAGAGTCCAAAGATGTAGACGCCAAAGGGTGGTGGAGCCTTTGCGCCTTCGGGGCCGTAGCCAAGCACCTCGCAAGTGACGATGAGCGCGTCGATCGCGATCTTGTGCTCGCGCGAAAACACTTGCTTGACGCCAGTCATAAACCCTTGCGGAAAGAAGAACCCGGGCAGCCAGTAGCTCACGGGCGGGCCGTGTACAAGCCAATCGCCGAGGACCTCAAGGCGCCGGAAGAAATCTTCGGTCCACGACGAGAGCGGCTTGAGGCACGGGTACCCGGCGTCCTCCCACTCTTTTGGGATTTTCTGGAGGAGGAAGCCGCTGTACATGCGTTCGAGCGGCCCGGACATGACGACGAGGCCCTTGATCGCGCGCTTGAGACTCTCGAGCGTGCTCTTCATGACGTGCATGAGGCCGTTGAAGCGAATGAGCTCCTGGCCGAGGAAGACGCCGAGCGAATTGCGGCTTCCGGACGTTTCTTTGAACGTCTCGGGGTGCGCCGACGCTTCGTCGAACGCGTCGGGAATGCGGCCTTGGATCGCGAGCACGAGTTCCATGACCAAGTCGTCGCTCTCGCTGGCTTCGCCGCCGCCGCCACCGCCGCCGCCGAGCATGCACAGCATCGTCGAGAGGAGCATGCTAGTCTCCTTTTGCTGAAACGTAATGTCGGCGTTGGCGTGGAGGCCAAATATGTCGGGCGCGTCGACGTTCGGAAGCGACGTCACATACTTGCGGCACTCGTCGAGCGACCCGGTGGCCGGTGCAAAGTACGTTGCCGACGAGGCAAACTTGTAGTCGTCGTCGAGAAGCTCGTCGTGAAAGAGCTTGCGCATGAGCGACGAGTTGGTGCGCTTGTCCCAGCGATCGGTGATGCGGCCACCGTACGTAATGTCGGCGACCATGACGTTGAGCGTAATGAACGGGACTTCGTCTTGCTCCTCGAGGTATAGTTTGACTTGCTGCATGCCCGTCTTGAGGTCCGAGTTCATCCATTCGTACGGGATGTTCCAGCCGACAGCGCCAAACTTGCGTCGCTCCAAGCACAGCGCGTTGTAGAACGCGAGGGCAAAGATAAACTTCTTGTACTCGCGCGGCTTTGTGCAGCCCTCGTAGTCGGTCTCCTTCATGTCGAGAAACGTGCGTCCGAGGTTCGCGCGCATGCCTTTCGGCGGTTCGTTGGTGATTTTGATACCATTTTGCAGAATCGGGACTGGGAATTTGGAGCTAATAGTGTCCACATTTGTTGTTTCGTAAGTAGAAAAAAAGTTGTGGGTACCTGGGCATGCTCGTGAGCCAAAGTCGAAATTCGCTGTGGATCTCGAGCTCCTTGCTTTTCTCGAGAATCTGCTCGAGCTTGCCGAGCCAGCTCACGGCCAGGTGGCAGTTTTGGAGACAGACCCACTCGCCCGTTTCGCGCGCTTGCTTCATCAAGGCCTCGGCGATCGGCCCTTGGCCTTGGCCAAGCGAAATGATCTTGAGCCCCGCTCCGTCTTTGCCTTCGGCTTTGGCGAGTTCGAGGAGGTAGTCGGTGATGTCGGCGCCAGGACTGAGCACAAAGATGAGCGGAATGTCCGGCGCCGAGTCCGTGTAGCAGCCCTTCAAGTCGAACGGCGGCGACTCGGTGAAAAATGCGCCGGCTTCGCGCCCGACAAACTCGCGCGTGCCAAAGACGAGCATTTCTTCCCGAAAGACGCGGAGAAGCAAGAGCTTTTGAAAATTCGTGAGCGACTCGTTGAGACTACCAGGAATGGGCTCTTGGTGCGGCAGCTCCGAGTACAAGATGGACTCTTTCCACGACGTTGTAAAGTCGTTGAGCGACGGAATCACGGGGCCAAACGCGTCGGGGTTGACTTCCAGCAGCGTCTCGAGGCCGATCCACACTCGCTCGGGGACCCACGACGGCTTGGCGCTGGCGTCCAGCGGGTGTGTTCTGCCAACTCATTTGTCAGTCTTCCGTCTACAAGAAATGATATATATCGCATACCGTTTGGCGCCAATGAGGTAAAAGTTCCACTCGGCCGCCGAAATCGCGTGGCGCTGGCGAAGGATCGATGCGACAATCATAAAGGCAAAGATGACCTTGTCCTTCTCAAAGAGCCCGCGGCAGACGTTGACGTACATGGACATGGTCACGTCGTTCATGAGAATCTCGAGCCGCTCCGAGAGCACGTCCGACTTGGGGCTTGCTTCGAGGCGCATCACGAAGAGCTTTTGGTAGTATTGCAGCGAGTACTGGTACATGGGGTCCACGAGCGCAAGATTGGCAATCACAAAGTAGATGATCGACCCGCGGACCGCGACGCAGCGGTAGCCTTCGCGCGTCGTGTTGATTTCTTTCGAGGTCACTTCGGCTTCCGACATGCGCGTTTTGATCGCACTCGACGTCACTTTCGAGTGCGCCAGCGTGTCGATAAGCTCTTCGTCGTCCAAAATGTTGCCCTTGGAGTTTTCGAGCATGTACAAGATCTTGTCCTCGATTTCCTTCAGCGCCTTCTTGTCGCTCGCAATCGCGACCGTGAGCTCGTCCTTCTTTTGCTCCAAGTCAGGGCGCTCGTTGCGGACCACGTCGACAAGCAGCTGGTCTTCAAGCCCCGTGAGCGTGACGGTAAAGTTGATGACGGTCACTTTGATGCACACCTCGGGCATGTAATGCGGGTTGGCCAGCTTGGTCGTAATATAAAACCGGAATGCGTCCGAGTACGGAATGTCGGCGTCGCCCAAATGCAGCAGGTTTTGGCCCGACCGCTTGAACACTTGCTTGAGCAAGACCGGCTCCAAGCTCGGGTCGAGCTCCTCCTCGACGTTCTCGAGCAAGACCGGCATGCCGTACCGAATGGCATTTTCGAGCGTGCGCAAGAAATCCTTCTCCGACAGCTTGATGATCTGGAGGTTGCTCGTCTTGTACATGTTCTTGATCCACTTGTTGGCTTGGCCTTGCGGGTCGATCATGAGCGGCCAGCGACGACCCATGGTCGCAAAGAGCCCGTTCTCGGTCGAGAAAGCGTCGGCCGGGAGCCCCATGATGTTCCACTCCCGCACAACGACCGGGTCGCTTAAGATGCGCTCGAGGCTGAAGTTCGAATCGACGGGCAAGTTGAGCTCCTTGCAGCAGCTCACCCACATGGTCTGGAGCTCGTGGCGAAACTCGGCCGTGAACGGCCCGAGATACGCAATGCAGCCCGACGACAAGATCATGTTGCCGACGAGGTTGACCATGTCGATCTTGAGCGAGTCGGCGCAGTCGCTCCACCGTCCTTTCTCTTCGCCCAGCGAATCGATGAGCTTCTCGGCGCGCACGAGCTGGGCTTGCGTCAGCGACGTCTGGGCCTCCAAATCCGACTTTTTCTTTTGGGCGCCTTGGAGTGTGCGCTTGAGCGCAGCCACTTTGGCCAGCACTTCGTTCAAACCTGCTTGCTTGACATCGAGCTTTGCCTGCTCTTCGGCGAGCGACGCCTCCGCGGCCTTGAGCTTTTCCTTCTTGGGGCCAATGTTCTTGGCGACCGTGTCGTACGTGTACATGGCGCGCACCCACATGCAGAGCGACGTGGCGGCCGACGAGATGGACGAGAGGTTCTCGGGCGTAAACTCGTCGTCTTGCATGAATTTGGCCAATTGCCGAATCGTCTTTGTCGGAATGTTGTCCTTGTCGTACTCCTTGAGCTTGTCGAGGAACTTCATGTCGTTCAAGAGCTTCTTCGCTTCATTCCACTCTTGCTTGGCGCCAAAGAGAAGGCAGACTGCATTGAGCGTGACGCCGACCATCTTGGGGGGGTTCGTAAACGTCTTGAGCACCGTAATGTCGTCCTTCTTGAGCGAGTTGAGTGCGCCGATCGCAGCGTAGTACGCTGGCATCGCTTCGTCCAGATCCTTCTGACAGTCATCTTTGATGATCTTGACTTCATCGGCAATCAAGTTGGCCGCGCGCACGTCCGCTTCAATGAGCACTTGTTGCTTATCGGCTTCCTCCTGGTCCTTGCTCACTTGGATCAGGAGGTCCGACGTCTCCTTTTGGCTCTTGACAAGGACGGGTTGGAGCTCCGTAAGCTCGACTTTCAAATTTCCGACAATGTCCTCGGTCTCGGCAAGCTTCTTGAGACCACCGCGGTACCGCGCTTCCTTGGCCTTGACCAGCCCGCGCTGCGTGCGGAGCATGTCGACGTAGAGCCGAATGAGCTCGAGGTACGAGGTCGGCGTCGTGTACGTTTGGCGCTTGAGCTCCTTAAAGTACTTGGCGGTCGCGACTTCGACGCTGCGATGGATCGTGACGGCCATGCCGCAGAGCGACTGCACGTGCTTGTCAATGCCGAGCTCTTCGGCGGCGGCCGCAAGGAACCGAATCGCGACCGAGTTGAGCGCGTCTTCGGGCCACGCCGAGAACCAATCGATCGTGCAGCAATTGACGAGCGATGGAAACATGCGGCACCGGTTCCGGAACCCGCCGCCGATCGGCGAAAACGCGAGCACCATGTGCAAATTCTCGCGCACGAGCATAATGTAGTGCGCAATAATGTCTTCGCGCGTCATCTTGCCGAGCGCCGCGGCGAGCGGCCGGACCATGCCCACGATCTTCTCCATTTCGTCAGCCGCATACAGATTCGGGACGTCGCCCGTGTTGAGCACATTGTTGATGTCCTCCAAGAACGACTCGACGACGATTTGCGTGTCCGAGAAGAGAAATACCACGGGCTTGGCCTCGGCGCCAGCGACCATGAGAATTTTCTTTAGGTCTTCGTGGAATTCGTTGGGGCCGTACCCGCGCGTGATCTCGATCGAGAAGCACTTGTAGTCGGCCATAAAGGCCGCGAGGCGCGTCAAACTCTGTCGCCCCGACCCGCCGACGCCGACGAGCAGCGCGTTCCCGCGCGGCTGGCGCAGAATGCGGCAGATGCGGCTCACGTGGTGGATCGCGTCGTTGAAGAAGACGAGGTACATTTGGCTTGGAAACGTAATGTTGTACTCTTCAAGGTACTCGAGCAGGAGCGTGTTGAGGCGGCCCATGTCGTCAATGCTCTGGTACTTCTTGTTGTCGCGCGACACAAAATCGCCATACAAGAGATGCTCAAACGTTGAAGGTTCCCAGTACAACTGCAAATGCGTCTCCAGCAGCGCCGCGCACGCCGTGTTGAACCACGTGCGATCGGCACCGTCGATGAGACGGTCCCGGAAGACCCGCGCTTCTTCGTGCAGCCAGAGCTGAACGAGCGCGTCAATCGACGACGCATGCTCCTTCGTGATCATGAGGACCCCTTGAAACACTTTGGAGAGATCGCGGAGGTTGAACGTGTAGTGCGACTTGGACGGCGTCGGAAGCAACTCGGCCTCGACGCGCTGGTAGAGCTGGACACTGGCCGAGACGATCGGCCGGCCCATGTGCGCGAGGGACGGCACTTCGAGCTCGAGAAACCCGCTGAGGATCGAGACGAAGATTTGAGTCATGGCGTCCGGCGACAGATTCGGGATCCAGACCATGTGGAAGTGCCGTATCAAACGGGGCGTTACCTCGCTGCGCCCGCCGCCGGGGGGCGCGCACGCGGCCGCAAAGACGACGTTGGTCACGTTCTTGAAGAACATCTTGTCCGTATCATAGTACCCGTTCTGGTCAATAACTTGACGAAGGAGCTCGTTGGGGGGCTGCGCGCCGTAGACCTCGAGCGCCGGCATGTTGAGGTCGTCGATGAACATGAGCATCTTCTTGCCCGAGGGCGGCCCGAGAAGATTCTTGCGCTTCTTTTCGAGTTTGAGTTCGAGCATTTCGTTGAGATTCGCGGGCTTGGTTTGCGCACTGTAGCCCATGGTTGCCGCGACAAAGTTGTCGGTCTTGGCCATTTCATCTAGAAACGACTGAATCACGACGCTCTTCCCGACGCCCGTCTCGCCACTATACGACAACGAATGAGATACCCTAACCCTGCTATATGGATCTACCTGTAAAGCACGTGGTGGTTGTTGGACATGAGACGCTCCAGCAGGTACCGGAACCGCGTCGTGTCTTGCGTCGGCACGAGCATCGAAAAGTATGACAACGACGCGTCATACTTGAAGTGCGGCGTGCGGTGCACCCACGAGACCCAGTTCGCGTTCACGTCGTCAATGGCCACATTGTACACATTGTCAATCGGGCCGACAAACTCAAACAAACTGCGGAGTTGGTCGAGGCAGAATGCGTGAAAGCGCGGTCGGGACGCGTCGTCAATGTTGGCGCCGACGCTCCACGTGAGGCTAAAGATAAAGTACATGCGCGCGAGCGACCCAATGTCGGTGCCGGCCGCGGCGCCCGAAATCGCAGCGCGGAGACAGGACGCGAGTAAGTTGAGAAAGGACGTCATGAGGTTGCCGTTGTTGCTCGGGATCTTTTCCTTGCACTTTGCTCGCACAAAGCCAATCGCGACCGGCACGTGCGTCTCGATGAGCTCGAGGAGCGTCGACGCGACCTCGGCCGATGCAAACGTGTCGAGCACGTTGACCTTCCACGTCCTTGCGAGCGATAGGAGACCCACGTGCACTTGCTCCATGTACACCATGCCGCACCGGCTCACGGTCGCCGGCGACGCGACGCGGAGGTCCTGCACTTCAAACATCATGTGGAGCGTCGACGGCAACTTGATGCGCTCCGAGTTGCTCAGACACAACGTCTTGTTGTCGTCGAGGACCGTGTTCATGTTCTCGATCCAGACGGCGTCGACAGGTCCGTCAAAAATGACCCAATTGCGCGCGTCCGACTCGGCGGCTTCCGTGACGGCTTGGCGCACCAGCTTGGGGACGAGCCCGTCCGTCCACTCGGACGTGAGCAGATTGAACTCGCCGTAGAGCTGGCCGGCCGAGATACTCTTGGGGTTCAGAATCAGTCGAGTCACTGTCTTGTAAAAGCCGTCGCGGTCGACGACACCGTCGGCATACAGCGAGGACAAGGCGCGGGCCAAGATCATGGCGTTGGTCGACTTGCCGCTGCCGGCCTCGCCGACGAGCATCATGCCGTGGCGCACGAGCTGCGTTTCGTGCACTTGAATGGCTTTGATGACAAACGAAGCGACTTGCTGGAGGTTAAGGGCCTCGAGCTGCGTTTCGATCGCGTTTTGGAGCACGCCATAGTCGACGAACGGGACGACGACACCCGGAAACAAGTCGGAAATGATACCGCGGAAGAGCGGCAAATCGGCCTCAAGGAATTTCGGGACGTTCGAGTCGCGCATCGCGCGGATCAAGAGCAAGTCCTCGTGGGTTTCCGGCCACTTGCGCTTGAGCTGCCCGGCCGCGACGAGGACACTCTTGACCGCGCGCATGCCAAAATCGTAGTGATCTTGCTTGCTCAGCTGCTCGGACGAGAGCGAGTAGAGCTGCGTCATCTTGTGCGAGAGCGGAAGTGCGTTGGCAAAGCCCTCGGAGAAGAGCACGATTTCAGCGATGAGACGATAGTCGGGCACCATCATTGCGACCGGTCGGAAGAGCGCCTTGAGGTTGTCGGGCAGCTCGGTTCGACCCGCGTACCCCGGGTTCATTGTGATAAAGACCCCAAAGCCCGTGTTGAGCCGAATGAGTTTGCCTTCAAAGTCGAATTGGTCGGCGTTGCAGATGATCGCTTGTTGAATGCACAGAATCTGCTGCGCAATGACACTGAGCACTTCAATGTCGATGCGGTTGAACTCGTCAAAGCACGCCCACGCGCCGGCCTGCGCCAGCCCCGAGAAGAACCGGCCCATGATCTTGTAGTCGAGACCGTCCGAGCAGTTGAAGACGACGCACTGCACCGCGAGGGCCTTGGCGAGATCTTTGGTCGTCTCGGTCTTGCCCGTGCCGGCGGGGCCCGCGGGGGCGCCTCCGAGCCGCAGGTGCAGCGCGCCCGTGAGCGTCATGTAGCAAATGTCCGTGAGCGGCGTAATCACGAGCCGCGGCGTATTCCCGAGGTACTCGTACGCATAGAGGAAGCGCGTGTTGGTTTGACGGCACACGCAATTGTTGACATCCGCCTCCCAGTAGTAGCGCAATTGTCGCGTCCACTCGAAATCTGTGAGGCACGATATCTTGTTGGCAATCAACGACCGGACCACGTCGCGTGCGTGGACGTCGATCGTGATGAGCGCCCCCATGAGGATGCGCTGGAGTTTGCTCAAGTCGCTTCGGACGAGGATGACCATGCCGTCGATCTGCGCGAGGCTAAATTCGAGGAATGCGTCGACGGCCGCGCTGTCTTCGCCGCTCTCGACCGCCGCGATGGCCCGCGACACATTTTTCGTCCAAAACACTTGGTCGATCATGATGATGACTTGGGACGGGTAGGCAAAGAGCCACTCCTTGCGGTCAATTGCATGATCTTCTGGGTACGACGAGAACGAGTTGAAGGCTTCTGTATACAGACTGTGGCGCATGGCTTTCTCAACCTCGAGGAGCCACATCTCGACCGGTCCTTGCGCGACAACGACGGTCGGGAAGTTGACGCGCTCGCCTTCGCCCGACACCATGGCCGTGATCCGGTTGCTCGGCGTCGACTGCCCAGGAATGTCTTCAAAATGCACCGACTTCATCGCATCAAAGCACTTGCCGAGGTGCGGCTGGACAGCGCGCGGGTCGCGGGTTTGGCTGAGAATTTCGAGCAGCTCGTCGTTCGATAAAAAGTAAAAGCGCGGAAACGCCATGCGCTTCGTCTCGAGGTAGTCTTCGAGCGATTTTTGAATCTCTTCGAGGAGCTGGTTGGAGGCCTTGAACTGGTCGAGCATCTCGCTGCCGTTCTCGACCGCACGGAGACACGCGGGGTCGTCGTGCGTTCGGCCCATGGTCGTCTTCCAGTTCTTGTCGACGAGCTGGAATTTTTGGGCTTCGATCGGCAGTTGCTTTTGAATGTCTTCGGCGCAAAAGATGGTTTCGAGATACATCCAGTTGCGCTGGCACGTCACCCACTCGTCGATCGTCTCGGAGAGAAGCGCGAGCTTCTTGTTCCAGCGCTCGACTTCGTCCTTGACGCCCAGGATGTACCGGGAGCCCATCATCGTCTGGAGCGTCACTTGGTTGTCTTCCAAGAGCGTCAAAATATCTTCGAGGCCGCCCAGAATAAACATTTCCTTCGAGTCGCGGTGCGACAAGCACACAAACTCGGTGGCTTCCCACCCGGTCTTGATCTTGTTGAGCGACGCCTCGATTTGGGCTTCACCGGACGACGTGGCCGCGACTTCGGACACGAGGTCCTTGAACTCGAAAATGTCGTACTGCATGAGGTTGTCGAGCGTGAACGAAATGCCTGGGTACCACGGCTGGTTGAGCGCCTTGAAGATCTTCTCCCAATGCCGGTCCTTCATGCTCGGGCTCCCGAGCTCGAGGATCGTCGGGATCTTTTGCTTGAACTCGGCCGTCTTGTCCTTGAGCAGTGCGGTCACATCGTTGCTGAGCTTCTTGTGCATCGAGTACGCGTCCTTGAACGAGACCGCCACGTCCTTTGCAAGCTCGTCGACGTTGACTTCCGAGAATGGATTCGTCAGCACGTTGCGCTGCTGGTCGTTCCATTTCTCAATCGACGTCCACAACACTTCGACCGTGTTGTAATAGTCGAGCGTCGTCGCGAGGTTCGCGTAGTTGTACGGGTCAATGTTGAAGAGGCCTTGGTACTCGGTGTACTGCTTGCTCATCTCTTCGAGCTGCGCAAGGCGCTGCTTGACAACGTCGAGCTCGCCAAGCACGAGATTCGTGTCTTCGAAATGCCCCACGTCGATAAAGACACCAGTTTGGAGCACCTCGCTCTGTTGCACAACTTGCTCGTCGAGACGCGCAATGTTGGCATCCAGCTGCGTCGTCATCTCGCCGAGCTTGCCTTGAATAAAGACTTCAACAGCCTCGGTCTCTTCCTTGTAGCTCTCTTGGACCGAGCGGAGGTCGTCGAGCTGCACCATGTCTTCGGAGCTAATGCGCACGCCGTAGTTGCCCAGTAGACGGTACATTTCGTCGACGACGTTGGTGTTCTTGACAAGGGCTTTTTGTTTCGCCTTGAGGCCTTGAACGCGCTCGACGTGCGACGCAAACTCCTTGAGGTGCTGCGGCCGCTGGCTCACGAGCTGAATACGTTGCTTGTACTCGGTGAGCTGCGCCTTGCATTTTGCCCGCGCTTGGTCTTTGACGAGACCCTTCATCGCGTCGAGCTTGGCCGCCGTCATCGGAATCAAATTCTGCTTGAGCTTGCGGCTCTCGACGTGCAAAATGCCGATGGTTTGCCCCGCCCGCATCTTCTCGAGCTCCTTCTCCCACGTCGCAATTTGGAGCATATCGGTCTTGAGTGACGTGACCGTGTGGGCGCGGAGCGAGTAGTCGTTCTCGAAATCCCACTGCTTGTCGTACTCGTAAATCGGCCGGACGCTGTCAAAGATCTTGACGTACTCGGCGGCCTCGAGGTAGTCGGTGAGGATCTTGGCCACGAGTTCGCCGCGAATGAGCCGAAAGTCCAAACTCAATGTGATCGTCGGACCCACGTGCGGACCGTCCGAGATCGCATTGGCAATGTACTGGTTGAACTGCCGAAGGTAGATGATGCGCGAGACCGAGTTGACGGCGGCCACAATATCGTCTGTCATGGACACGACAATGCCCTGGATCTGCTCGCACGTCGGTGAAAACACCGTGTCGACGTCGCCAAAATGAATCGTCGTTTCAAACAGGCCCGTTTTGCGCGGCGATTTCGAGAGCTCGGCGAGGAACTCGCGGCAGCTTTGCACGGCCAACAAGACCAAGTTCTCGGTCGTAATGTAGTCGATCAACCGGATAAAGTCGCAGAGCATCGCGGCTTCTTCAGCGGCGCGCTTCAAGAGCTTCTTGCGCTGCTGCTGCTCGGTTTTGGCCGCTACGATCGACTTGGTCTTGTCCGCGTGCACGGACGTCGCAAGATCGTTGAGGTCGTCGTTTTGATGGGCTTGGCGCGCGAGGTTGTTGACGTCCGAACACACCTTTTGCGCAATCACTTGGAGCTTCTCGACGCACGTTTCAAACTGCTTGGACGCTTCGGCTCGCTTTGTCGCTTGGTACTCGACGAACGCCGCGGCTTCGTACGTCTTTTGCGCGCGAAAATCAAGGAGAAGAACACTCTGGAGGTCCATCATGACGCGGTTCACTTGCAAGAGCGGGAGGCTAAAGCTGGCTTTTCCAAGGTACAAGGTCGACGCCAATGCTTTCCGCTGGCGGCAAAAGAGCTTGAAGCGGACTTTGGCGTGCCACGCGCTAAACGCCTTGTTGACCAAGTAGTACTTGTAAAACCGAAAGCTCGTGAGCACGTTGAAGAGCGTCGACTGCCGCATCCATTCGGCGAGCGCAATGAATTCGCTCGGCGAACCCGGCAAAATGTGCACGAGACCGCTTGCCGACATGGTGAAATGCTCGGGCTGCACGTCGAGGGGTCGCACCACCATGAGATCGTACGGCCGGAAGAGGACGGACGTGGCGCGGTTGAGGTGCACAAACTTGATCTGGCTGTTGGAGCCGTTGCGGGCAAAGAAGGCAATTGCGTCCTCGCCCGTCTGGAGGTTGGCCGCGCGGATGAGCGCTTCGTCGGCCGACTCGTCGCTGGGCGGCACGACCGTCGGCGGCGGCGGCGCACTCGTCTCGTCGACGAGCTCGTCGTCGACCACGTCAGGCGAAGATGGTTCGTGTTCGGAGAGCGATTGGCGCAAAAAATGGAGCCCACTCGATGGTTCTTTCGAGCGTAGTGGCGACGACGCGTATCCTGGCTTGGGCGACGTCGGAACGTCCGGCAAGACGGGCTTGCGCACGCTCGCGCGCTTCTCCTTGGGCGGGCTCTTCAAGAGCGGAATGTCGAGGATCTTCTTTGGCGACTTGACGCTCGTTGCTTTCGTAGGCGTCGACGACCGGGTCGCGTACCGCAGTGACGACGGCGACGCGAGGGCCGCGTTCGTGGGCCGCTCAGGCTTGGGCTTGTCATGGTTGACAAAGTGGAGCTGGTACGCCGGGTCCTGCTGCAGAGTGAAGAGCCCGTCGGCCTTCTTGGCCTCGCCGCGCCGGTCGCGGGCCGGACTCGGCGGCTCCATCTTTTGACGAAGAAAGTGTCTCTTCAGAGGGCCGCGACCGTTATTGTGTGCAGTTTCGGTTTAGTCAGTCTTTTTTCGACTATAGTCGACTAGGATCTATGGAGCAACGCGAGGTACATTGAATCAAGTGTCCGACATGCCGCCCCACTGTAGCACTTACAGTACCTAGTTGGAGATTCTAGCGTTGTGCTCGTATGACAAAATACGAGATACCAAATTTTGCAGTGTGCTGCGGTGTGGCGGATGCCCTCGAGCGCGGAGACCGCAAAGAGGTTGCCAACGACAGAATTCCTTTTCAAGCGGTTGCAGACTGCAGTACTACATATTCCACACTCGACAGCTTCGACGTCGTGGGCAAATGGCCTCTTCACACACAGCTCTATCATTCATCATGTGGTCACCTGCCGAGGCTCGGTCAGTCCACAAGAAAGAGGTATCTCATGTCATTATGTCGACGAAGGATGAGGGGTCGGTGGTGACCAAGGTCCAGCGCCGTACCGCGCGCCCCTTTGCAGCATTGCGTCAGCCAGTGGAGCTGCGAAAATCTCCAATATGGCGCGTACCCGTTTCACGGTTTCGGATTGGGTTGCGTGTTTTTAATATTAGTATGCTTTTACACTATGCTCAACTCTACGTACACACCAGTTAAACACGGCTTCCAAGTTCCAGCGCCGAAGCGACGAAAAACCATCGAAAAAGTGTCTGTTTCAAGCAATTTGATTGGCTGGCGAAAGGACGCGGTTTGGCGATGCACACCCGCGCCAAAGCCATTATTTCCATTGATCACGCTTGCGACAGCCCGGTCATGGAGTCCCACGAAGCGTCGCTCGTGATCTCGCAAGGCGAGGTGCGCATGCTCAACGAGATTCTACACTCGCCCGTTGCGCGCCACCGCCCGTCGCGTCGGTACGCCCACATGTGCCAGCTCTCGGAGCCGCCTCCTCAGCACGTCACAGAAGTGCCCACGCCGTACGAGCCTCCGTCCCAATACGACATTGGTTTCATCACCAACAACGACGCCAGTCGCACACAGCACCACCACACGTACGGCACCAAGGAGACCGAGGCGCGGGCAGTGTCGTACTCGTCGCCTTCGCCGTGCACGGCGCTCAGTGCCATGTATGCGTCGAGTGGATACAAGCCTGTCGAAAGCCCACGCGCGCCGGCAACCAGCGACGTGCACACGACGTGGACTTCATATGGCACGCCGCCACAACACCGCCACGAGCAGTCTCGCGATTCCTCTACGCACGGGCAAGGATACGAGCTGAGCCCAGTACAGGCGCTGGTACCACCCAGCTTTGGCACGCTTTCGTACATGCCAACGTACTTGCCTGGAACGAATATCCAGTACCAGCACAACTACACGTCCATCTCGCGACCCTACAGTTATGCGCCTCCCGCAGAGACGACGCCGTACCACTGTCTACCCCCCGCCCCGCTTCCGCCGACCCCGATCATGGTCGCGTCGCCGTCGATCCAGGCAACGACGAGCGACGAACTGCAGGACAACGCCAAGAAGCCACCTCGCACGTGCAAGTACGCCAACTGCATGAAGACGATCCAGCGCCACGGGCTCTGCCACAAGCACGGCGGCGTTCGAAAATGCACGAAGGAAGGCTGTTCGCGCAAAGACCGAGGCGAAGGCTTTTGCGTCGCCCACGGCGGTGGCAAGCGCTGTGCCCACGACAGCTGTGAAAAAGTCGTGCGTCGGGGGCTCTACTGCATGCACCATTCGGTGCCAACCGCCGCCGCTGGCAACTCGATCCGCGCGGCCTAATCGTCGACTCTACAGATGAAACTCACGTGGCTGTAGTTTACTATGTGTTCTTATTGGTGTCATATTGCGCTCAACAAAATCGTCGCTCCCTTTATTTCTTCTTAGAGCTCTTGAAGCTTCAAGCTCTTATAGCTCTCCAAATAGCTCTCTTTAGAACTTGACCCTCATTCATAACTCCAATGTTAGCAATTGGCGTCGAGTCTTGAGTCGCACGACATTTACTATCTCCTAGAAATTTAGCAAACTAGAAGAACTATGGTGACATCGCCTCGTCGATGGCCGCCCAATGCATGTCGCCGAGTGAAACTTTGATCGGAAAATCTAGAAAAACTCGTCTCTGGTAGCAGGGCAACAGGTCCGTTTCGACTTACCACTGTGCCGTAGTAGTGAGCATACGGGACGTTGCCAGACCCCTCGCACAACATGACGACCTTCACGCAATCGTTCCGCGAGGCAAGGGTATATAAGAGATGTCGTGCAATGGTACTCTTGGGCTTGTGCGCTTGGTGGAGATCTCTGACGGGGCCAGTTGATCGATGTATGCCCCTCACGCAAGCATTGTTGGACGGGGCTTGCCCCCCGGGACTCGCACTGAATCGCCGCGTCTGATTGGCCGGATGCTCGTCGGTGATTGGCTACCGGGAGACAGACAATCCAAGTCGTCATGAAGCTCACGGAAAAGGACATTGAGCGCTTGCCGTACCATACTGCAAGGTCGTACTGCGGGAAGCACTCGCTGGGCACCAAGGGCCTCGCGTCCGAGCTGCGCCAGCGCATTCGCATCCACATGGGCTATGACGCACAGGCGTCAGGCGATGAGAGTGACGAGAGCACGCTGCACGTGGCCACCGACCATGGCGACGCCGATCTCACCCGCGTGAGCTTCGACGCCAGCGACGAAGACGCCCTCAAGGTAGCCGCGCTAGCAGCAATACCTGCATACAGCCCCACGCCCAGGGTATGCATGCCAAGCGTAGGATCTTGGAAGGTCATCATTCGCATCGCTAGGCCAAGACGCAACCCACTGCCTTCGAGCCAGCAAGAGCGACCGTCCATGTGAGTTGTTATTCGTTGCCGTCTTGGTGGGAGGTTTAGCGATGGCGCAGGATGTCCCACGGGTTGGCATTGCCGTGCCGGATCTGGCGCGCTTCATGAACAGTGTGCAAGGCTCGCTATCATCGCTGGGGCACAAGATGGACGCCATGGCCTCAAACCTTGGGTCGCTCCATGTCCGTGTCAAGCGCCAAGAGACCCAGCTCAACGAGGTAGGACTTGCTTGGTCCGTCAACGTGGCGACAGAAACGGCTAGATCCACGCGGCGTCGGGATCTGCGACGAGCAGCGAAAGTCGCCTGGTCCTTGCACGTCTGCAAGAGCTCGAAGCCGAAAACGCGGCATTGCGAGCGCGGTTGCTGCTTCACGAGGTGCGAGGCCACTCGCTAAACGTTGCTAGAATGACAGTGTAGCCGTCGGTCAGTGCGAGCCTTCTCCGCGCGCCACGTCACCAAGCAGATTCGGTAGACTACTGTCCAATTCTCTTGTTTTGTCTCATGGACGATGTTGGATACAGGATCGCCCCGCCAAGAAGCACTGCGCGACCACACCGCTGTATGCTCATCGGACTTGACGGAGCGTGCTCACATTCACGTACGTAGGGAACCATCCTGCAACACAACCCCAAGGTAAACAACGCCACGAATGCCATGGTATCTGCACCCTACTGCAAGCACGACGGGTAGTTTAAGCGACTCGAGATCACCTTCGGCCCGGGGGGGCACGCCGTCGTCGCCTTCCGACCACGTTTACGTATGAGTCGAGTGTTTGTCCAGTTGTGTTCCATGTATGCCGGATCTAGACTGTAGATCGACACATTTATTAACAACTTGCGTTGACGGTGTATGTATTTGAATGTGGACCAGCCTTGTCCAACGTTGATCCCACTATAGAGGCATGTCACGCCGCGACCACATCGCAGTGCTATCGACCACAGTTATCTCTTTGTACTATCTTCTACCTTTGTTGACAAACTAAAGACATCAATGTGCACAAATGTTGTCGCAGCACATTGGTCAAGCGGACATTTCGGGGCGCAATTCTGGAAAGATCTTTTTTCGAAAACAGCCAATCGCAGGGCGCATATGGAAGGATTATAGCCAATCGAAAGCAAGTGGATCTTCCTGTTTCTATCCAATCAATAGCAACCTTCCACCAGGATCAAATTTCATTTCACCCCACATCTGCCGACATGAAGGTACACGGATCGCGACGATGGCAAGCGCGATGCAGGGCTGGCTGGGAGGAAGAGCCTGGCGCATGGCCGCCCGCGCGCTCGATGAGCCAAGCGCCCATGCATCGCTGCCTGATGAATGCGACGAGCGGCGCCTCATGGACCCCGTAGATCGAAGAAGTCGTGAGCACGATCAAGACGCAGCGCGTGGCGTCGCACACGCACGTCAAGGGCCTGGGTCTCGACGTTGATGGCTCGGCGCTGCCCATTGGCTCGGGCCTCGTTGGCCAAGAGAAGGCGCGCGAGGCCGCGGGTATTGTCGTCGAGCTCATCAAGTCCAAGAAGATGGCGGGCCGCGCGCTGCTCCTTGCGGGCGCGCCAGGCACGGGCAAGACGGCGCTTGCGCTTGGCATCTCACAGGAGCTGGGGCCCAAGGTTCCGTTCTGCCCGATGGTCGGGTCCGAAGTCTACTCGTCTGAGGTCAAGAAGACCGAGATCCTCATGGAGAACTTTCGCCGCGCAATCGGCCTCCGCATCAAGGAAAACAAGGAGGTTTACGAAGGCGAAGTGACCGAGATCACGCCCGAAGAGACCGAAAACCCGCTCGGCGGCTACGGCAAGACCATCTCGCACGTCATCATTGGCCTCAAGACGACCAAGGGTACGGCCCTCTCCTTACGTAGCATCTCATCCTGTATCTTGTAGGCTCCAAGCAGCTTCGGTTGGACCCGAGCATCTACGAAGCGCTGCAGAAGGAAAAGGTGTCGCCGGGGGACGTCATCTACATTGAAGCCAACAGCGGCTCGGTCAAGCGCGTTGGTCGTTCGGACGCGTACGCTCGCATCTGCGATCTATCGCGGACGCTCATCCATCTTGTGTGGCTAGGTATGCGACCGAGTACGATCTGGAAGCCGACGAGTACGTCCCGATGCCGAAAGGCGACGTGCACAAGAAGAAGGAGATCATCCAGGACGTGACGCTGCACGACCTCGACATTGCAAACGCCAAGCCGCAGGGCGGCCAGGACATCATGTCGATGATGGGCAACCTCATGAAGCCCAAGAAGACGGAGATCACCGAGAAGCTTCGCAGCGAGATCAACAAGGTCGTTAACCGGTACATTGACCAAGGCGTGGCCGAGCTCATTCCGGGCGTCCTCTTTGTCGACGAAGTGCGCCGATGCTCCATGCGATGCATCGTTCTTAGCTGATCTTAGGTGCACATGCTGGACATTGAGTGCTTCACGTACCTCAACCGCGCACTCGAGTCGACGCTCGCGCCCATCGTTGTGTTTGCTACCAACCGCGGTGTCTGCACAGTCCGGTGCGCTGCGTCATGGTAGCTCTCTTGGCGTCTCATGGTGCTGACTATAGCGGCACGGAGATCTCGTCGCCGCACGGCGTACCGCTCGACTTGCTCGACCGCATGCTCATCATCCGCACGATGCCGTACTCGGTCGAAGAAATGGTGCAAATCGTGAGCATTCGCGCTGAAGCCGAGGTACAACGGGATACTAGTCTATTATATTTCTCATATCTGACATATCGTAGAGCATCCCGCTGGCCGACGATGCGCTCGGTCGCCTTGGGGAGATTGGCGCGCAGACGTCGCTACGCTACGTAGTGCAGCTTCTGACGCCGTCGCGCATCATGGCCGAGACACAGGGCCGCACCGACATTACGGCCGACGACGTGGACGAGATCCACGACCTCTTTGCCGACGCCAAGCGGTCGGCCAAGGCGCTCGCGGAAGGCGAGGGCTATTTGTATTAACTCAACGTTGACACGGCGTCATGAACTCTTATTGCTCCTTGTACAAGGGTACATAATATCGATTCTTATCTGACCCTTGGAAGGGCACCACTCGCTCGGGCAAACGCCCGCCAACAGGTCAAGATGGTGCGTCGGGCGCAACCGCGCAGGAGCATCCGTTGTGGGCTGCGTATAGTGTAAAGGGACGCATGCACCCAAAGGATTTCATTCTCTTGCATACATCCGACAATGCATTCGATCGATCGATCCAACTACCTATCCATGTCTCCACCGATCGATCCAAGATCATCTTTGTATCCATGTGGAGCGTTTCGGCCGAAAGGGCACATTGCACTTTGGCGCGATGGATCGTCCGACGCGGCTTCCGCTTCTGACGCCGGACACGGCCAGCGCCATCACCCGCCACAAGGCGCCGGTGCGCGCGAGCATGATCACGACAACGTCGCGCATGCTGGCACGGACCAACGCAACGACGGCGACGCCCCGTAGCCTGTTGCACACGCCACCACCGAGTGCCGCCGAGCTCGCGTCGGTCTGGTCCTTCTTGAGCGCCTGGGTCCAGCGAGTCGTACGCCTATTGTGCTGTGCGCTGCGGTACTGAGCGTGCGTAGGTCGAGGACGACTTGAGCGCGGCGTCGATCCCGGGCTTTGGCATAGTCTTTGTGCATGTCCATGGCCACAGCATCCGCATTCCTCATTTTGGTAGCAAGCGATTCGTACTGCAGCGCTCACGCGCTACGTGTAGCGACCCACGGGCCCTTTGCCTTGCGCCATGGGCTCCAGTTTGAAGACGTGGGCGGCCTCGTGCCGCTGCACCGCGTTGTCTTGCTCGCCTTTCGCGATATTGCGACGCACTGCCGCATCGACGAGTACACGGCCAAGTCGTGGCTCGAGCACCTCGTTCAAAACGTCGGCGAGCGAATGCGGTTGACGCCTCTCGTACCTAGCCGCCATGTGACACGCAATGGCTCATGCCTCTCGGTCTATAGGTCGAGCTCGGCCTTGGCGTTGGCACGGTCACTTGCAAGCAGCGCGTCATTGATGGACACATGGCCCAGAAGCAGCAGGTACATGTAGGAGGCAATGACGTGTCCGACGGATCCGTTAGGGCACGATCGACCCGGACATTCGTCCTGTCGAGCCCGTGAGCAAGCGGCCGCAGCCACTACGGTAAGCCTTATTTGCTTGCATTCCGAAGCGAAGTTGAACGAAAAGTAGGTCGCTCTTGGCGCCGTCGCAAGCTTTGTTCCACGTATTGCCGAGTCCAGAGAACGGCACAAGTACACCGCTCAAACCAACGGCACCGGGCAGTCCGCGCGCCGACCAGCTCTCGGGACTATCGCGCCGGGCGCGCGCCCTCGCACAGGCAATTTCGCCTCTCAGCCCGCGCCTCGCGCTGCACAAGCGCCTCGCCGATGCCATGCCGTGGCAGCTCGAGGTGAAGAACCAAGACGTTGTCCTCGACTGCCCCGAACTCGATGCAAAATACCCGCCGCTGCTCGACCCGTTTTGCCGTACGCTGGGCGTTGAGCAGGTCGACGCGATCGAAAAATTTGCATCCAGCGACCGCATCGGTAGCAACTACTCGTTGACCGCCGCCCAACTCGTGATCCGGAAGCACCTGCCGACCCCGAGTGCGTCGCCGTTGGTCTTTTTGAACGCGAGCAACGAGCCCGATGTCATGGTGCTGCCGGCACTGGACATTGCCTTCCAGCCGGTGGCAGCACCGCCGCATAAAGTCGAGCTGCCATTGGTCACGACGTCGGGCAAGCCGGTGTTTTCGCCGCTGCCAGGAACGCTGCCGGTCCCAGCACGCAGCACGACGCACGAGGCCGATTCCGCCGAGAAGGAGAACGCGGCCGTGCGGTATCAGTACTACCTCGAGCACGTCATTAGCACCAAAGACATTGTGCCAATGAACCCGCGCTGGACCGAGCACATTCAAAGCCTCGTGGCGCGCGCGCTGCAGCAGCTGCCGCCGGCGCGGGCCGAGCTCATTTTGCGCGCCATGTTTAACGAGACACTTGCCAACTACTACTTTAGCATCAAGAAGGCCGTCCTCGACTACCTTTTGCTCCGGGAAGGAACCCAGCGCCGGCTGCACATTCGTGGCGGCACGCCGCCCATGTACCAAGTGCAAATGAAGTGGAAGTGGGGCGAAGGCTACGCGCACGCGATTGCACCGACCATTGGCTGGATCGACCGCAAGCAATTGGCCAAAGACCATTTGAGCCAGTACCTCATGATCCTCGACAGCCACTTGCTTGCGCTGCACTATCTATGGGGCGACTTTGACCAGCTCCTCCTCGTGGATGTACCTACGACCGAAGAACTCGCGTCGCACTTGGTGCCCATGAACATCAAGACGTTCGAGAAGCGACAGCTTGCGCAAGCCGGGCGCGTCAAGCAGCTCCTTCTCGACAAGTGGTTTGGGACCGCCAAGCGCATTCTGACGACGGCCAAGAACGAAGACGTGCTCGCATCGGCGCTCCTGCAGCCCAAGCACTACTTTGACTGTGTCGCTACGCTCATGTCGATGCAATTGCGGGGCCTCATCGTGCGCTCGATTGAGGCGTACGTGGCCTTCTTTCGCAAGCACAGCCACGCGTCGTCGTCCAGTCCGCTCCAAGGTCTCCTTCTCTCGCTGCAGCTCGACCACACCAGCATCAACGTATGTTTTTCATGTCGCATATATATATGTTGGCACTATGATTTCTGATTTTGAAATGCTAGTTTGCCACGTCACTCGAAGATGCGACGGCGGCGCTATTGAACGTGCTCTTCAACATCCCCGCTTGCTTTACGCACGTCGACCGCGTCGAAACCAAGTTTGAACCGTCGATTATCCTCGGCGGGTCGCCGTTTCTCTGGGGCGTCGGGCTCCATGAAGACGAGGTCGTCCGCGCCGCCGACGAAATCAAAGCGCTTTTGGCCGACAGCATGGTGCACGCCAACAGCGTTCGCACCAAGTATGCAAAATACGCTGTAGGTTCTCTCCCTGTTTGGCGTAGTTGTGTATATGCATTGCGCTGCTAGATGGTCGCGGCTGGCGACGTGGCGCTGGAGGCGTTTATGGTGGCGCCCCACGACATTGCAGCGTACGCCGCCGAGATTGGCAAGTACATGCGCTTTGCGATGCAAATTGCAGCCGAGCCCAACTACGGTCCATGCCCGTCCTCTGGCTTGTTTCACGTCGACTGCACGTCGCTCAACGCAGGCTTGATACAGAAAGCATCGCGGTTCATCCAGTCGCTCTTCCACGCCTTCTCGCAAGTCACGATCCAAATCAACATGGACATTCGACAGCAGTTCAAGCTCATGGTGAGCCGTCTCTCCAAGAAACCTGTGGACCTGTACGAACTCGTCGACGCCGAGGTACGCAGCAGCGGTGTCGTCATCTCTCCTAGCTTAGTTGATGGGTCCAGGCGTACTTGACCAAGCTCCGGACGCAGGAGCTCCTCGAGCTCTTTCGCAGTGTGCAGGACGTCAAGCACCGCATTCAATTTCTCATCGAGCAGGTACCACCGACCAACATTTCAAAAATGTTATTTGAAAGGCATGTAATTAGGTCGAGCTCGTGCCCACATGTCCCGTCATCTCGGGGCTCTCGGTCGCATCCGAGCTCCTCTCGTCGACGGCCAAGACGTTCGAGTGGAAAAACCAGATTGAAAAAGTGATTCGGGACGGTGAAGTCAGTCTCCAGAACGAGCGCATGCGCATCGAGACCACGTTCATTGCCAAACGGGCGCGCTTCCTGGCCGAGCTCGAAGAGCTCGAGTCTGAAGTCAACTCGTTTCAGAAAAAAAGCGACCTGCGGCACGCGACCACGTACGTGGGGCAGCTCATCAAAGTGCGCGACGCCATTCAACAAGCGCGCCATACGATCGACACGATTGCCGACGAGGAAGCCAAGCTCGGGTGGGTGCAAACCGACTTTCTCCAGCTCGACACGATCTGCGAGACGCTCGAGCCGTACGACCAGCTGTGGCGCACGGCGCGCGACTTTCGCGAAGCCAGTGTGCGCTGGATGCGCGGCAACATTTTCGAGCTCGATGCCACGGTATTTCGACATATCTTTGTACATGTACACGATGACAATCGATGGGACTAGGGCAACGAGCGCGCGATCCACATCATGACGTCGACGCTCTTGACCGCGGCCAAGCAGCTCGCCGAGACGTCGCCGGCCGCCGTGAGCGCGACCGAGACACTTCGAAAGCAAATCGCAGAGTTCAAAGAGTCGATTGGGCTCATCTCGGTCATGGGCAACCCGAATTTACGCGACCGGCACTGGAGCCAAATTGCAGCTACGGTCGGGTTTGTTGTGGATCCGACCGAGCACTTGACGCTCCAGCGACTCCTCGACATGGGTATCCAAGACCACGTGGCTGGACTCCTCGACATCTCGAACGCCGCGACCATGGAGGCCGAGATCGAGCGCAGTCTCGATGCGATGGCCGAAGAGTGGCTGCACATGGAATTCCAGTTCGTGCTCGTCCCGTCCTCCGAGTCGTATGTTCTCGCCGACGCGTCGATCGCGGACGTTCACACCAAGCTCGACGACCACGTGGTCAAGACCCAAGTGATCCGGTCGTCGCCATACAAAAAGCCTTTTTTTGGCCGCGCGATTGCATGGGAGCGGTCGCTGCTCAAATTACGGGACGTGACCGAGCTCCTCGCCGAGACGGGCAAGACGTGGGTCACGATCGAGCCGCTCTTTGCATCCAAAGCCGACGTTCCAGTGCTTGACAAGGCGTCGCCCGAAGCCAAGAAATTTGCGCTCGCCGATGCCCACTGGCGCAGTATCATGGCCGCCGTGGTCGCGCGGCCGCTCTGCTTGGCCGTCATCCAGATCGACAAGGCAGCCGACCGCTTGCGCGAATGCAAAGCGCTGCTCGAAGGCGTCCTTGAAGGCCTCCACGCGTGCTTGGAGCTCAAGCGGACGTTGTTTCCTCGGTTCTTTTTTCTCTCCAACGCGGAGCTCATTCGCGCACTCTCGACGCACCCGGACGCGCTCACGGCCCGCAAGCCGTCGTACCTCTCGCGCTGCTTCCCGGGCGTTGGTCGCATGGAGCTCAACAGTGCGAACGAGATCACGAATGTGAGCAGCTCGTTCGACGAGTCGATTGCTCTCTCGCAGGTCGTGCCGACCGAGAAGGTCGCCACGGACGTCTGGCTCGCGCGCCTCGAGCAAGGCTTGTACACGTCCATGCAAGTGCTCTTGCGCAGTGCCATGAGCGACTATAGCAAAAAGGACTTTCGAAAATGGTACCTTCTCTGGCCCGAGCAAGCCGTGCTGGTCATCGAGCGCTACATGTGGACCAACAAGATTGAAAGCTGCCTGCGGGAGCCGAGCTCGATCGCCGATGTGCACTCGCTCCGGCCCCACAAGCTCCAAGACTACCTCGCCACCGAGCTCGAGCCGCGCTTATGCGACCTCGCGCAAGAGCTGCGCGAAGGCGCGCACACGCTCCTCCACCGGATCAACCTCGTGACCAACCTCATTGCGCAGCTTTTGCACGCGCGCGACTGCACCGCCGACCTTATTGCCAACGAGCCGCACCTCGCCGACACGGACGCGTTCCTGTGGCAGTCGCAGCTACGCATCGCATGGAACGACGGCAACGTGCTTCTCAAAGTCCTGAAGTCGTCCGTGCTCTACGGCAACGAGTACCTCGGCAGTGCCAAGACGTTGGTTCTCACCCCCAACACACTCAAGGTTGCGCGCGTCGTGTGCAGTGCGATGGCGATGGCCAAAGGGTCGGCCGTGGTCGGTGCATCGAGCACGGGCAAGGCGACCACGTTGCACATGCTGGCAAGTGCGTGCGGGAAACTGTGCATGGCCTTTGAGTGCGTCGCCCATGTTGATGCGTTTACACGCATCATCAAGGGCGCCGCGGCCACGGGCACGTGGCTACTGTTGCGCAATGCCCAAAATGTATTTGGCCATGCGACCATCGGCGTCTTCACGGACCTGATGCACCGCGTGCTAGAAGCGACGGGTCTGCGCGAGGCTTCCGTGGTGCTCCACGGCACCAAGCTCCGCCTCCGGCGCGGCGTGCACATTGCTGCTACGTTCACGACGTCGCAGCCGCTGCCCTGCACACACGATGCATTTCTCAGCCTCTTTCGCCCCGTGACGCTCGTCTCGCCCGACGTTGAGATTGTGTGCCGCGTCTTGTGCGATCTCGCAGGCTTCAGTAGCTCCGAGATGCTCGGGAAGCACGTGGCCTTTGCGCTGGCGACTGCCGCCAAGCTCTTCCCCGATGCCGCTAACGCGATGCAGTCGCTCCGCTTGGTCAAAACGGTCGTTGAGCGCGCGAAAAAACTCGTGCTGAAAGAGCACAGTTATGACGTGACGTCGTCGACGCAGCTCGTCTCGATCGAAGGCGCGATGCTCCTCTACGTGCTCGGCGATGTCCTCGCGAGCGTCGTGCCGCCGTCCGACGCATCAACGCACACGTTGAAGAGCTTTCTTGAGACCCTAACCTCGTCGCCGCCGCTCCTCAAACCGCAAGATTTGCCGACCGATGTGATGACGCTTGCGCTCAAGGCGCATCAGGTGATGCCAACGCCCTCGTTTTTGCTCAAGGTGCAGCAGCTACATGCAGCGCTGAGCCGACCCCAAGGTGTGGTGCTGCTCGGTCCAACCATGAGTGGCAAGACTACGCTCTATCAAACGCTGAGCCACGCGCTGCGGCTTGTCGACGAGCGCTCGAACCCGTACGCGCGCCGTCAGAGCGCGCGGTCCGGGTTCGCCGACAGTGTCGCCATGTACCAAGTGGTGTCGCCGACGAGCTTGTCGATTGACGAGCTCTACGGTCGCCTCTTGCCGACCAAGACCTTTGACGAGGGCGTGCTCACACTTCTCCTTCGGCGCCTTCACGCACGTAGCAAGCTCGATGCCCACGGACGCTTCTGGCTCGTCTTGGACGGCGCGCTGACTCCATCCTGGACCGACGGACTGCACTCACTCCTCGAACTCGATGGGTATTTGAGTGTGCTGACAGGCGAGCGGCTCGCGCTGCCGCCACAGACGCGTCTGCTTTTCGAGTCGACGAGCCTTGTGCATGCGTCGCCGGCCATTTTGACGCGAACATCGATCGTCCACGTTGCAGCTTCCAACGTGACGTGGCGGCAGCTGTACGACAGCTGGTGGTCCAAGCAAGACGATGCGCTGCAAGAGCTCACGGACGTCAAAGACGCGATGGACAGCGTCCTCGATCTCATCGAGCCGTGCCTTGAGTTTGCAAAGCTGCACTTTCGTGCGACGGCCTTTGGCCCGACCCACCTCGGGCGCATGCAAAGTTTCTTGGCGATTGTGAATGCGAGTGTGCGCGCAGCATGGCCCAAGATGGCGTCCATGACGGCCAAGCAACTCTACTCAATCGGGCACTGCGCGTTTCTCCTTGGACTCATCTGGGGCATTGGCCACACCAGTGCGCACGATGAGCGCGTCAAATTCGACAACTTTTTGCGCGCGCTTGCCGGCGAGCCGACGGCGACGACGGTGGCTGCGACGTCCCCGACACCCGTGCACCGGGGCAAGCGCTTCCAGCTTTTCTTCCCCTCCAACCGACCCGAGCTCGTGTACGCCTTTGGCCTCTCGGTGGATTGGGGCTTGAAGTGGGAGCTCTGGGTCGACACTGTGCCCAGTCGACTGCTCTCGGTGCCGATGCCGCTGCGCTCGATCAAAGAGCTCTTTGTTCCGACAACCAACTGCACAGCCGTGATGCACTTCACCGTACCCAACGCGATACCTCGTTTGTCGAGCACCTCATGCCCAATGTAAATGTTATAGGAGCTTTTCGTACAGACTGCGACGCACACGCTCTTGATTGGACCGCCCAGCACGGGCAAGTCGGCGGTCGTCGACGCCCTCTGCACGCAGAGTCTTCTCCGGCAGCGCGAAAACAGCGTGCTTGCGGCCACCGCCTCCGTGTTTGCTCTAGTGCCGTGCGGTGTACGGACGTCGCCGAGCGCGCTGCTCTGCAGTCTCCAAGACCACCTCGAACGCTCGCGCAAGAACGTCTTGTCGGCGCCGCCCCATAAAACGTGCGTCCTGTACCTCGATGACGTGAGTCTTCCGTCCGATCAAGACGGCACATTGACGTTTCTGCGACACCTCGTCTCGGCAGGTGCGATCTACGAGCCGCATACCCACGCAGAGACGTTCGTGTCGGGCATTGCCCTGGTCGGGAGTGTGACCGAGCTCGCGTCACAGCGCCGGCACGCGTCTTCGGAGCGCTTGGTCGCACAGCTTGTGCCGCTAGCCTTTCCCGAGCTGCAAGCGGCCGACATGAACAAACTCCTCGTCGACGTTGGCAGCTGGTGCGTCGCGGCGCGAAATCTCTCGGTGGACTTTGCCCAGATGCTGTCGACGCTTACTAAAGCGACGATGCGGCTCTTTGTAAGCTGCAACGAGCGCTTCCGCGTCGCGCCCACGCGGCCGCACTACCTCTTTCGGCTTGATGACATGCTGCAGTTGACGCAAGCCATCGCGCGCGACTGCGCGGCCACGCAGTTTAGTGACAAGACGCCTCTCGTGCGGCTCTGGTGCCACGAAGCCACCCGAACGCTCGCCGATCGACTCGAGAGTGCAACGGAGCTGGCTGTGTTTAGCTCGCTCCTCCGCGATATTTGTACCTCGAGCTTTGCGGTCGCCCACGAAGCCTTGTTTCCGAATATCGTCGCTGCGACGGCGGCCGCCAACACAGTCCTCAGGCGCGCCAGCGACGACATGCAGTCGACGACGCACCGGTCGTCGATGCTCGGTACGCAGCAAGTGACGCCGGTCGCCGCGTACTTGCATGCCAATTTCTTGCGCATCACGTTTGCAACGCTGCTGCCGTCGACGACGTACGACGAGATTGACGCGAGTGACCTTGTGGATCTGCTGAGTCCAAGCGTGGCCGCCGAGCTGAGCAAGCTCACCGAGACGTCGGCACGACCGAACGCTGTCAACAACGACGTGCAGCTGCACTTGCCCTTCTTCGTCGAGCACATTGTACGACTTGCTCGGGTGTTGCGCCGGCCAGCCTGTCCCGCCGCGAGCTTTCACTCACAGGTACACCTCGTTTTAGCTATGACGCTATGTACAACATGTATATTAGCATGTACTGGTGTGGGGGCCCCCGGGCACAGGCAAAGCGATTGTGTCGCGGCTTGCAGCCGGTGTCGCTGGAAGCGCCGCGACGTATCTCAACGTCCAGAGCCCATTGTTTGCATCATCGTACACGACGTGGCAACGGGCGATCAACGACGCCTTGCTGCGCGCCGCGGCCCATCCGACATCATTTGTGCTCGTCATCAAACATGCGTTAGTGTGTCAGGAAGGGCGGGACGAGTACCTTGTCGACATGGCCGAGCTTGTTAGCGAGCGGTACATGCCCCACTTTGTCACGTCCAGCGACCTCGAGGCTCTGGCGCCAACGCTACGCACGCTCGCCAAGGCCGAGAACACCTTTTTGGACACACAGTCGTCGGTCGAGGCGTATTTTGCAGAGACCCTTCGGCGGAAGCTCACGCTTCTGCTCGTGTTGACCATGCCGGCGCACGCACCACTGACGTGGCAGCGCCAACTGCAAGCGTCGTATGCCCATCTCTTTCGGCGCTGCCATATACACCATGTGAGTGCGTGGCCGAAGGAGACGCTGCGCGCCATGGTGCATGCGACGTGCGCGGATGCGGGGATGGCCGACGCCGAGCTCTACTTGGACGCGGCCGAGGCAATCTTTGTGTCCGCCAAGGCGTACGAGACAACCGCCTGTCCGCTGGTGCCGTCCCGTTTTGTCTTGCACATTGCCAGCTTTGCCCGGCTCTGGCAGTCGCGCGCGCTGGCCAACGAAGAGCGAAAAGCCAAGCTCGTGGCGGCCCTCGATGCACTGCGGTACTTGGAGCGCCTCTCGACGCGCGTCGCGCAGACCGTCAAGGGTCTCACGCCCGAGATCTCGCGCATGTCGCAAGTCTCCAAGGGCATCAATGTTGGTCTCGAGACCGAGTCCCAAACGCTCTTGTCGTTGCAAGCGCAGCTGTCGGCCGAAGACGACGTTCGCGTTGCGGCAGTTGCCAAGTTGGAATCGCTACAGGCCGCGGCAAAGAGCACACTGGACGCCGCGACCGCCAGCGTGCTGGACGCCAAGCGCAAGCTCGAGGGGCTAGGCACGCAAGACATGGCGGAGCTCTGCAGCTTGCACCCGATGCCGCCCAACTTGCGCTATCTGCTCGAGTGCATGTGCCGGCTCTTACGGCTCGAGCCCGTCGAGACGTTTGATGAACGCGACATTGAAACCAAGCTCCTCGACTACACGATGCCAGCACGGCAATGGGTACGACAACGCACTATGACATACACCATTTGGATGACGTATTCCATAGCTTTTGCGCCCCAATGGGCTCGACGCGCTCCAGAATCTCGGCACCGACTTTGCCACGTGCTTGGACGGCGACGTGCTCGGTGCCGTGTCGGCATTTTACGAGCACATCGAGTTTACGCCGGCGCTGCTGGCCAAGTTGCACCCGTCTGGGGGGCCCATCTGTGCGTGGGCCCGGGCGATCATTCAGTACAAGATGACGTACGTCATGCTCGAACCGCAGTGGGCCCACATCAAGGATGCGCAAGTTATTGTCGATGGTTGCGAAATCAAGTGCGCGCAGCTGCGACGCGCGGTCGACGCGCACGTGGCCACGATGCAGATGACGACAACATCTCGAGCGACCACCGACACCCAAGTGCGCGAGCTCACGACGCAGCTGTCCGACTCGACCGAGTCGAGTGAGAAGGCGCAATCGCTGCTCTCGGCGCTCGTGGTGTTTGTGAGCGCGTGGCATCAACGGCGCGACGAATGCATCGAGTGGGGCGCGCGGCTTCCGGCCCATGCTCTCATGGCCACGGGGCTTGCGTCTTATGCTGGCCACGTGCCAGCGTACGGCCGGCACCAGCTGCTCGTCCAGTGGATGAAACTACTCTCGAACCTCGGGCTACCGTCGTCCGTCGGCTTGCTCACGCAGACGTCGCACCACGCCACGTACGATCTGCTACTCGAGTCAGCGCTCTTCAAGCGCTGGCTCGCCAAAACAGTGCCAAGCGACGACCCAATCAGCCACGAAAACATTGCATTCTTAGCCGCGGCCGAGACGTTCCCGCTGCTCATTGACCCGCACGAGATCGCTTATGCCTGGGTGGTGGCCATGTCAACTGACGTCTACGCCAACGAAACCCCGTACATCGTACCTCCCCACAACGGCAGCCTCGACGAGTTCGAGAAGGTCCAAGACGACGTCTTTAACGCGATGCAGGCCGAGCGCCCCGTCCTCGTGCGCCACACAAATCTCTCAACCAAGAGTCTTCTCCTGCCCTTTCTGCTTGCCAAGCGGCAAGCCAGCCGGCTCGGGGGGGCGCGGCCGAATTTCCTTACGCACAAGCACGCGCTGCTCGATTTCCCCATCGACTGGCCGCTCTACCTCTTTACGACCGACGAAGACGCAATGTGGCTGCCAGCGTTTGCTTCGATCACAACCCCCGTCTACGTTGAGCTGACGCCGCAGATCGCGAGCGACCTCTTCCGATCGCAAGTGCTTTGCAACGCCTCGAAGCACACGCTCTTGCATTGGCAAGAGCTCAAAACGTCGTTGCATGCAGCAGAATTCGACGCGAGTGCATGGGAAGACCTCTGCCTCTCGGCGCTCGCCAAGGCCGGTGACGCCATCTTGGATGACACGGCCGCCCTCTTGACGTGGCGCACCTCGTATAGCGACGCGGTCGCCAAGCAAGTGCAGCTCACGTACGAGCTCTCGAAAGCCACTCGGCTCTCGCTGCCGCTCGACGTCGTGCGACAGCGCTTTGTCGACTTGTGCTTGATCAGCGACGATTTACGCCACAAGAGCCCGCAGTACGGCGTCTCGCTCGCGTGGCTTGCTCACTTGCTCACGAGCGTGCTCAGTGCGATTGGAAAGAGCGATGCAATGGCGTTCCTCGAGCGCATCACGCTGACCGTGTATCGAGCTCTGCACTGGGGCATTCGGGCCGACGACCGCACGCTCCTCAATTTGCTATTTGCTCTACGGTTGTACCAGCCCCACGACGACGACGACGACGAAGAAGAAGACGAGGATGATGATGACGTCAACGGCTCGGGCTCGGAAAATGCCAACAACGACGAGGGCAAGAACACTGAGGCCGACAATGAAAATGCGTTGGACGGTGGCGACGACGAAGATGTCGGGCGGGAACTCGACGAACTTGAAGAGCGCGCCAAGCCGTCGTGGGCGTGGTGCTGGTCGAGCCAAGAAGAGTTTCGGTTCTTGATCATGCCACAGCCACTGCCGCGCGTCGACACGCTCCCATTACACTGTCCGTCCTGGCTGCCACCGACGCGCTGGGAGCTCTTGACCGCATTCTGCGACATTGTCCCAAAGTTGCTTCGGCGTCACATTCTCGCCTCGTGGATGGACGACGATCTCAAGATGGTCTGGAAGAGCTTTTACGAAGCCGCAAAGTCATGGCTCATGGAGCTGCCTATCCCGCTCTCGCCGCTCCAGCGGCTCTGCATCGTCCGCGCGCTTCGACCAGACCAGTTTGGCGCCGAGGCCCTTGCGTTTGTCCATAGCGTCGTGCCGTCCGAGTGGCTCGCTGGCGCGTACAGCTGGAGCTTTGGCGAGATGGCGGCGGCGGCCAGCTGCGCGACGCCGCTCGTCGTGTCGTCCCAAGGACACGATGCACTGGAGGCGATCAAGGCGGGGGGCATTAGCGCCAACGTCGATATCGTGCTCGCGACCCACACTGAGCCGTTGGAGCGTCTCCTCACGTCGGCCATGAAGACGGGGCAGTGGCTCGTGCTTCGGCAAGTCGACACCAATCCCGACTGGCTACAGGCGTTGCACCGAGCGTACCAAGTGCTCGACGTGACGGGCGTGCACTGGGAATTTCGGCTCTGGCTGTGCGTCGACTCTACCGACCGCATGCCGCTCTCGCTCGCGCAGCGCAGCTTGACGCGTCACATGGCCCTCGGGTCGACCTTTCGCGAGCACCTCTTTAGCTGTGCCTACCAGCTCCACGCGCCACTTTCGTCGTCGGTCGCACCAGGTAGACAGAATCTCAAGTCGTCTCATCCAGCTGATTCTTGAAGCAGATATCGACGCGACCGAGGCGCTCGGGAGCCCAACATTGACGTCGCCCGAGTGGCTCAGTCTCTGCTTTGTGCACGCGCTTCTCGTGGCGCGCACACAGTTTGGTGCCCATGGGTTCAAAGGGGCCTTGTACTTGACGCCGCGGGACTTTGCCATCGTCGTCGAGCACCCGTCGCTGGACTTGGAGTCGCTCGTGTACGGCTGCAACCTCTACTCGCCTTGGGACGTCGCCTGTGTGCGTCTGTACCTGCAACGGTATAGCAGCGGGCAGCTCAAGGCTCGGCTGCAGCGCATTTTATTTGCATGGACGTCGCCGGTCGAGCGCACGGCGAGCGTCCGCAACCTCCTACGGCGCCGATCGTCGTCCGTGACCGCGTCCGACATGGAAGGACTCCTCGAGTCAGTCGAAGCGCCGAGTGCGGGTCCACTCCTTCCCAACAACATTACGAGCTTGCCCATCATTGACAACCCCGTGTGGTTTGGCCTCCACGGTAGTCTTGTGCATGGCCTGTATGCCCGCGCCGCGCTCTCGATCGCAACAAGCCTTGAGAGCACGTATCGTCACTGGCTCCAGCGCCAGTTTCCGCCCGCGAGCACCGCGGCCGCGCCGCCGAGCCAAACGCGGGTCGAGGTTTTGCAGTACGCGTCACTCGACAAGGCGCTGGACGCAGCGAGCCTCGATCTCGTCGTCGCGCAAAAGATGTTTCCGCTGGAGAGCACGGCACCGCTCCATGCGATTCTCCACGCTGAAGTCGACGCCTTGGCTGCGAGGCGAGATCGGCTGCGAGGCGACGTCCGACGTCTCCAAGAGGTCATTGATGACTTGGCCGTGAACTCTAGTGGTGTTGATGTGCAACGTAGGCGCTCGTTGATGGCGCCGGCGTGCTCCCGCCCGCCCTCGAGCCGCTGCATGCCGCCGTGCTCCGCAACGAAGTGCCTCGTTCCTGGCAGCGCCTCGCCAACTCGGTGTCGTCGAATTGGACCGGCTTTCAGTTGCATCTCACACGACAGATCAAGTTTTTTGACGACTGGGTCGCGAGTGGCGTCGTGCCCGACGTGCACTGGCTCGGCGCCTACCTCGAACCCACTCGGTTTCTCTCAGCGTGGAGCCTCCACTTTGCACGGCAACTCAACCAGCCACTGCATACGATAGCGCTCGATGCGACCATTGTATCGGTCGTCGACCGATTGGCCGGTGGTGTCTACGTCGACGGCGTCATCCTCGTTGGTGCCTCATGGCTGCCCGATGCCACCGGTGTGCACGTGCTGCAAGCCCCCACGCCCGAGTCCGATACGACGGGCCCTCTTCTATTGCACTTTGCCCCGCGCATTGTACCAGCGTTTGACGGCGCCACCTCGACGGTAGCTCTGCCGCTTTTGCGCACTGTCGCGGCCGATGATGCGAGCGAGGTCTATACCGAGGTCGTCCACCTCGTGTACCTTCCAAGCACGCTCTTGGCGGCCGATGTGCTCGAGCAGGGTGTTCACCTTGCTATTCGAGATTGCTTGTAATCGCACTTTGGTTTCTACCAGTTTCCAAAAGGGCAATGTCGGAAAAGACGTCTAAACGATTTATTGAAAGAGGTCCCAATCGTGCACGGCGAGCGAGCGGAAGATGGCCTTGAGAAAGACCGAGCCTTCGTCGACGTCGGTGGGTATGTGGCCGCGGCTGCTGCTGTTGGGGTCCACCGAGATGGGCACTGTGACCGAGACGACGAGGTCGGTCGTCGCGCGCGGGAGGCGCAGGCAGCACACGTAGACTTGGATGACGTTCTTGGCGGCCTCCTTGTACTTGGCGACGGCCTGCGTGCCGACGGCAATGTGCGCGGGCACTTGGAGCCCATGCACTTCGGATGCGGGCATCGTAAACGCTTGGGCCACGTGGCGGTCCGTCGGCGCACACGCGTTCGAGTCGGCGATTTCGTTAAAGTAGAACGTACCCGTGGCGCTCTCGCCGATGGTTTCTTCCATTTGAAGGAGCTCAATGATGACGCAGCGGTCCGTCACGGCGTCGGCAAACACCTCTTGGTTGTCGGGCACTTGGCGGAACTCGCTCACGTCGGCAAAGCCGCTGGGCACGTCGCACGAGATAGCACCACCAAAGAGCGAGCGCTTCATAGTTGGCAAATGAAGAAGTGAGTCAAGAGGAAGCGGTGGGCGAGCGGTGATGCGAGGCGGCGGATGGCTACGTCCCACGCGGTGTCAGGTCGATGATGGTCGTCCACGTCCAAGATCACAGCCTGTTTGTATACCATTCATTTGCACTGTTTAAAACGTGTGCTATTTTTGTTGTAAACATGTCATGTTTGTCAAAAAGACGGCATTGCCACATTCCAGAGTAGAATTAGTTCAACTCTGTGTAAAAACTAGATTCTACTCTTTAAAACGTGTTTTTACACATTCGTTTTTACAAATTGCAGAGCAAAAACACATGGTGCAATCCCAGCCACAATCAAGTGTACTTTCTACCCAAACTCCGTGTGGAACCTGACTTCTACACTCTAGGATAGTGTTTTTACACACTCATTTTACAAAATTCTGAATGTCCAGTTGGCTTCCCAAGCCGATTTCCCCGTACTCTAGTACTACTACTGCTGCTACACTTGACCACCGCGTCATCGAAACAAAGACATAGGTCCGTGTAGTTGACATAAATAGGGGTGGCTCACGGCCGCGAAGCACGCGTAGCCCGATGGTTCATCGTGGAAAGAAGTCAAGAGAGGTCGAAGGATCAAGCAGCGCGAAGAAGCGGCCTCCGATCAGTTATCAAACCAAAACGCATGGGTAAATCACGCGGTAAACCCCATATATCCTGTGACAAAAACAAATCCGATGAACAATACTCACATTCATTGGGTGTGCGTGCGATGCCAAGTTTTGCTCGAATATGAACTAAACCTCGGCTACGCCTCGGGCCCTACGGGCAACGTTCATATTGACTCGCTTCGCTCGTCGGCAGAGCTTCGCGCTGGAGATGTGAGCTGGAGATGTGAGTGAATGGTCAAAAGAATGTAGAGAGATGCTAAAGTGTAATTGTAGTGAAGGAAGATTGAGTGCAGTAGTTAGGCTTCACAAGGGAGGAGTGCTGGGCCCTCGGAAACCAGTCCAATAGTCAGTGGCAAGCCAACTGGACTATCGGAGTTTGTAAAAATGAATGTGAAAAAAAACCACACCGAAGTGTGGAAATCAGTTTTCACACTGATTAGAACAGATACTACACTTGATCTTAGCCAAAAGGCCGAGAAGGTATGATTTCCATGTGGGAAACCTATTTCACCATCCCTACGAAAAAAGCACTGCGTGCTTTTTCGAGACGGATGGTGCAGATCCTTTGCTGTAGGGGGGAAGCGTGTCGGAATATTAGGTACGAATTCAGTCATTCTCTTGTATCTTTTTTAGATGCGGCGCGTTCTAGTGCGCAAAAATCGCGATAAAGTGCGCAAAAAATCGCACTCTTTTTCGTCACAAGACATAGCCGCGCTGTATCATCTTTACATATTTACCTTTCATACAAAAACCAAGATACATATTTTTAAAAATATCACCAGATGGTGTGTGATTTACACCGTGCCTTATGCGAAAAAATAGTTTTTTCACAGTCAGCCCTGACTTGGCCTTTTCCACAAAAACAGTACATACTTGGCCATGGCAATTTACAGGAACGACTGCGCTCACGACCAATCAAATTTGCGCATGGCCACCCATGTTCGGATGCAAATCGAGGAAAACTCAGTGATGGCACGGCTGTCGACGAGGCTAGCAGCATGCAGATTAGATGACCTCGCGTCTTAGCCAAAAGGCCGTGTGTGGAAGCAGATCAATACACGAAGCGTGGCTTGTGTCAGGGGTACATTACGTGATTTACCCTATGGTTTGGCTTGATAATGAAACGGAGGCCGTTCGTCCCGCTGAGGCTTGACTAGGTGGCATTAAAGTTGTGTGTTGGCTGGACATTGACAAATGTCGTTGTCGGCTTAGTTGGGCACGTCGAGTTCCTCGGCTTGATAGCGCGGGATCGATCGTGGTGGCGCGATGGTGCTGAAAATGCATTCGTTGGTGGGAATGAAGCGTGGTTTGAATACAATATTGTAGCCTCGGCGTATTAGCGACGAGTGTCTACGGAGCGCACTAAGCTTACAGTACTGTAGACCCGTCCCAGAAGGCTGTTGAACAACAGTATTCCAGTTACCTTGTGGTTTATGATCGCCATGATGCGCTTGGACCGGCGCAACGAATTCGGCGAGCTCGAAATGGCGAACGTCAGCTGCTATTCATGCAGCCACGAATGTAACCGGATAAGGTGAGAGAGCCTCGTCATGCAGCTAATGCATTTTTATATCCTGCACCACCCAGCTACTAGAGTAAGCAGCTTGACGATTGGAGAGAAGCCCGCTTGGTCGCTTAGGCGAGCTCTACTCATTCCTATCCTTCCGCTCATCACTCTTAGGTGGCTGTGTTTTGCGTTATCTCCGAGTTGCAAAGACCTCTTGTACGTAGATACTAGCGATTTCCTTCTCCTTGGCTGGCTCGCTGGGGCGGTGCAGGAACTCGTTTCTATCACCTGTAGTCAGTCACCCCTGGCGCTAGCGACCCCACGTGAGGCCAATGACGACACGCTCCGTCGCCCATCCGAGCTACTGTACATTTTGCCAATATCGTCTCCATGATGCCAGCAGCCCAACGGCTCGCGAATCAAGACACGGGCCTACGTCGGCACGAGCGCCAGACGTGCAATGTGGCGGTCCATCCATCCATTCGCCTCGACCCCGACCTCCGCTGCGATTTGGCTGTGCGGGAGTGTGAAAAGTAGTCGAGGCGTTGAGCGTATGACCAAGTCACTCAATGATGGGTCTCATACTTCCAGAACGAAACAATATCCCGTCGGTTCCGTGGACACCAATTTGCAAAACACCACATTCGGTCTTTCTCACTATGGAGCGATCGCGAATCAGGAATGTTGGTCATTTGTCATCGGCGGCTTAGCTGCAAAGCAAAAACAGTGAGTCCAATTTGCTTTCTGCTATTAAGTTCGAATTTATAAGACGCATTTCAGAGGGTATTTTGGTCCGAACAGGTCCCTTGCGGGGTGAGCTGGTAGGAACTTTTGTATTGAATGCGAAGCGTTGATAACGGTATTGCGACGACGGCGCGTTGGCCTAGACAAAAGTCAACGCTCGACCTTCGCTGCGCTGCGGTGTGCAGACTTTTCCGGGCCAACGCGCCGTCGTCGCTTGCTGCAGTCTTCGCGCGCTTCTGAAATCGCACCTAATCGAAAAGTTGCGTGATTTTCGGCTAAGTACGCAGGCGCACTTCAGCGCAATTGTTATACTTTAATCAAGTATAACGTCCGGAAAATGGACAGCACTTTATGGGGACACCAAAATCGCACTTCACTGGACACGTTTCGCGCGATGCGATTGGCTTAGACCAATGAAACTGCGTTTCATTGGCCAAAATGGCTCGATATATAGCCAATGGGTTGGCCGGATTGAGACACGACACATCGAATTAATCCCCTGGGATGCTGGTACACCACGTAAACGTTCCTACCAGGATTAACTGTCGCACTTCTGCGGACGACGAGTTGCCGTAAGGCTCAGTGTCAACGACATGCTACTAGATTGCACTGGGGTGAGCTACTATGATGATGCATCCGTCAGCATCGAGCTGCGATTAAACCCGATTCATTTACTTTGGATCCACCACCCCTGGCCGATACTAGCCTCGGTGTCAATGCGTCGCCACCAAGTGCGGATCGTCGGCAGGACCAAGCTCTTGCTCTTGAGCTGACGCTCGGGACCAGCTAGGCGACATGCACCGCAGCGTGCCTTGACCCACATGGGCTTTCAAGTGTCGAGGAGGCAGGCTATTGCATCTAACGTCATCTCGCGCTTGCTCATTCCACTCTGAACAATGCATGTCAAGCGCTGTTAGCCAAAACTCGACTTTCGAGGTACATGCATACTCTAGTGCAAACGGGGCTTGCCGCGCTGCAGTCCCTTGCGACTTGCCAACGACGCAGCGTACACTCGCACCGGTAGCCTCATTCTCGTCGTGCATGTCGTAGTCTCCAGCCGCAAAGCCCGTGGCGCAAAACGGCAACTGGATGCTGCAGCAACATGCCACGACGCTGCATGCCGTAGTGGCCCCAGAGCATCCGGCTCGTACTTGAAATGGTAGTATTAATGGAAGCCTGCTTAAAGGTCTTGAGTGTCGGCGCGACAGCACGGGAGGCGCTTAGCGGCGCGATTCGCGCTTCTTGTCCTTCTGTTCCTTGTTGCGGAGGAGGATGACGACCAAGCGGACAAAGATGTTGACAAAGTCTACAAGCGACGTGAGTGCCATGGACTTGCCATTGTCGGGGATACCAAGGAAGAGGTCGAGCGCATGGAGCACAAAGTCCGTGTCGCCCATCGTCGCCTTCTCAATGATCATCTGCGTGTCAAAGAGCACGTATGCGCAAAAAACGAGGAGGCCCATGTACTAAGCATGTCAGGAAAGTCCTTGAGTGATCGTAGGAGGTGGAGGCGTTCGTACCAAGTGGGCGTTGTACAGGGCGATCGAGCGCGAGAAGAGGTTGACGAGCGAGATGAGCGACATGACCATCGTCGCCGACGAGATGAACGACATCATGTACATGTACGATCGGCGCTTCTCTAAACGCATGCACCGTGAGCCACATCGTCCGCGGTGTAGGAGGAGCCGCGTACCGATCAAGGCGCTGCCGGTGAAGCACACAAAGATCACCGTCGTCGCCAAGCTAAAAACGAGATGCGTGAGCCTTCGCATACATGCTCCATAGCGCTGGCGGTACGTACCAGGCAGTGACGACAACCGCCGGGTCGACGTTGAGCGCGGTCGCGACGAGCGGGCCAATGTTGACGCCCGTGCAGGTCGCAATGGCCATGAGCATACCCAGACGCTTCATCACGAGGTGCTTCTCGACGAAGAAGAGGCCAAAGATGAGCCCGACCGTGGCGCACACCGTTGTGATCCCCGCGAGGTCGTACGCCATGTCGAGGCCGACGCCGACGGCTGCGGCAAGGAGCGTCGCCGCCAGCGCCGTGTACACACGGACGAGATGCTGTTGGACGGGGATGCTGATATCGTTGGCCTTGAAGAGCGCTTCCATGTTCCACGAGGAGCGGGTGAAGAAGCTGGAAGGGTCCATGCTGCGTTGGGAGGTTGAATCTGAAAATGGAAGAAGGGTAATACAATGCAATAAAAATGGCCACGTGGCTTTTGATTGTATTTTTATTCTTCATGACATGACATTTGAATGTAAACTGTATTAAAATACGTGAGTAATTGCGCACAAATTTCAGAATGATGGTAGCGACGCACCGATTGGCTGAAAAGCCAACGTCCAATCAAAATGGCACAATGCGATCCTGACTCGGAGCCAAGTCGCGCTCGCTGGCATCTGGATACCTCTCGATTCATCCAAGATAAAATGCCCCACCCGATGTATGCGTCATCAAACTCATCGTGGCTGCCGCAGTTGCCCACTGCACGTCCTTATCGAATGCCACGTCATCGTCTGACTCTTTTGCAAATATCGTGATTGCAACTTCGTAGCGCTGTGGTCAAGAGCGTGAGTGCCAAATTAGCATTCAGGTGCCAAGACTGTCCGAGGAGCAAGAATGTCGAGAGTGCTTGCGTTGTCCTCATCACCGCAGTACACGATGCTGTGGCACAGACAGTGGAAGTGCATAGAGGCAGCTACTTCGACGCCATCGATGCCTTTGTTATCGTCGAAAGACCGCAGCAACCTCTTCTTTTCTTCGTCGTCCATCATGGCGATACGGGACACTTGTGCACCTCCGCTGGGCCTAACATCGAGGCAGCAATGAGGTTCGAGTCTTCAACGCACGTACGCCGATGAATCTGCAGTCGCTAAAGACAACACAGTCGTAGACAATTGAGCCTTCTGCAAGAACTCTGTTCCAACGGTCGCACTTGAACAATTATATAGTCATCAAATGTATTGAGCAAATGCATTAAGCAATGACTTGGACTAGGCACTGCACCAGTGCGCCGCCCGCAACAGCACTGGCGGCCGCGTACAGAACCCATTCGGACGCCACAGGCTCAAATTTCGCCGCGTCTTAAAGCTTGAGAACACCAAGTCGAGCACCGAGGTAGTCAACGATGCATTCGACACTCACTGGTTCGCAGCGGAGTCCCACGTACCCATCGGGGCGGAGCAGGAAGACGCATTGGCCACCGACGCCAAAGCGCGCGTTGGCGACCGTGTTGGACGCCGGTACGACAATACATGTACCGACGACGCCGTTGGTTGCGCGTACGATCTGCTCGCCGAGCGCCGAGAGCTGCGCCGTCGTCATTGGCGCCACCGTGGCGTCTTCACATCCTTCAAAGAGCAGCGCAAGGCACTGCGTGGTGTCGCGTGGACAGGTCGCAGACGGCAGAACGTGCCACGGGCAGCGATCGCCCGCCTGGACGCGCGCGCCAAGCATGTGTCGAAAGATTTGGCGCAGGTACTTCGAGGCGTGTGACACGAGCGATGGCTTGTCCCAGTGCTCGACCGAGAGGACACTTCCGCGGTACGCAATCGCCGTCTCACCGAGAAACGCTGCGGCTTTGGACGCAAAGAGAGGGGTGGCGGCCATCACCTGCAGCACGAACTTTCGCAGCGCATGGAACCACGTGTTGCGGCTGCTGGCGAGGCTTTGGCCGCGCGTCGTCATGGCGACGAGGGCGTCCCCGACAAGCCGGCGCTCTTCTCCATACGTGCGCAAGAGACTGTCGCTGGAGAATCCTCGCAAAACAAAACTGAGCTTCCAACCGAGGTTGACCGCGTCTTGAATTCCCGTGTTCATGCCTTGGCCGTACAGCGGCGAGTGGCAGTGGCATGCGTCACCAGCCAGAAAGACGCGACCGCCGTCGTCGTACGCTGCCGCGAGGCGCTCGTTGATGCGAAAGTGTGACGCCCAGAGCACCGACTCAAACGAGACGGGGCCCATGTGCGCGCTCACGACCGCCTCGAGCTCCGAGTGCGTCAGCTCGCGCAGCATCGGCAGGCCGTGGCGATCACTCTCAGAGTCCGATCGATACGATGCACCCTCAGCGTCGTCCATGTCGATGGCCACGAGAAACGTGCCGTTGGGCATCGGCGTCGCAAAGCTCGCGCCGTTTTCAAACAGAAAGAACGTCAGCCCATCGAGGTCGGCCAAGGCGTCGATCGGTGCGGTGGGGCGAAAATGCACCGAGAGAAATTGCCCCGGCATCACAACGCCCTCAAAGCCGCAATGCATGAGCTTGCGCACGCTGGATCGGGCGCCATCGGCGCCGATGAGGTACTTGGCTTCAACGACGACGTCGGTGCCGTCGGCGGTGGTCACTGTCGCGTGGACGGCAGTTGGCGTGCGGGTGTAGCTCTGGAGCGTCGTCGACCGCTGGATCGCAACGTGCTTTTCAACGAACGAGGCAAGGCACTGCTCGGCGTACCACTGCTCCGTGAGGAGACCATACGTGTACTTCGAGTCCAAGTGCGCGCCTAGCGGCACCGAGTTGATGACACCGCCTCGGTCACGAAACGTCGCCCGGCGGGCGCGGAGGCATCGCTCGTGCAGAGCGTCGACGACGCCGTCGTACACCTCGAGCAGCTCGAGCGACCGCGGCCAGAGCACCGAGGCCTTTGTCTGGATCACGGGCGCCGGTGCACGATCGACGATTGCAACGTTGGCGACACCGTGGCGCACCAGCTCGGCGGCGAGCGTCAGACCAGTAGGACCGGCGCCAACGATGAGGGCGTCGACGCGAGATGGAATAGCAGCCGATGGCATGGTCATAAAGAAGGGAGTACAAGCGTGTGCTGGAGGTGGGCAAAAGCAATGTGGTCGAACGGGCCGATCTTGTGGATTGAGCCGGATGACTTATGCGGATGATTCGGGCATTTCGACAAAACGTGGTCGATCGCGTCGATTGTGATTTTTTGCAAATGCCATCATCACGTGATAGCACCGTTGACAGATTTGGTATGCGTGAATGACATTATCTAGAATGGAATCGCTAAGACAGACGTTGTCGAAGAAGATGGAAGGCGGGCCGACCGCCTGAAGGCCAAGAGGCACCCGGTACGAGCTTGGGTGTACCCCAGTACCCAGCACTCTGACGCCAACGCAACCCCAGCGTGTCGAGGCACCTTGCATGGAAAATAGAGTACATAGTTTTTCAAGCCTCGGGAATATGCAACAACGGGTCCGCTCAACTCAACACTGCGTACAGAGGGCGGCGTGTGGAGTGCTGCACATTTGGATGCATGTGCGTACCAGGTACTTCGATGTTTACAACAATGCAAACATTAATATCCGGACAACGAGCCCAGCGCGGCATCGGAGTACCCGCCTTTCTAGTCAGTACCGTCGTAAGAAGCCGAGATCGAAGCGCTCGCCAAGAGCTCTTGCCAAGCTGTTGAGCACAATTTTATCCGGATACTATTATCCGGATCGCGAACCCAGCACGGCGTCCGAGCGAGCAAGATGGATGGATTTTTGAGTTTGAAACGAAGTCTCGTGTTTTGGTCTATATGTATAGGGCGTGGCGCAGGGAGCGCGAAAACCAAAAAATGGAGCCCGTAGCGTTCCTACAGTCCATGCTAGTCGCTGTGTAAGTTGATGAATACTGATACACCGATACTAAATTCCGTATCAGTTTGCACCAACTTGACGGTGCGCAGCACAGACTGTAGGTACGCTACGAGCACCGTTTTTTGGTTTTTGGGCTCCCTGTGTCGTGCTCTATACATATTGAACAAAACGCGAGACTTCGTTTCAAACTCAAAAGTTCATCCATTTTGCCCACACTGGCGCCGCGCTGGGCATGTTGTCCGGATATTTCTGTCCGGATAAAAACGTGCTCACAGAGCTGCGCACCGAGAAATCCATCCCGTGGTGGACCCCACTCGCCGAGTCATAGCTCGCGAGGTCGTACGCAAGCTCCTGAAATCTACATAAAGATATATACGCCTCATACATTGGTTGAGCACTGGATATTCATATCTACACAGCTCTCAAACCACGAGGTCGGGACAAGGCGATGTGTATCAATCTATCAGTGAGATAGTCCTGCCGAGAAACCGTTAGGATGGGACTGTACAGGAGCCTGTGGTGCAGCACATTTCGCAGTCGTGAGGGACGCGAGTTCACAGAAATCCCGGATTTTGTGCGCTTGGCGCAATGCGAGCTCATTTCTGGCTATCCCAAGCCATGGATCGATCGAGTAGGCATCCATTGTTTCGCGTTTACACATTAGCCGACAGCGCTACAAGGCACGAGGAGCATAGGACGCTGACAAACAAGGCATGTGGCGAGCTAGTTGCATTGCTCGACGATAGCAATGCAGATATGCTTGGTGAGAGACTGAATCTTGGCGTCGACTGTGTACGTAGGACTGATCCAGGGCCCGACCCAAAGCCTTGCTACACCAATAGAGCAGCCAATAATAGAGCAACGCCTTGGGCGTCTGAGTGCTTTTGATAGGCACAAGAGGTAACTGCTAAAGGCTGTCGTCCCAAGAAAACTATGGGTCGCGTGATCTTCCTTCAGAGCCTCCACGTTTTTTTTATAGACATTGCTAGACGTTGTGTTCGGAAGTTGGACTTCATACTAGAGTTTCGGTTTACAATGTACACATTTCATTCATGCCGCTTACTACTCACCATAGTAGTCGTGCTATTCATACAGGACAGTTTACGCTTCGTCGCGCTTGGGCGTCTCGACATCGACGCTCTTCGGGACACGAGCCGGCAAGCCGTTGCCGAACAGAAGCTCGATGTCTTCGAGGAGGAGGCCCTTGGTTTCCGGGCACTTGAACCAGACGTAGACACCGGCAAGCGCGCAGAGCGCCGTGAAGAGGAAGAAGACGCCGTTGATGTTGAGGTACGGGAAGAGCTTGGGGATGCCGATCATGAGCGAGCCCATGCACCAGTTGGTCATCGTCGACGCCGAGACGGCCTTGGCGCGGACGTTCATGGGGAAGATCTCGGCCGGGTAGATCCAGCACACGGGGCCCCACGAGATCGCAAAGTTGAAGATGAAGAAGGCCGTGAAGACAATCATGGTCCAGCCCGCGCCCGTCGAGCAGTCCGACTTGCTCGTGTCGCCCTTGCAGCCAGCCGTGAACGAGATCGCAGACACCAAGTGGCCGATGACCATACCCGCGGCACCGACAAGGAGGAGCTTGCGGCGACCGACCTTATCGACCCAGTACATAGCCGGAATTGTCGAGAGGAAGTTGACAATCTGGAAGATGAGGAGCGACACGATACCGTCGCCGACGACATCCTTGAAGATCTGACCGCCGTACGTGAAGATCGGGTTGATACCGGTGGCTTGCTGGAGGAGCTGGAGCGAGCAGGCAATGATAAGGCGCGGGCGAATCGACGGGTGCCACAGATCAGCCCACGTCGACGTGTTGTCGCCTTCTTCTTTAATGGCGTCACCAATGGCCTGGAGCTCAGCACCGACGTTGTCGGTACGACGAAGGCGCTTGAGGGCAGACTCGGCTTGGGCGCGACCCTTGGCCTTATACGTCCAGCGCGGCGACTCGGGCACGCAAAAGATACCGGCCATGACAATGACCGGGAAGGCCATTGCGACAGCGTTGGTGACGCGCCAGCCGTGCTCGTCGTTTTGCACCACATAGTTGATGATGCCGGCAAGGAGGAGACCCGTGACGATCGACATTTGCATAAAGCCCGAAAGCATACCACGGAGCTCCTTCGGGGCCATCTCGGCACCAAAGATGGGCAGCGAGAAGGACGAGTTACCGACGCCGAAGCCCTGGATGATGCGCGCGATCAAGGCGAGCGTGTGGTTGCCCTTGTTGGTGAGGACGAGCATGAGCGTGCCGGCGCAAAAGAGGACACCGGCCGAGAAGATGGTCGCGCGGCGGCCATACTTGTCGGCAATGTAGCCACCGAGGTACGCGCCAACGATGCAGCCCATGTAGTAGAGCACGTTGAAGAGCGTCGTGAACGTCGACCAGTTGTCCGGGAGGTCCGACGACGAGGCGCGGCACTGCGTGCCCGTGTTACCATTGTGGCCGATGCAAAAGTCGTTGAGGAACGAGTCCATGACGAGGACACCGCCCGTGACGCCTTGATCGTAGCCGAAGAAGATACCACCAAGAGACGCAAAGACGCAGACGACGATCGCATACGCGCGGGAGCCTTCGGTCGGCGTGTTGTCCGCGCCGCCGCCCGGGAGGATCGCAATACCGCCAGCCATGGTCCTTGAGTTGGAGGTGGTAAATGGAAAAGTGAATGCGCTGTAGATCAAACGCGGCCGTGCAGAGGCCAAACAGGTCATGTGGCATCGCCCGACCGGCTGGGCAGCCAAAGGCGTGGTCGCAAAGCAGTAGCTCGAGTGACGTTGAAGAAGAGGGTATTGAAGCTGGTATTGCAGTCCGCCATGCGTGGTTGAAGTTGGCCCTCTGTGTTGAAGTTGGTCATATGGGTACGTCCTCGGCAAAGGATTTATACGACTTTTTTGTATCCACCAAACGATCCAGTACTGAAATACTGGCACCACGTGATGCAGGACCCAGCCTGGTGAACAGCGTCGCGTCTGATTGGTGGACGAACGAGGTTATAGGAATTACACCGGATTCTAGTTCACGTATTCCTGGCGGGCGTGTCTTTAAAGTGGATACAAATGGAACCGTTTCATACCGACACGTTGGCAAATAGAATCACCGTAATTTCAGTGCAAATTTCTTTCTTCTGGTAGATTTCTCCCTTTTGGGTCCACCAGTACCGCGTTTTGGGAGAGCCCTGGTGGAACAACCTTGCACCATTCATTGCTATCTGGTGGTATGATAAAGCAAAGTATAGAGAACCAACTGATCGGCGAGTCCTGCATACACGATCGCACGACAAAGACGCATGCGGCCACTCGGAGCATCGGTCGGTGGCTCGTCAAATGGCAACTACAATGGTGCCACCACGAGAAAAATGCGACAAAGGTCCGTGCACGTACCGGTAGGCTTTTCGTTATCGATGGGGGCTATCGAAGCGTCACCACGTCCCTTGCTTACAGCAACGACTAGAACCTTGTGCGAGGACTACCACGCGCATTTGCAATACTTCTTCGAGATTATCGTAGTGAGTGCCGCCAGACCGCAGAGCCAAACTCATACCAGTATGTTCACACTGGAAATAGGCCCAGGATGAGCCGAACCTTTTTGGTGAATCACCGCTTTTTGTCGCGGTGGGAGGTTTGAAACCGACCAGCAACGAATAACGCAGTCTGCCTCCAGCTCGCATTTTGTTTTTCGCACGATCTTTTGCTACTAGCATTCTCTGTGGCAATGTCCCTACGTATTTGATCTCTCAGCAGCTTTCCCCGACGACGCAAGTAGTCTCGGTAACGTTTCATTGGCCACCCTGTTCTAACCCCATCATGAACAGCCCCAGAGCTCGACCATCAAGACGTCCAGGGCAAAACAAGGTCGTCGCCAAAGTCTTCTTGCGTAGGTGTCAACTCTTCGAGAGCGCAACCGCTAGAGGGACTCCCAACGCATAGCTTCAAGGTTGAGCCGGTAAACTGACCAGCTCACGTGAGCCAACCGGCACCGGATACGGCGATGGTTGTTTCATTATCCGGACACTTGACCCGTGAAAACCCCGCGATCGCCAGCATGACGGTTGGCGTGGTCATGCAGTGGACGGCCGAAGGTAGACGCATGCGCATGCAGCCGCTTCTCATGTCTACCTCTAGTCTCTCTCGAGGACATGGAGAAGACAAGCATCGTGGTCGACGCCGACGAGTACATCTTTGACGGCTTCTTCCTCCTCGGCGCCGACGCCATGCCACCGGTAAGCGCTTGCTCGTCCTGGTGCTTCTTCATCTCATGCACACGCGGTAGATCGAGTATGTGCGCAGTGGCGTCACGTGCACGCTGGCGCTCGTGCCACAGGAGCTGCCACCGCACGTGGCCGACCTGCCGCATATCGAGCACGACGCGATGCTTTCGTTTGAGCAGTTTGTGCTCTGGCAGCTGCTTCGCATCCCCATCTCGGATCTTCCGGGATTTCAAGGTGAAAATGGCATGCACCTCTACCCGCGCTTCGTCTCTCGGAAGGACCAGACGCCCGAGACCCTGCGTCACGTACCAACCTCGCTTCAACGAGACGATGGAATGCCATGTGCGACCTAGGTGACTGCGTCGCATCGCCTCGGCTTTGGCATCGGAGCCCTCTTGCCGCTCCCTGCGCTCTTGGACTACGTACAAGCGTCGTCGTCGATGACGGCCCATGCGTTCATGGCCACGTACTCGGAGGCGCGGCTCAAGTACCACGTTGTGTCGACAAGCCCCAAACGAGGTTGCCATCATCTTCGGAACGGTGATGTCTCACGGAGCACCGCAGACTACTTCCGCGTCGACCGCGCCAATGCGTTTCTGGTACATTGGCTCCTCCGCTCCACGAACATGTTAGGACTGGAGATATCACCTCCTCGATAGGGCCGAGTCTACCACGAAGGACAGGGGGCACCCGCCCACGACGGCGTCGCCGATTTGCGCCAGTTCAATTTCCACCAGCGCTTGGGGGCCATCCACTGCAAGGCCACGCCGGTGGAGAAATGCAGCTTTGATCAGCGCGCGTCCGAGTGCTTCCTCTCGGGTCTCAAGGCCGACGTCATCGAAGTACAGTGGTATCTCGAGACACGGTGCTCTTATGGGTTTAGATCGCTACGGCGCTGCCGCTTGTGACGAGAGCGTTGGCCCACGCCCGAAGACTGCGCCACTTGCAAGCGACGTGGGGTCTCTCCTTCCGGAACCCGGCGCTCTGCCATGAAGCATTCCTGCACATCTCGTACGTCGAGTGCGGCATCCATTCGGCCAACTGCGCCCCCGCCATCCACGCGCGCGTGCGACTGGGCATGCCGCTCTCTCGCCCGTCGCTGCTATCCACCAAGAAGCGAAAAGCGCCGGTATCCGCGTTACAAGCTCGGACAAAGCGTAACAAGGTGGTGTAGATGTCGGAGCTCGAGGCGATTGTGGACGCCCACGACGACCGAGACTTCAAGCCAATGGATCTGTCGCCGTACCTGCGGTCGTATGGCCGCCTCGAGTTTCTTGGCGATGCGGCGCTGAGTCTCGTGGCGGCGGGCGCCACCTTTCTTCGGGTATGCGGACGACGTGTTGTCAGATCTTATCGCGCACACTTGAAACTAGCTGCGTGCGGCCCCCGAGGGACAGCTCGCAACCATGCGAGCCAGCATCGTGAGCAACGAGACGATCGGCGAAATGGCCATGAAATTGGGTCTCCAGCATCTCGTCCTCTGCGCCCATGACGTGACGACCGCACCCGTGTACGACAGGCCAAGGTCCGTCTCCAACATCTCATCAGCGTGTAGAAAAGCGGTGCGAAAGATGGCCGCCGACTGCTTGGAAGCTCTTCTTGGCGCGCTTCTCATCGACCTCGTCCGTCTGCGACTACAAGTAAAATGCTGACGATATGGAATAGGGCCTCGACGACGGCATGGCGGCCGTCCGCACCCTCGTTTCGGCCATGGTCGCCGCGTACGACCCGGAGCTCCACGACCTTCTCTTCCTCTCGGAAGATGCGCTGATGGCAGCCGCGCAAATCTACTTGGACGAAGACGCGGCGGCGTTTCAAGCGCACCCGCAAGCAGCGTTGCTTGTGGCGCAGAAGCAAACGTTTGAAGCTGCCCATGCCAGCGTGCCACGTCTCTCGCGCACGCACGTGTGGGTCCGCGCGCTGACGCACAAGTCGTTTCGGAATCCGATCATCGATCAAGACGCGTACATTCCCAGTGGTCCTGGCAACTACGAGCGGCTCGAGTTTCTCGGCGATGCCGTGCTTGAAGTCGTCGTCTCGTACCATCTCTATAGCGCTTTTCCGCACCACCACGTTGACAGGCTGGTCTTCTCTTGCGCAAGGACTGACGTACCAACTTGTAGGAAAACCTCTTGTCCAAACTCCGGTCGGCGCTCGTCAACAACGCTCGGCTCGGCAACGTCGGCGCGGCCCACGGCTTTGGCGATGTCGTTCGCCTCGGCACCAACGTCGTCGCCAACGGCCTCCGCGTCCCCGCGGTCCTTGCGGATGTGTTTGAAGCGCTCCTCGCCGCCTCATTTCTCGAAAATGTACCCTTTGCTTGCTTTGATTCTGGGCTAAGAAATGCGACGACTAGTGGTCCCTGATGCCCGTCGATGGCTTCTTGCATGACGCGCTCTTTTCGCTCCTGCCCGAGGTGCGCTGCCAGGCGTTGTATTGATCTCGCGAGTTGATTTTCGCTTCGGCGTAGGTCGTGCGGCATCGCGAGTGGCTCTCGCCGCGCCAGCGGTTGCTCACGTACCTCCGCAAGGTGCATCCGACCGCCGACGTGATCTTCCAAGCCACGACGCCGATGACGCGTACCGATGCGACAACGCACCACGCTATCGCACTTCTCATCGACGGCTTCCTCGTGTGTCGGGCCAGCGCCACGACCAAGGACGTCGCGACCGAACGAGCCGCCACAAAGGCCATGCAGCTCCTCGGCTTTCCCTAATACCCCACGCCCTTTTCGTTTCAACAATCCATCACCAAACACTCGCCAGCAGTGCATACGGGCGGTGTCATGAAGCTTGGTTCGTCGCCCGCACGTAGACTCGGATGCGCGTGCATTGGTCGCGGTCGTTACCCTAACCCGAGCACCCGAGCAGCCACGGCCCACATGGCCCGGAAGGATACCCTTTCAGTCGACAGGGACAGGACTGGTGAGCGATGACCAGTGACAATAAGGGCATCATCTATCACAGAAAAGCCTACATTCAGAAGCGCCTCGGGACGGCACCCGCGCCACACAACCAGCGCCAGCGATGCCAGTCGGTCCCCGAACGGCGAGCCCTTGCGACCATGTCAGCGATGGCAAGCCGCCGTGGTCCCCACCATGGGACACGACAAGCACACGCAAATTTGTTTTTCATTTCACGTCCTCCACCTAGCCAGTAGGTCGTACATACTCTTGTCTATCGTGCTTAGTGGGTCTTGGGCAGCACGCGGCTCTTCTCGATGAAGCGGATGCCTTCGGCTTCGAGGCGCGCGAGGCCCGGCGTGTAAATGTCGGGCGTCGTCGGCGTCAAGACACCGTGGCCAAGGACGTCGCCGCGCAGAATCAAGTCGACGCCGATCGCTGCGCTCATGCCAACCGTCTTGGCCATGACCGTGCTCTCGTCGTCGCCGTAGCCAACGTACGTCGACGTGATGAGTTCGCGGCGGTCGGCAAAGTCGACGTGGAACTCGTGGTGCATGATGGCCATGTCGCGCTCGCCCGGGAGGTACGAGAGCTTCTGAATCAAGAGCGCGCAGAACGCATCGATCGTCGACGTTGCCGACGGGTCAATGAGCGCACTGCTATCGTCGAGGCCGAGCCATGAAAGGAACGCCTCGGCGTCCGGCGTCAAGCGGCTGCTCATGCCGGCCTTGAGCTGCGCAATGAGCTCGGGCCACGTCGCTGGCAGCGCCGTCTCGTTCGTGTTGAGCAACCCGAGGAGGCGGCACTGGTGCATGATGGCGCAGTTGCCCGCGTACCGGAGCGTGCCGCGGAAGATCGAGTCGGCGTCCGGGATGTTGTACACCTGCGCGTACGGCAGCGAGTTGCGGTTCGGGATCTGCTCGAGCGCAAACGCCGGCAAAAAGTTGACGCGCTCCGCGCTCGTCAACAGCGCCTCCCTACACCACACTGAGTGCGCATTTACTAGAGTGTTTTGAAAGATATACCCCGGAATTTGGACAACTTGTCCGTTCTTGAGGTACTGCGCCGAGTTGAGGGCCGCCGTGAGCACGCCGCGCGGCGACCACGAAAACTTGTACGCGATCGGGTTGTCGGCGGCTTCGGGCGCGGGGAGACCGCCGCAGACGGACGAAAACGACACGACGCGGCCGTTCTGCGCCTGGACTTCGTCAATGATCTTCATCGCACTCATGTGGTCCATGCCCGGGTCCAAGCCGAGTTCGCACAGAATCGGAATGCGCTGCGCAACCGCCAAGTCGTTGAGCGCCTGCATCTCGGGCGAAATGTAGCTCGCCGTCACGAGCGGCACCTTGGACGAGAGACACGCTTTGGCAATGTCAACGTGCATCGGCGCCGGCAAGAGCGAGACAACGCAGTCGGCCGATGCCACGAGTGACGCCACCGCGTCCTTTTGCGTACCGACGTTGATCGTCGCCGGCGTCACGCTGCGGTGCTTGTACTTGGCGGCCATCGCGTCGGCTTCCCCCTTGAGGCCCGAGACCACGGTCAGCGAGTGGTTGGCGTCGCGCGTGAGGTACTCGACGAGCGGCGACGCGACAAGGCCCGCGCCAAGGCACACGATCTGCTTGCGCTCCTTGGCCGCCGACACCGACACGCTGCCCTGGAACGTCATGCCCGCGCCTTCCTTGGCCGACTCGGCGCGCTGCGAGAGCGTCTGGTCGTACGTGCCCATGCAATAGTCCGGCAGCTCCTTGATCGTCGCGGCTGCGCCCGGCGTCAAGCTCGAGAGCGCGCGGATCTTTTCAAGCATCGCGTCCAACTCGGCCTAATGTTCAATCGAGTGAGATCCTCGCATAGTCGAAACGACGCTCAACGGACCCGGGAGTCCATGCTGATCTGGACGACAGCGCGCGAGATGTTGGCGGCCGTCGTGTTGGACTCGTCGTTAAAGTTGGGGCGGACCTTGCACTCGACGACCGCAAAGCCGCCGTTGTGCGCTTCGATGAGATCCAAGATGCTGTTGATGAGGCCGCTGTCAAAGAGGTGGCCTTGGAGCTCGACGCACGTTGAGCCGGCAACTGCCGCCGCCGCCGACGCATACGCGTGGCCCGCCGCCCGCTCGCGGTCGCGGCGCATCTCCTTGATGTACTCGTACTTGGGCGAGAGGCGCCCGTCGGCCGCAATCACCGCGCCTTGGAGCTCGTCCGGAATGACCTTTTCGCCGCCCGAGAGGCTCTTGAGAAAGCCGACGAGGTGGTTGCCAAAGTGGTTGGACGATTCGCTCGGGAGCTCGCTCGGCAGAATATCAACGCCCATCATCATGACACTAGACAAGAATAGTTGATCAGCATCGAGTCGACTTCTAGCCATTGAAGGTTGTACCCGGGCTCGCCCGCCAGCGACGACTTGGCCGTGCGCGACTTGATGTCGTAGAGGAAGAACGGGTCTTCAATGTACGTCGACTTTTCAAGGAACTCGACGCTGCCGCCAATGTCGCACGAGATGTCGGCGACGCCGAGGAGCTTGGGGTCGCCGCCGCTGGCAGCCGTGATCTCGTCCATCTGGTCCTTTGTGATCAAGCGCGGGTACCGGTCGTCCCAGTACATGCAGTTGACAAGAAGCGACGTGTATGGCGCAACCTTCTTGTGGAACGTCGGCTCGTACTCTTCCGGGTGCTTGTAGTACTCTTCCTTGGTAAAGTCGTTCTTCTTGGTCTTGTGCTCGACCTAATCCAAGGTGGGTGAGACGAGGTACCCTTGTGGGTATGTGTCCATACCATGTGCTTTTCATCGACGACGCAGCCATAGACGACGTGGCGGTTGGGCTTGAGGTGCGGGAGGTCCTCGGGCGCCACAAACTCGTGCGGGAGGAGCTTGAACACTTCTTGGGCACCCTGCGAGACGTTGCCGCTGCCCGTAAAGACGACGGTGAGCGGCGCGAGGTCGGCAGGAAGACCGTTCTTCTTGATGAGCTCGCCGGCGGTCGCAACCGCGGCCTTGGCCCGGTCCAGGTCCTGGTACATGTACGCCGAGCCAATGTTAACGAACGGCGACGAGTAGCCCTTGTTGATGAGGCGCTCGCCGAGGCCGCGGAAGCCCGCGAGCATGCCGGCGCGGCCCGCGTACGAGCCAAACGCAATGAGCCGGCGGCCGTTGCGCTGCCCGCCCTCGGTAATGCACTCGTAGTCGATGAGGCGAATGCGCTTCTCCAAGATCGCGTCGAGGAGCTTCATGTTCTCAGGCTGCGCCTTGATCGTGTGCGAGAAGAAGAGGTACGTCTTGTCGTTGAGGAGATGCTCGATGGGCACCTGCTTGACGCCGACAATGACGTTGGCCGCCGAGAGGTCGTTTGTGACCACCGCGCCTGCCGCCGTGTACTGGTCGTCGGTGAAGATGCGCTGGTTGCTCGGCTGCACGTGCACGTTGATGCCAGCCTGCACGAGCTCCTGGACGTGGCCGGGCGTCAGCGGCGCGCGCCGCTCCCACTTGTTGTAGACCTCGCGGACGACACCGACGCACTTGGCCGGGCGCGTCGAGAGGTGGCGGGTCAGGCTCAGCGGCGCCAGCGCCTTCTTGCGGAACATCATGCTCATGCTGCTGCTAGACTGCTTGAGCGAGGAAGGGCAGGAACCGAAGTGATGAGCGGACGGCGGTGTTGCCAATTTGTCAGCAGCTGGTCGCGTGCGATCTTGGACGCTATAACACTTACCTTGTGCCAGTTAACACCCGGGTAACGGCACTTTGCACGTGTCAAGTGCACTTTGCACCTGTTATACCAACCACCGGATCCATGTTATAACAGATGCACCGGTCACGTCGGGACACCACGCGATTTTCAAGTTCAAGCCACGGGCCAATCAATGGCCGAGGATGCGAAGGATCTGCATCTTTGTATGAAGCAGCGGGCCCAAGTTCAAGTGGCGTTCAGGTGCGGGCTCAAGTCCTTGCCAAGATTCGACCAATGGCATCGACGACGGAGCTGGCGCCACCGAGCCTGTCTGCCGCAGACAGCGCCGCCGCGACCCCAGTCTTGCTTTTTCCCTGTATATTGCGATTGGTGCTGCGTCCGGCTGCCACGTCCTCGAGCCTCCGACGCCCGACGCCGCTTGCTCGCGAAATATTGCAGCGTGGGGTGTAAACATCACCGGGCGTCTGGGCGGCAGTCCGTGGCATTCGGCGCTGTTCCAAAACCAACTGCCGGGACCGCGTAAGTTCGGATGCGTCACCGTAATCGCGTCTGGCAAGAAGCGACTTTGGCAATAAGATCTTGGTGTCTTCTGCCTTGTTGCTCTGGAACGCAGTGGAAATGGCTCGCGTCTGTGTCCGTGGTCCGCCTGAGAAGGCGCGCTGCGCCTGTCCCGCGTCCGCCATCATCACCTCTCTCGAGCCTCTCCATAGAAACGGCATTTGCGTCCATTCTTCCCACGTTGGAACCGAAACGCAGCAGTGCGTACGCGTCGAAAGAAGCTGAGGCGACGACACACGAGAGCATGCATGAAGTGAGAACACCACCACCTTTACTACAGTACACTCTAGACGACCGCTGCTCTCCAGCACCAGCTGCCTTTTGCTCGGGACGCATTACAACAACGGCCTCCAGCATCACCACATGGAGTTGGGGAGCGCGTGCTTGGGTCGGAACGTCTTTGCTGACTGTTATCGTCGTGCTAAGAAGGATGGACTTGGCCGCATGAGAGACAAGTTGTGTGTCAATGAATTCTTCTTCTGCTTGGTGCTCCAAGGTGTCGAGCGCCGTCATCCATCGCCGCCATCCCGGCCTGTCAGAGAGATGATATCCTTGCTGGGACACGCGAACCAAGCACTTTCATTGGTGCAAACCATGACGTCACTCACATCAGGCCAATCAGCGCGTCGCAGCACATGGTCCGGTTTTGCGATCTTGGGCGTTTTGCGCGGGAACTTGGATCGACACGAGCGATGCAGCGTGGTCCGCGGCATCATCACGACGAAGCAACCTAGACAAGAGTTGTTGAAGACAGGTAATCTTATGGTCATAGCTCAAGGTACCTAGCGTTACGCCGCGCTGCGTCCGTCCCAGGCTTGACGAAGGCATCGTTACTGACCCTGACGCGGCGCGCAGAAGTGGCATCCGCGGCTGGTTTCTATGGCGCTGCCACCGCCAAAGTGGGATCCAACGCGTGATATTCCAACTCGCAGCGTCAAGTATAGGCTTCTTCACTGGCCTTTTGCATTGCTGTCATTTGAAGAAACCATGGCCAAGACGCTGTGTATGTTCAAGGACTGCCGACAAGAGGCGCTGTACGGCTGCTCGAAATGCGCTTTCCACAAGCGTCGAAAGAAGTGCTCGTTCCCCGAGTGCCACAACCAAGTCTACGCGCGCGGCCTCTGCGTGCGCCATGGCGGCAAGAAGCCGTGCGCGATCGAACACTGCACCAACGCGGTCAACGGCGGCGACTACTGCGTCGACCACGGCGGCCTCGCGACCAAGCGCTTCTGCGTCGTCGACGGTTGCAAGAAGCAAGCCCATGCGCGCAAGCGCTGTGTGCGCCACGGCGGCGGCCGCATCTGTGCCGCGCAAGGCTGCGGCCACCACGCGCGCCTCGGTGGCTTCTGCCTCGCCCACACGACGCCGGACGCCGCGCCGCCCGCCACGCTCGAGCTCGAACAAGTCGCCGAGTTCTTACACACGATTGACGAACCCCTCCTCGAGTACCTCCACGAGATCTCTGTCAACCGACCATGGACGGCCACAACCGACAACACCAAACGGGGATGAGCTCTCGGAAGCAGAAGATCTGGGATGCCAACAGCTGGGAAGCCACGAGACAAGAGTCAAGCGATGGCTATTTAATGGAAATTACACGTGCGTGCAGTGACCCTAGAGCTTGGACGCCGCGGCGTCGTCGAGGAACCAGTGGAGTTGGCCATGCGTTGGCAAGATGCGCGCGGCGGGCAGCGACGGCGTCTGGATCTCGAGCCCCAGCATGTGGCGCATGAGCGGCGCCTTGCTGTCGCCCGTCGCGACGAAAGCAACGGCCGCCGCGTTGTTGACGACGGGGTACGTGAGCGTAATGCGCTGCGGCGGCGGCTTGGGCGAGTCCGAGATCGGCGCGACCCACAGCGACATTTCGTGCAGAAGCGGGTGGCCGGGGAAGAGCGAGCACGTGTGCCCATCCGGGCCCATACCGAGCAAGATCAAGTCGAAACGCGGCAGCTAGCATGCTCATCCATGAGATCGGACTGCTTGGGCGCAGGTAGGTCGCCTACCGTGGGGCCCCAAAGGCTCGCAAGCTGGCGCGTGTACTCGGTGGCGACGACGGCCGGATCGCTGTCCAGAACGATCGTGTGGATCTGCGCACGGGGAATCGGGACCTACACCACAGCTGTAGGGTACTGCGTTTGCGTTACCGCCAAATGCGACGTACGTGTTGGAACAAGGCGTCGTGGCAGGCCAAGTAGTTGCTGTCCGCATGCTCAAGCGGCACGCAGCGCTCGTCGGCGAAGAAGACGTGCCACTTGGAGAAGTCGAGGTCGCCCTTGAGCGACGCGAGACCCTTCTCGAGAATCTAACGCGCGGCGTAAGCTCGGCGATGCGAGAGGATGCGTACCTTGGGCAGCGAGCCGCCCGAGAGCGCCAGTGTGAAGCGACCCGACGCAGCGATCGAGGCCTTGCTGAGGTCGGCCACGAGCTGGCCCACGGCAGCGCCCACCTCGTCGCCCGAGGCGCCGACATGAACAATGCGGCCTTGATCGTACGTCGTCACGCGGCTCATGCTCGGAAGGTACAAGAAGACGGCGGCAGCCAAGCAAACCAGAGGCGGAATGAGCATGCCCGGCCCGGATTTGCCGTCACCTGTTTTAAACAGCGCAATTTACAAAAAATCTAGCGCTTTCTGCATGCGTGCTGTTTTAAACGGGTAGGTTGGACATCGCGAAGCCACTGACGGCCACGCCGCCAGTGGTGCTTCATATTACCGACATACAACATCTTTGCATCGCAATGCTTGCTAGACGAGCCGACCGAGTCCGAAGTTAACTCTTGGTGGCTCGTATCGCTGCTATGACGTCATGCAAACGACAAGTGACGTCACAGAGGCGAGCCAAGTGGGCTGGGCGTAAACGTAGCAAGAGCAGCAGTGATCCCTTGTAAAGCAGACTGCAATATGAGCTGGTGGACAGACCGTCAGACAACCAACTGCACGTTGCTGTCCCGGTCCTCGACGGTCACGGATCATCATCAATTACTGTTCATTATGCGTCGGTGTTTAAAACACTGCATGAGCTGGCAGGGGCAGGAAGGGGCACGGATGACCGCAACACGAGACGGCAGCCGGTTACGATGCATTTAACCGGTTAGCCGTTACGGCACGCCCCTCGAAGATCGCAATATACCGCTGACCGTTGTCGATGAGCTTCTTCGAGTCGATTGCGCGGTCGCTGGGTGCGTGGATGGAGCCGCGCGCCAAGCCGCCGCCACCAGCTGCGTCATTTTGCAGCAGCGAGGTCCACGCGCCCGAGAGCGCGCTCAAAAAATACAAAATCGACGCGTCCGGCGTCTACGCAGCAGTCTACGGCACCCCGTCCGGTCCCTCGATGCGACGCCAGGTGCACCCTACGATAAGCAGCGTACGCTACTACTTCCATGTGTCCATCTTGGATAGTCTTGTTGTACTCATTCTGTGTCTAGCCATGCGACGCCGTCGACGACGACCTCGTCGCTCGCTTCCAGCGCCATGTGCGGGTCTCGCGCCAGCCCGAGTGGGCAGCCGGCCACCGCATCCTCTCGACAGCCAAGGTGCGTGAACGCCAGAGAGCAATCTTTTGGTCGTCATGAACACGCTAGGCGCGTCACGCAGCGAGTCTCGCCGAGTACACGCGGCACCTCGCCGAGCTCGACGGCCACGACCCGTCCCAGCGCAGTGGCGTGCGCGCGAGAGCGTGGCAGTGCATTGCGCAAGCCAACGCCAAGCTTGTGAAGCTACAGGAACTCGTGCGCGACTTGAGCCGCCTTGGCCCGCGCGAGGCCGAGAAGCTCAAGTGCCACGACCGCCTCGAGAAGCTTGTCGACGACCTCGTGCGCACCGGCAACGAAGCGGTGGTGCTGCTGGTGCGCGAACTCCAGGCGCTGCACGCGCCCATGACGAGTCTCAAGGGCGCGACCCTTCATATCTTTTCGTTTCTCTCAGCGCGTGACGTGGCAAGCGCACGGCTCGTTTCGCGTACGTGGCACGACGCCGTGGCTTCCAAGCGTCTCCTGACTGCCTCGCTTCGGACACCCCTCGATCGTTGGCGCTTTTGGACGCACTGCATTCGTCGGCGCCCGGGGTACGCGCCTCGCTGCTATGACTACGGACAGCTCGTTGCGATCGCAGCGGCCGACATGGCGAATCCCCACCACCGCGCGATCGACGCCGATGTGCGCCGCACGACCTTTCGCAACGGGATCTATGACCCTGCAACAAGCTGTAACGTAGATGAAGCGGCCGCGCAGGCCATGCTTAGCCGTCTTCTCCGCGCGTACGCGGCGCTGGACCCCGAGATTGGGTACTGCCACGGCATGACGTTCCTGGGCAGTGCGCTTCTGAGCTGCCTCGCGTACGACGAGGCATCGGCCTTCGAGATCTTTGCAGCGCTCTTGTTGCATTATACCTTTCGGGACGTCTTTCGCTGCCCCGACCTGCCGGGCGCCAAGCTGCGCATGTACCAGCTCGATTGCCTCGTGCGGGTGCACCTTCCGCACGTGGGCTCCGCGCTCCTCAAGCACAAAGTGCATCCGCAAATGTACGCGTCCGGCTGGATCCTCGCGCTCTTTGTACACGAAGTGAGCCTCACGAGCCGCAGTATGGTTGTGATTTTGGATGGCTTTCTGCAGCATGGCTGGGGCGCCATGCTGCGCCTCTACGTGGGCTTGCTCAGCGTGCACGCCGACCAAATCCTTGCGCCCAAGCCGCTCCAGGCCCTCGCCAAGCTCCCAAAAACGCTCAACCAGTCGCTCCACGCGGCGCTCGAAGCCGGCGACCACGACACGCTGATGCTTGCGACGTCCGAGCCGGCGCTCGCACTGCTTGCCGCGCAGTACGACCCCGCCACGTCGCTCATGGACTTCTTCTAACCATTAGCAAACATGCACCTTTCGTTGGAGCATGCAGAGGGTTCGATAACACCGAGAATCTCTGTGCTCGGCAGTCAAGTGCAAGCGTCCTACTAGCAGCACAAAGGCTCTAAATTTATGGCCTTCGTCGTACGCTCGAGTTTGCGCGAGCTGGAGGCTCGCCCGAGCAGCGACAAGAGAGAGTGAGAGCTACCGTGTCTGGACGCCAGCCACCGTCTTTTGTGCCGACGTGCTCTCTGCGTATTTTCGCTGGGGCACAATTCCCAAGCAGGTGCCCTTGCTTGGTGTACGACGAGGGACGCAGCCGCATGACCACCACTGCCACCGTGACATGCGTCATCTCTGGCCCCCATGCGATAGAAGCAGAAGAAGAAGGAGAACGCAATGGACAAGCAAAGATGTCGTTGGATTGCAGTCGTGTGGTGAACATCGTCTCTCACTCGATCTTGATGTTGCGGTATATCCGCTTGGTGAACGCACTGCTGCCGTAGTACCCGATCGAGCCGCACATGATGAAGAAGCTGAAGCAAAAGAGACCCCTAGTCGCCATACCCATGAGACACAATATACATAATGTCCTATACGTACATGTAGCCAAAATAAAAGCTCGTCTGGAGAAAGCCCGACATGTTGGTCTTGAAGAAGTAGAAGTAGATCGCGTACGCAAACACGTAGAGCGCGGTCGAGCCCGCAGCGAGGAACGACGTCCAGTGCCAATGGTAGTTCTCCGCGTTGAGCAGAAAGTACGTGCACACGATCGTGACGCACACCGTGACGACCGAGAGGATGAGAAACACGAGCAGCATAAAGCCGTAGACGTAGTAGAACTTGTAGTTCCAAAACGACGCAAAGATAAAGTACATCTCGATAAAGATCGAGCCAAACGGAAGAATGCCCGTCAAGAGCCCGAGCACCTACCATGTACACTATGAGAAACATATAGATACAAAAAAGCAAAATATACCAAAATGCAAAAGACGCAAAAATGCAAAATAAATGCAAAAATGCAAAATAAATGCAAAAATGCAACAAAAATATTGCCAAAAAAATAACGAAAACATTGGACAGCATGCACGTACCACTGGCCGGAGGTACCAGCGCGCGTCCGGCACTTCGCGCGGAAACTTGTTGACGCGGCACGGAAAGCCTTTCTTAGCCGCGCCGTGGCGACCGAGGATCGTACCGAGCACCGAGAGCGGGCACGACACAAAGAACCACACAAGGATCACTTGGACGATCGTCACAAAGGGAATGGCGTACGTCGTGCCGTAGACAATCGAGAGCGCGTTGATAAAGAAGAGCGAGACAAACACGACCGACGGCAGCAGCGCGATCGAGAGCACCATGGCCTTGATCCAGTCCTTCGAGACGCGCGGATAGAAAAATTGGTGGTACGACGCGCCGCTCGCGTACCCGTTGGCGAGCGACGAGAGCGCGTAGCAGGTGAGCCCCACCGAGACAATGCCACCGGGCTTCATGTAAAGCGACGAGAAGATCGAAATGAGAATCACGAGCAGCGTGAGCACGAGCAGCTGGGCACCCGTGCCGAGGAGCGCGCAAAAGAGCAGGAGATGCTTCGGGGCGCGAAATACGTCGCCATGCAGGAGCTTCCAGCCGGCCGACGACTCGTCCTTGAGCATCGAGCTCGTGTGGCCGGGCTCGAGGAGGAGCTCGTCGTCGTCGGCCGCAAAACGCGCATAGTCGTTCCGGAGCGTGCGCAGCAAGATGAGCGCGACGAGGCCGCAAAGGAAGATGACCATCATGAACGAGTTGAAGATGCTAAACCAGTGGATCTGGTGCTCAAAGAATCTACATATATGTGAGATCTGATAGGGCGTGCAGAGTACGTACTCGTCCTCGAGGTAGCGATCAAACCGGTCGTCAAACGAAATGTCCGTCTTGGTCCATGACACCTCGTAGGTAAAGTCGATCTTCCTGCAGTCGCGTGAGCCAATAAGGATGGACAAGATCGTGATGCCTACTTGTTGGCTTGGATCGGCGTCGCCACGTCCGCGTACGTGAGGTTGACGTGGATGATGTGCGGGCCGTTGTACGAGATGCTAAACTTCTTGTGTGTGTAGATGAGATGCGTGCCAATGGCAAACTAGACACGCGAGGTGGATACCAGGACGCGCCTTTGGGCGAAAATGTACCTCTTTGACGAGCTCCGGCTCGTCGTCGGCCTGGACGACCTTGCCGACGAGACCCCATACGGGCAAGTCGTCCACGTTCATTTGGTACCAGTAGTGCTCGTCGACTGCATCGATGAATTCTTGCGCTTCCGACGCCGACAACGTCTGCGAGCACATGGTCGTCATGTCCGTGTCGACGCCAAACGTCGCCGCCATGCCCGAGTTGAAGAGCTCGTTGCCCTCAAGGATTTCGCCAATGCCCAACGCGTGAGCCTCCGGAAGCTCGAGGCCCGGCGCCTTGCAGAACGGCAGCGAGTTGTACGTGTACGTCTCCTGCGGGTTGTTGAACGGGCCGATCTTGTTGACCCAGACGACGACCTCTTCCGCCGCATTGTACTAGCACCCATGAGCCATCACAAGCACGCGGTGGCTTCTACCTCGTGCGTTTCGACGTCAGCGACGGTGGGCGCGGCGAGGGCCGCGAGGCAGACCGCAACGACACGGGCGCAGCGCATGCTCGAAAATCTCGTTGTGGCCCAGCCTGGCGTCGACGAAAATACTGTGAAATCTTATATTTGTGGCCAAGTCGAGATCGCTACGTCAAGTGCTGGGGCTTTCTCAAGAAAGAAAACCTCTCACAAAGCATATATTTCCCGGAAGAAACCCGGTGGCAGAATTGGTGGCGAGTTCTGATTGGCTCAAAGTCGCCAGATTGGGATCTTGGCAAGCCAGCCGCGTCGCAACAACCAACGCCATGGCGATCTACTACCTCGGGACGCTGCGCCATGACCACAAGCACAATGACATCTTCACACGCAGGTTCTACCATGATGATACCGCCCATGCAGCGCAACAAACGCTAAGACCCGACGTCCTCTCTGTTGCGAAGCAGCAGGAGCCAGTGGTGCGCCTCTTTCCCTGCATGTCCTTGGCCCTGCAGCCATATGCTCAGTGCGGTGTGCATGGAATCATCTCTGTCGCCAAAGTACGTACAGCTCAACGTTGGTCCCGCTTATTGGAAGGTAGCAAATATGTCGTCGAGCGCTTGGATGGTCCCGGCAACCATGCCGACGCAGCCGACAGCGACGATGCTGATGTGCAGCGCCCACGATGCCACGCAGACGCGGTCGCGCTCCAGAGCGAGGTAGAACACGGGCGGCAAGATCACGGCTAGCATGCTCGAGCCCACCGAGCCAAAGAGGCTAATGAGAAGGCCGACGTTCGGGACGCAGATCGCGACCAGCATCAAGCACGTGACGAGCATCGACCGGAAGAGCGTACGCCGCACTTCATATTGCGACGTCGAGAGCATATTCTCGAGCCATTGTGGCACAGGCGGTTCGACTGGCGCGCAGCGTGTGGGGCAGACCCGGCTTCGTGGCGGCGGCGCAACGTCGCTGAAGGTCTGGATGCTGGGCGTGAGGTAGCCGCGGCGCGCGAGGAGCTTCTCCAAGACTTCGAGCGCCGGGTAAAACTGAATCGGAAACGAAAACAAGCACGCGATCGCGAGGAGCAAATTCGCCAGCGTGACCGACCAGCCAGGAAAGTACCGCTGGAGCACGGCCGTCATGCTGCCATTCTCAATCGACCCAAACGCGAGAACTGGCACCTCGCCAAGGAAGAGGAAGAGAATGAGGATGAACGCCATGGTGCGCAGCAGCACGCCGCGGAAGAGCCGTCTGTCGTGCATGTCCTTCTCCAACGGCAAGATGAGGCCGATGCCTTCAAACGAGTAGACGGCCGTGCCTACGTCGTGCAGTGAGCGTATGCTCCAAGCTCGCAGCGCACCGTAAAACTCGGGGAGGCGTGACCACGCGAACGTCGTCACCAGTGGCGGCGGCGTCTGCGCGGCGCTCGCATAGGCGTACGAGTAGTAAAATACAATAGCGATGCCAAGGAGGACTGCAAACGTCGCTAGTTGCATCATTTCCATGAGGCAACGTCGATTAATGGAAAGGAAGCTACGCAGTACCGAGGGCCGAGAAGGGCGTGATCTTGTGCAAGGAGCGAATCCAAGATAGCCCGAGGATGATCGGAAAGATGAGCAAGATGAGTTGTCGCTCTTGGAAGTCGTGGCTGAGCCTACGCCCATGTCAGCCTCGTGCAGCGAACGATGGCGTCGAACTTGGCGGGCAAAATCGCGTGGAGGTTGGTGGCGACAACGGTGAAGAAGACGCAGCAAAAGCTCAGCTGCGTCCCAACGAGGAAGACGTTGACCGCGCGCTTCCCGTGCTTCCCGAGGAGCTCGCCGCCCACGTCGCCAAACGTCATGCCGCGCTCGGGCCGCAGCTTGTTTTTGCAGTAGAGGAGCAGGTTCATGTTGTAGATGCAAATGACCACCTACACACCGCCACTCAGTGTCCAAGGCAACGCAAACTGCATACGATGAACAAGTAGACGACTGGCGCGACGTAGATGCCCGCTTTTGCAAACGCGTACGGGAGCGAGAGCGCGCCGGCGCCAATGTTGCCCTTGAGCAAGTGCAATGTGACCTCCCACGTCGAGAGCGGCTGGTGCGTTGGCGCCGGCGTCGGCGTCTTGAGAGGCGGCAGGAGACTCTTCTCGTCGCTTGGTCGGCCCATGCTCGTTGCCTTCTATTTGTGGACCCTTCTTATCCCCACATCGATTGCGATCTTTCGGTTTCTGCCGATCACCCGATGACGTGGCAGCGCCACAGCGCAGACCACACATTTGCTTTGATCCGTGTGCTCGAAACCAACCAAATTACTATACGAATGGACAGATTGTCTATCGATCCACGACAACTGTCATGACACCATATGCCGTGCAGTCCAGTGTTGATTCTTAGGTTTTGACAAAACGAGCACCGCGACTGGGAATACCAGATCGTATCAGTCCATATCAGACTTACGGGGCCGTGATTTCCTACGCACAGGATCGTGTCAAGGTCGGTCACCACACGGTATATGAACGGACGAGCGTCGCTAAGATCTGATTCCACGACTCCATGTCCTTGACCAGCTTTCGCCACGCGTCTTCGAGGCCTGTGCGTCGACCGTCCTGCAGTGTATTTTCACGCTCTTCGACCAGCGCCACCGCGAGGAGTTCTTGAATCGTTGTGGCTTCCTCTACGCGACCTCGTCATTCCCTCGTTGGCTTAGAGACGAGTACCATTGGAGCTCGTGGGCAGCAACGCGCGGAGACGCGTGCGGAGGCGGCCGTAAAAGTCACGTGTGAGCACTTGTAGACGCTGGATTGGTGGCACGTCGAGGCGCTCCTGCATCGACTGGAGGCGCGGCAGCGCGCCCGACTCGGTCGTACTCACGCGCCAGACCATGTCCGACTTGCCCGCGCTTCGCGGCGGCGCGCGCGGCGTCGGCGTCGTCTCGGGCTCGAGAAGAATCGACGCTGTCGGCTTTTCCCCGACACGGAAGCGCTGGCGCCGGCGAAACACGATGCCGTGGCTCGCGTAGCGCTGGATGCTCTGGAGGCACGCAGCGAGCGTTGGAAACGACGGCTGGTTGAGCGACGACTAGGAAACCCTCAGCGGCCGCGATCCACATGCACGCTACCTTGGCCGACCCAATGTGGTACCGGCCGTCGTGAAACTCGAGAAGCACGTGGTGAATGTCGTCGGCGCCGTTGTACGAGAGCACGAGCGTCTGCGAGTCCTTTCGGCGAACGAGGAAGGCGCCTTCGCCTCGTGCACTATGCAACTCGTCACGTCGCTACCTCCATATCTGCACACGGACCTCAAAATGTTTTCAGCCTTGTGGCGCTCAATGCTACCGGCAAAGAACTGCCAGCCCTCGTCGTCGTCGTCACTCTCGTGGCTCATCGCGGAGACAGGCGAATCGTCGCTGCTGGGTGGCGGCGCGCGGACGTCGTGAAACGCAAAGTCCACTTCGGACGACGCTTCTTTTTCCTCGAGATACTGCCCTTTCATATCGCCAAACATCCAGTTGGCGCCAAAGCCCGACGGCGCGTCAACGTCACTTGTGGACCGCGGGATCGTTGTGATCGCTTGCGTCGGCACGTGGAGCACGGCCGATGAGAAGCACGGTGGCGTCGACTCGATGAAGCGCTCGGCGTTTGGCGTCAGCAGCATCTACATCGTCCGAAGGATGCGTAGAGGAAGACATGAATGGATGGCGCACCGTGGGCGGCGACGCCATCGCGCGACGCGCCTTGACAAGGACGTCGAGCGGCTCGCTTTTGCAGATGCAGTCGACCTACGCCACCGTCTGTTGAACCCACGGCTACGTACTGCGAGAGTGAGCGGTACCATCTTGTCGAGTGCTTCGATCACGGCAGGGTTGCGGTCGCTTTCGCCCAACCCCATGCGCCCGACGGTCCACGACCACCCACGGTACCCGGCCGTCTGCGCATGTCGCCATGAAGGTTGCGGAATCGCAGAAGGGACGTACCCGCGCGTAGGCTTCAATGTCATCGCTCGTCATGACGCGCTTCTGTAGCATGTCGGCCTTGTGGCAGAGAAGGTAAAAGGGCACTTCGCTCGACGAGATGAACGCCGCAAGCTGCGTTCGCCACGCGTCAATGGCCGCAATCGAGCTCACGCGATGGACGTTGAAGACGAAGAAGATACCGTCGAGGTCGTCGCAGAGGAGCTCGTGCAAGCTCGTATTGTCGACCTCGGCGGACGAGACGTCCCAGACTTGGATCTTGACGGGCTGCTTGGACGGACCGTACGGGTAGAGGAGCGTGCTCACGTCGACGCCGATGGTCTGGCTGTACGCCGACTGGTACGGTCGCTTGAGCCATCGGCGCACGATCGACGTCTTGCCCTAGGGTCCCACGCGTGATCCACATACCAGCGAGCATCGAGATGAGAGCGTACGACGCCGTTGCCGCCCACGAGCGCGATCTTGAGCTCGAGCTCGGCCGGGATCGTTGGCGTCGTCGGCTTCTTGGTGTGCTGGCTGCTGCTACTGTCCACGTCGCCAATGGTGCTACCCGCATGCGTCGATGCGTCTTCACATAGCACATGTCAACTTACAAGCGCGAGGCAATCATGCGTGAGAACATGCTCGCCATGGACGACGTCTCATCGGTCGTCGTGCTCATGCTGTCGGGCTGGATCGGCGAAGGGCAATACCGGTAAAATACTGTTATCCGTTGTAACACTATTACAATAGAACTGCTCGCGAACGAAATCGGCACAGAGAAGTAGTAAGACCAGCGGCATTCACTTCACAAACTTACATTTTGCTTCTAAAGAAGGCGGTACGAGACCGTAAGCAGCCATGCGCTTTCACAAAGCAGCAATATCGTCTGCGGCCAGGAGCATCACCTTCAAGTACATGAAATAGTGTGTGATCTAAACTCACGCAACATTTTGCCTCTGCTACGTAAACGAGCATCACACATTTGCCCCAACGTATTCGGCGTCGCGCTTGCTACCTATTGAAAGATGTACTGTAGGTACCGCACAAGCGTCCGTCTTCGGATCCACTCCTTCAAGGGAGGTCGTCGTCGATACCCCTTGCTGTTCAAGGCTGCACTGGGATGCGCAGACATGTATTGCTAGAGGTTTATCCGGCGGAAATATAAAGTTTGGTAGAATTTTCTCGAAGCAAACGTGGCAAGCCGCAATGGCCCGTAATTTTAGATCTGACGCCATGGCCGACACAACGTACTACGACGTGCTCGAGGTGCCCGAGACCGCGACAGAGGCCGAGATCAAGCTCGCGTATCGCAAGCTCGCGATCAAGTGGCATCCGGATAAGAACAAGGAGCCTGGCGCCGAAGACCGCTTCAAGAAGATCGGCGAGGCGTACGCGATCCTGAGCGACGCGGCCAAGCGGCAAGAGTACGACCATGGCCGCAAGTACGGCCGCAGCGCCAGCTTTTGCTACCAAGATGCATCTGCGTTCCAGCCGTTCACGTTCTTTGACGCGCGCGACCTCTTCCAAGCCTTCTTTGGCGGCCGCGACCCGTTCATGATGGACCCGATGCCCCGCGCCCGAGCACGCTCGACGACGACGCAGCGCGATCCGTTTGGCTTTGGCGGTCTCGGGATGATGATGATGGACATGGACGACCTCATGATGGGCGGCTTTGGTGGCGGCAGCAGCAGCCTCCTCTCGATGAGCTCGGGGTTTGGCGGCGGTGGCTTCACGAGCAGCTCCAGCAGCACGTCCATGTTCCGCGACCATACGGGCCAGACCGTGACGAAGAAGACGACGTCGATCCAGCACCCCGACGGTCGTGTCGAGACCAAGGTTGAAGAGTTCGTCAACGGAAAGCTCACCAAGTCGTCGTCCAACAGCTCGACCACTGGAAGCAGTCGGCTCGTGGGTGCCGGTCGCATGCATCTCGAGGACCGCGTCCTGTCGTCGTCCTCGACCCGCCGCCGCACGAGCAACTACGCCTAGCGATGCCCATATATGTATACAATAAAATAACAACATTGACCCACGCACGTTGCAGTAGTAGTCGTAGTAGGTAGTAGTATTGGCACGTGTAATAGGATCCTATCGGCTTAGCAGTACGAAGCCGCGAGGCGCGCAAAGCCGCTCTCGAGGTGCAGGTACGACTCGAGCCACTCGTTCTTTGGGTTGAGCTGCTGGAGCTGCGCCACGTACGCCGAGCTGTCCTTCTTCAAGTGCTGCGCAACCACAACCAGGTTAACGTACGTATCTTCGAACGTCGGGTCCTTTGCCAGCGCCTCGTGCAGGAGGCGGTCCGCCTCCGGAAAGTTGAGCAGGCCCATGTACGCGACCGCCGCGCCGTTGAGGAGCTGTGCCGATGCGCCAAAACGGTCGCCGAGCTCCTGGAAGTGCAGCGCGGCCTCGTCGCAGACAGGCCCGCCCTTGGAAACCATGGTCCACGACTTGGCGAGCTGTGTCGTTGTCGCATCCTCGTCGATGCGCTTCATGTCTTGGATCTGCTTCTCAGCCAGGTCGATACGGTCCATCTTGAGGTAGAGCAGCACCGTGTACATAAGATGCTCGAGCGACCGGCCACGCGTGAGCGCCGAGAGTGCGTCCGAAAACTTGTGTTCTTGCATGAAGATAAGCCCCGCGACCAGCAGCAAGTGCGGGTTCTCGCCGTGGTGCGTGCTCAGCCACTCGCGCAGCGTAAGGAGCGTGATCTCGGCGTCACCGCCATTGAGGTACGTGGCGTAGAGCTTGATGGCACTGAGCGAGATCGGCGCGTCGGCCGGGATCGCTTGCAGCACGCCCTCGTAGTTCTTGAGCGCGAGCTGCGCACGGAAGACGTACACGTCGCGGTCCATCTTCTGGGCCTCGGGGATGTGGCTGAGCACCGTCGCTTCCTGGATCGCGTTGCGGAAGTTGCCGACCCAGAACTGGTTCTTCAGCGTAAAGAGCTCGTCCGGTTCGCTCATGGCCGCTGGATCGAAAATGGCGTCGGAGACACACTGCCGCAATGTCGTCAATTTATTTCATAACATTTAATTCTCCCTACAACAACCTAAATAAAGGAACTGCATTCCATTGTATTTTGCACCGCGCGTGGATTTAAATGCATCCAGATCCTTGCCCCCAATCAGATTATTGCTGAATCCACATGCAGTTGCCACGTCATGCCAGCGCGACGCTGAGGATCGCCACGTACACCTGCTCGCCGCCCGTTGTCGAGTGCATTCGATGATGGGTGCATGTGGCTTGCACCACCATATCTGTGCTACGGCAGCTGCGTAGACCGAGGTTGTATCGGGTCAATTGATTGCCGGCCCGCACCGCGACAGCATCAAAGTGATGATTTGGTCGCTTGCGATTGGCTGTCTTCCTATATGTTGTGGGAGGTATGTGTTTTAAGAGGTCTCTTCGCTCTGAGTATTAAAAGAAAGAGGAAATTGGTGATTGGTTTTTGTGCACCAGTTATTGAAAGCAGGCCATGTTGTCCCGAGCCCGTCTTCTTGCGACCCGCAGTGGCATGGCGGCTGCCCGCCGCTTCGCCGTCGCCCGTGGCTTCGCCGACGTCCGCAAGGGCGGCGAAGAAGAGAACTACGAGACCGGCGCCGGCGACATTGAGCAGCTCTTCCACACGGCCTTTGACACGTGGGAGGGCAACGACCTGCCCGAGATCCAGGAGCACTTTGAGAACCCGCTGTGGTGGAACACGGACTTTCCCGCCACCTTTGACGACGACATGAAGCACGAAGTCGAGATGCTCCAGGTGTTTGAGGACCTTGTGCCACTCATGGACCACTCGTGGGAGAGCGAGATCCACCCGGCGCTCGACGGCTCCAAGATTGCGATTCAGATGAACGTGACGCTCGAAGATTTCGACAACCTCCTCTTTTTGGACGACCAGACGACGTTCGACACCAAGGTCACGTTCGAGGTGCCGCTGAGCGCGCTGAGCCTCGACGAGAAGGCCATGGAGATCTTCCTGCAGCTCGCCGGCCCGCGCTACAACAAGGACAAGCGCCTCGTCAAGCTCGCCGAAGACCGGTACGACAAACGCATTTATAACCACAAGCGCCTCTGCGTCATCCTCCGCGACCTCGTCACGGCGGCCGTCGAGTTGAGCAAGAAGCAGCAGTAAGAAGTAGAAACAGCAGCCCGCTACACCAATAGATCGTTTCGCAGTGTATGCCTCCGATTGCACTTGACTCGCCCGTCTGCATGCCTCGGTATGTTCAAGCAGAGTGCGGCGCCAGGATCCTCAGGCTACATGGACTTCCTGGACTGAGGTGCCATAGCCTTCACGACGGATGACGCCGACGCGAATGAGCCCCAGCCCTCACCCACACACGTTGCCGATCGTGACCGAAGGCCCACGAAGGCCTCGCCATCGAATGGCGTCTTCCTTGTCCGACGCCATCAACAGCAGAACGCTATCACGTCCGCTCGCGCGTCCTTCGCCCACCAAAAGTAAACGAGCGCCATGTGAAAACACTGCTGGCAAGGCGCCAAGGTACACTGGCACGTACTGTAGGTGTGGCCAGAACACTAGTTCTTCCACCTCACAATCTGCTTGTTGGCGCAGTACGTCCTCTGTGTTTGGCTTCTTGTCGACGCAAGCACAGTCGACGCTCCATGTTGCATCGCATAACGCATGGGCTTCGGAGCATTTTCTTAAATGGCGATTATGGGCGGAGGTAGAAGAGCGCGCCACACGTCGTGTACGACTGCATGTCGATCTTCCGGTCGGGCGAGAGGCTACCGCCGGGCATCGCCAGCGGACCAATCTCGCCGCCCGAAATGACGCCCGCGAGCGGCGTGTCCGGAAACACGCTGGCAAAGGTATGGGCCTCGACGTCGTTCTCGCCGTAAAAGCCTTCACCACGGGCTGCGCACGGGTACGTGAGCCCGCCGAGGACCGTGGCACCGGACGCAGCAGCCTTGGCCAAGGCGAGCGCGTGCGCGAGGTCCGACTGGCCGGCGACAGCGTCCTGGACGCAAAAGACGCCAAACATACCTTCGCACCACGGCGCCGCGCCGCTCTCCGCGTCCGCTTGCGAAAACACAATGCCGTGCTGCTTGTCGTAAATGCACACGGTGCGGTCGAGGTGCACAGCGTGGGGCGCCGCGATGAAGGCGGCGATCTCGGCTTCGGTCTCTGCCTTGAAGAGGTACACATTTCCCGACGCTTCGGCCACACTATTGAGGAGTTGGATGGGCGCTACTGACATGGCGGGGGACGTCGGTGACGCGGCGACCGCGACCGACTCGAACGTATGGAGCACTTTGAAGTACGGATGCCGGCGCGTCTGCATGTGCTCGCACTAGGCACATGAGGATACAACACCGTGTTCATGGTCACCACACCTACCTGAAGGATGGGTGAAATGGTCTTGAAGCCAAGCGAGACGAACGGTGCACTCGCGACGCGGCCGTCAAAGGCCACGCAGAGGTGGGTCGGGTGTGAGATGCTAGGGCCCGCGGGCGAGATGCGCCGAACGGCTATGGGCACGCAGCGGTCCGTGAACGGAAGGATCGTCCCAACAATGTTGGCGCTCGTATGCACGGTGGCCATGAGTCGGACAAGGTGGTCGCACTGCGCGCCGTTGGTACTGTACACGAGGATCGAGTTGGTTGACGGCGAGAGCGCTGGCGTCAAGAGGCCATCTCGGATCTCGTGCTTCGTGGGCTCTAGCACCTGAAGCGTCGTATTGGGAAAGTACCCAACCGTGATGTTCACAGCCATGTCGTCGATGGCCGAGCTCTCGAGCTCCGAGAGGTCGTAGTGGCCGCCGGCGGCGGTGGAGGCCATGATGCCAAAGTCGCTGTACATACAAATGATCGTGCAGGCGCGAGGCAGTAGCTTGCGTTCTTGAATCACATGGAAAAGCTTGTTCCATCCCGTTGGGCGCCGCAACGCGTGGGGCAACCCCGAGACGGTAAGCATCGCGAGCTGCGGCGCATACTGCGAGGCAAAGCACGTGTCATCGGGCGCAAACTCGCTCAGAATGTCGTCCCAGCTCTCACCAGTGTACGTGGACGCGCGCCAGTGCAGGCCCACTTGCATCGGCGACGTCGGGAGCAAGATGGACGCATGCGCCTCGTGCCACGCGCGCGAGACGCGGCCGGCGCGGTACCCGTCGCGCCACGAGAGGTACTGGAAGATGAATGGGATGACCTCTTCCGGTACAGAGTACTGCGGCTTCTTGGCGGCCTCGTCCTTGGCCTTCTTCCCGCGCCCGCCCTTGAGCGCGCTTCCGGCTTGGTGCTTGGTCATCTTGAGTGATGTTGGACTTCGACTGAACGCCATCGACTAAACCGGCTGGTGGTGATTGCGCAGTTTGTCCCAATGTCCCAACCACCGCCGGGTGTAACCGATACTCGAGATTGTGTTCTTGATGGCAAAAACACTGGGCCAAGAAGCAGTCGAGCATGCTCGCGACTGGTTCTCTGTAGCATAGCATCCCGCACGTTTTCTGCAGCGAGGCTGAGCTCGAGATTGAGAACGCCACTGCTTGCCATTGCTGTGAGTGTTTCACCCGACCAACATATATATTTGGCCGCACCAACACATAGTATGCGTTGGTGATGGCGATGACGTGTACTATTCGCATGCAGGGTGGTTGGGACAGCCAGCTGTGCATGGTTTACGCGAATGCTCGGACGCTTCAAGCCACTCTTTGGCCCGAGGCCATCGGTAGCGTGCTGAGATAGGACCCGTGTGCCAAAAAGCTTAGTTGATCGCGTCAAGCGACTAATCGCGTCCAGTTTGTCCACACAGATGCCGCGATGGGACATTGGGACAAACCCACCGTGGGATTTAATCACAACCCTCGGCGAGAAAAGATCCCGCGACAACACCACGATGGAGATGGACGGGCCCAAGTTGATGCTCGGCCGGGCGCCCACGAACCCACGACGAGTCCTCACACAGGTGCTACGGGCGTACGAGGCCATCGGTCGCGACCTCCGCGAGGACGCCGAGGACCTCTCGTGGTCGGAGCTCGCGGCCCACCTCGTCGCCAAGATGGCGGTGATCGCGAGCGTCGAGCTCTTTCTACAGCGCACGCTGCCGCCGTTCGTGCTCGAGCTCAGCGAATGCAACGTGCTGCTTCTTCTCCTCGAGCTCGCGGCCGTGCTCTGGATCGATCACATGGCGAGCGCCGACCACCACTGACACCATCCACCACAGCCCTGCCCTGTCCTGCCACCCCACACCATGTAAGTTAATAAAGATTTCGCATTCCTCGCATTAGGCTAGGCAATCGTGGGTGGTCGCGCAAAGCTGCAAATGGCCTCGACAGCCGCGTGCATGCAGTAGACGTAGTACGACTCCTCGCCGTTGCGGTTCGGGTGGTCGCCGCTGCTCGTCTCGTGCATCTCGGCGAGCGCAAAGTGCTCCAATAAATACAAGTGCGCGTGCACATAAGGAATGTCCGCATGCAGCAGCACGTACGACAGCAGCGGGAAGAACGTGTCGACCGCGATCCGCGTCGTGCCAAACACCTTGGCAGCTTCTTCGTGCAAGACGACGACGCCGTGGATCATCTCTTCGAGGAGGTCGCAGGGCACGAGGCTGCCCATGGCGCTAAAGGCAAGCCGGGCCGCCGGAAACACCATCTTGGCATCGACCGCACCGTCGCGAATGCGTTCTATACACGAGGGTGAGTGGCGTTGCCTGAGAGTGACGAGCAACGTACGGGCGAGGTCGGGTGTGACGCCAAACTGCTCCATGCTCACGCCGGCGAGTCGCAGCGACGCTTGCTTCTTGCGCCAGAGCGCGTCCTTGCGCGCGCACTCTACCAGCGTCGGCGTGCTGTAGCAAAGCGTCACTAGCCGTGGGAAGAGCGCGCGCTGCATAAAGATGTAGAGGCTCTTGTTGACGTCGTCGAGGATGCCAAACTCGCGCCGGACGCGGAGTGTCACCGCTTCGATAAACTCGAGCACGTGGTCGGGCGTTGGATCGCGCAGCCACGCGTGGTGCAAGTCGACGTAGGGCACCTTCTTGGGGTGGGTGGAGTCGGACGTGCTGTCATCGAGGAGGTCTTCGCACGCGAGTCGTGCGCCGTCAAAGCACACACGGTCAATCATGTGGCAAATGCGGTTGTCGGCAGCGGCGAAAATAAGGTTCTCAAACTGCGCTTGGACGACCGACCACCACTACAGGTAACCGCGTGAGACGATCGCAAGAGGCGAGAGCTACCTCTTTTGTGTTCATGAGCTCGTAGTACTCGGCGTAGAATTCTTCGCCAGCGAGCACATCGTCCATGACGCTCTGCTGACGCGGCAATTCGGTCGGGCTAGCGTTGCTGCTGCTTTCGACCACCGAGAGGTTCGTCCCGTGGGGACTGCGCCCGAGGCCAGCCGATTGCTGCAGGAGCCGGTACCAGCTTGCGGCTTCGAGCAGCCGACGCATCTTGCCGTGGCGAATGTTGTGCGGGTACGCGTCGTCGACGTCGAGAGAGGGATGCCGGTACCGAACAGCGTGCGCAGATGCGTCCTTCTTGGCCTGCTCCCGCGCAAGGTCGAGGTGCTGAAGCCACTCGCGCTGTTGCGAAAGCAAATGGAGCTTTAGGTCGTGCTCGAGGTACATCTCGATGGACTCAAAGGTCGCCAGCTCCTTGGCCGTGAGCGCCATGTCGTGGACGTGGTAATGGCGCCGAAGCACCGTGTGCAGTAGCCGCTGCACGTGGCGCTTGTGGCGCGTGAGCTGGTTCAAGGTGCGGTGGTGCGACGACGTCGTGACGAGATCGCAGAGCCGGCGAAGACCGTCGAAGTGCTTCCACGGATCTGCTTGGGGTGCGCAGAGAAACGAAAACAGACTTGGCTGTGGCGGTGGCGGAGGCAGCGTCGAGAGCTCATAGGCTTCGTACGTGGCGTACTCTTGTGTGAGCTTGGAAGCGACGTCGTCCAGACACTGTTCAAGCTAGTCCATCATGAGCTTCCAAGTACGCATGGTGTGTCAAAAGCGTACCTTGGCGCGAAGGTCGTCAGCGGTCGCTTGCAGAGCGTCTGTCGTGAATGCAGACGACTTGGCCGCTGTCTTCGCAAGCGTCGGCGTGCTAAGGTCTTTGATCGTTGTCATGCGGCGATGCTTGGCATAAGTCGGTGGGGAAGACACGCGTCGCTCTTGGGGCGTCTCGGCCAATGCGACAGCGGAAAGCTCGCCCATTTCGTCCATCGATGTGTCCGAGTCTTCTTCCGGGCGCTCGAAGCCAGCGTCGTAGGTGGCAGCGAAGGCCGCCTTGGTGTCGGGCGAGAAGACCACGTCATAGGGCGACTCGAGGTCGACGTCCATGGCGCCGCCAGCGTAGAAGTTCTCCATGATCGGGTACTCTGTCCATCCGGGTGTGACCCACACGTCGGGCGCGCCTACATCCAGGGGCTCTTCCATCGCGCGACTGGCGCCGCTCCTCTCGTCGGTGAAAGCGTCAATGGCCGAAACAGAATATTTTAATCCGCCTTCGAATATTACTGCAAATTAATATTCCCATCACCCGAGAATTTTCCACGAAATTAATTTACGCACCAGCGGTTCATGCGACTGTCCCATACAAACACGCCAACAATGCTAAAAGAATCGATTTATATTATTATTTTAATATTGCCATTACTTACCCAACGATGACGGATGCAGTGGGTGTGACGATGAGCGAGCCGACTACATGTACAAGCAAGCTAGCCTTCGCCCTAGTATAGAACTACTAGTACAGCTAGTATAACGACCGTCGTACCATCGCCTTGGAGCTGCAGCTGGCAAACCAAGATCTCGCGCCTGTGACATCCCGCGCGACTGCATTCTCCGAACCAGGATCGGAGGTGGAAGTGGCGGCAAGCGGACGGTTCGGCTGTAGTTGCTCGGTCCGAGTCGTGGTCGGTCCGATGGGACTTGCGCCCATGAAAACGCGTCCGTCGACACATAAATTGCATCAGTAATGGTGGGTGCAGCTGACAAGGCAAGCGATGTGCTCGAGGTCGCCCCGCAGCCGTGTCGAGCTCCAGCCGTTGAGAGACTGGACAGCATCGATCCAAAGCCATCAAGTCGGAGATGGATACGTCTTTATGATCTCGAGCGGTGGCGAGCTACTCTCACATTGCGACGTCGTCTCCGCAGTGGTGGGCACTGGTTCACTGACAAACTGCTACTAAGAGTCGATGGTTTGGCAATGCCCCCGGTTGACCGCAACGAGGCGCTCGAACTGATTTAGGTTACTTGCACTTGAAGGCATCAAGGCGTGAAGCCACCACGAGCTTTAGAAATGCACGTGCGCGGAAGCCTCTCAAGATGCACCCATGACGACTGGATAGCGCGAGCGACTTGTCGGTTTCTTGCTCAGAGCATGTGGTGGTGGTTGCTTTGGCCGGCCGTCATCATGGACGACTCTATGACCCTTGACATGAAACCGTTCACGAAACCGGACATGAAACCGCCGCTAAGACCAGGTGTTGAAACAAAACAATAGACAAGGTTCTCTATGATGTGCAATGATCTGCTTAGAGCTCAAACTCTTCTTCGTGAATGTCAAAGCGGTGGGCGCCAAGTGCAACGGCCGCATCGTTGACTGCGCACTTGAGGCTCTCAGGGCCCGACACGATGACCCCCACGACCCCGTTCTCGGCACAGTCCTTCGCGACGGTGTTGGCCACAAGCGCGTGGACATCCGGGCGCGTGCCAACCGTGACACCCAGGTGCAACAAGAGGTCCCGGATCGTCGCGATGGTGGCTGGCAGCGCGTCATCGCTCGGGACGGGCGCAGTCGCGTTTTGGGTCGCGTCGCGGGCCTCGGCCCAGAGGAAGACGTACACGACGAGGATTGTGGCAGTGAAGACAGCGAGCTCAAACGCTCGTTGGAGCGGCCACAGGGCGTAGTGGTTGGCCCCCTGAATGGGTCCGTTGCCCCAGTGTGCAGCACCAAGTGCAAGAATCGCAACCGCAAAGAGCACGACATACAGGATTGCTCGGGTCGTGCGCGACTGAAGTGGCGCGCGGAATGGGCGACCGGTCATCGCTCCCTGCGGCTTGGCGACCGATGACGATGTCGTGAGGGGGGCATCCAGGGCTTTGTCGTCGGCAAGCGTCGAGAGAAAGAGGTGCGATGTGAAATGGGTCTGCTGCGGGTCGAGCTCGCGAAGCTTGGTGAGAACCGGCGCGAGGAGCTCAAACAAAGCAAGGTCGCGCGCAGAGAAGACGAGGGTGACACGTTGCGCCCAGGTACCAGTCGCATGTACGTTGTGCGCCATCTCTTCCAGCACGGCGAGAATTGGAGTGACGCCAATGCCACCGCCGACAAGAAGGGCCATGGGAAAGTCCCCGACGTGGTCCAGCGCCGCGCCGCAAAACCCGTCCACAAACACCACGGGGGCGTCGCCGCACTCGTTCGCATACGTGAGAAGCTTGGTCGACCAGTCGCCAACAGGCTTGACGAGCAGCGTCATTGTCGTGGCGCCAGAGGTCTTGGCCGACGACGCAACCGTGAGCGCGTGCCACTGGAGCTTGGAGATGGCCGGGACGTTGAGGTAGACAAAATGGCCGACCAAGTAGTCGCTTTGCACCGCGAGGACAACTTGTACAATGTTTCCGCCGATGACGCGCATGGTCGCGGGCACGGGCGACCGGGCGTTGTAGCTCGAGCACGCGCGGCCGATGAGAAAGACGAGGCCCGACGGGAGGATCCACCACAGGATCTGCGTCCAGTGGAGAATTGCAAAAAAGAGCGCAATGACAAAGAGCACCCAGTGCGAGATATAGAACCACTCGTACGCCTTTCGACGCACGATCGGGATCGACGTCGGGATCATGAGCAGCATCGCGACAATCGAGACGAGCCCGAAAAAGTTGAACCACGCAAAATACCCCGTCGTCTCGTTCGTAAAGTCGCACTCAATGCACGGCGATTGGTTGGCGATCCACGTGCCGTCGCGGACCCACTTGCCCCAGTAGCCGCCCGTGTGCAGAACGCCGGTCAAAACGGTCATGTAGCCCACCCAGCGGTGCAGCCTGGCGCCGTTGGCGTACGAAATGTTCATAAACTCCATCCACGCCGAGTTGCGCGAGACAGGGAGGAGCAGAAACGCCATGTTGTAGATGCAGAGGTACGCCGCACTGATGCCGACCATGTTCCAGTACTTGGTCGTGCTGATCTTGCCGGAGACCGCCGCCGCCTTGGCGAGGTCCACGCGCCGGTCCCACTCGTAGTAGAAGCAGAGAACGTTGCCGCCAATGACAAAGACGACACCAAAGAGCCACTCGCCAAGGCTATAGCGGGACACGCTACCAAAGAGCGACGGTTTGCGGCGCATCCATTGGGCGACGCGCCAAAACGCCGACGACGTGGCACGACGAGGGGCGAGCGCGGGGTGGCCGAGGGCTTCGATGAGGAGGAGGCCGACAAAGAAGGGCAAGATGCAAAACAGAAAGAGGAACGTCGGTCGCACAAACTCCGTGTGGCCCGAAATCGTAATGTTGCGCCCGATGCCCGTGTCGATGATCTTGGAGTGGTGGCCCGCGACGACGGAGCCGCCGTTGTTGGGGTAGCCGTTCCACCACTCGGTCATGGTGTTGATGAGCTGCAATTCGAAGAGCGGCGCCCACGTCGCAATGTTGCCAAAGATGTAGATGCCCAGGCAGAGAAGCACGAGGAGTCGCAGCAGTAGCGCAGTCGACGACGTCCGTGTCGGTGTTGGCGTCTCGTTGTCGAACTGCGGGGTTTTGACAACGGCAAAGTCGGCCATGGTTGTCGTCGGTGGCAGGGAAAATGGACAATGAGGTCAACCGCCACAGGGCAAAACGGTGCCGGCGCAATGTGCTAGTCAACAATTGCTTTCTTGACATGGTGGATTGCCTCGGTACGCGAAGCCGACCAGAAACGAACCTGGCAGGCCGTTCGAACACGCCACACCCAGCGCCACACCCTTGGGCAACGACGCCATTTACCAGCCGGTACGTATGTGATATGCAATAGTTGACTGCTTCAATTGATGGATCGATATGCTCTGCCCGTCGAGTGCTTTCCACATGTCCCGATACTAATATCGCAAAAGCCTCTGCGCCACACATTCCATGACGACGCAATTGTCAAATGGATCTTTGGACGATGGGGCCGTGTTTGCGCCTCCACCCGAATAAACTCATCGGAGCCGCTCATTTCGACCCATATTATGTGAGTTGCATACTAGTAGCGACAAAAAGCTGAGCAACCAAGTAGACCAGTGTCAACAGCAGTTGCTCGGTTCGTTACATGTGGCCCGTCGAAGCGAAGAGACGCGGCAGTGCATGCACATCGGGTACGTTCTTCCGACGTGTCTGTGCAGGTGAACTGCTGCTCTGCGGCATTGTGGACAGTTGCAGCCACCAACGCGAGAGCTTTCAACAGCCACTCGCCCCGCACCTTGAAACAGCGACAGTCCCAAGCGACTTTGTCTAGTGAACGATCATGAGGTTTTGTCACACGCGTTGCAGACCGTTCGACGTCCCAGCGAGTCGCGCGGAGGGTGAGTACATCGGGCCATCGGACACCGCTTTGTGGCCTGCACACCTTTGCCTCGCCAGCTCGACGACGAACTCGACGCAAGTTTGTCGTATCCGCTACGAGGCCTTCAGACCGTGTGGGCTATGTGAGGCTCTGCGCTTCTCTCTTGGGTCATAGGCATGCGAGAGGCTTCTATTGCGAGCCTTCCGGCAAGACGAGTTGGAGCTCTAGTTCGACCATGATCGTATCCTATCGTGGACCTCGTTCGTCGAGAGAGGGTGGAGTGAATTTAAAATGCCGACTCATGGCGGTTGAGCCTTCATAAGACAGGTGTGCAGGACGAAATGATTAAATATAAGCGTGTAGAGCGAAATGTAGAGACACATGCGCGCAGAAGCTTACGCCTTCGGGGCCTTGGCTTCCTTGGTCGGGAGCGACGACTTCTTGGGAAGGAGAATATTGTGGATGTTGGGGAGGACACCACCGGACGCGATCGTCACGTCGCCAAGGAGCTTGTTGAGCTCTTCATCGTTGCGCACCGCGAGCTGGATGTGGCGCGGGATGATACGCGACTTCTTGTTGTCGCGCGCAGCGTTACCAGCAAGCTCCAAGATCTCGGCGCAGAGGTACTCGAGGACCGCAGCGAGGTAGACAGGCGCGCCGCCACCAATGCGCTGGGCGAAGCGGCCCTTCTTGAGGAAGCGAGCAACACGACCGACGGGGAACTGGAGACCCGCCTTGGACGAGCGCGACGACGCCTTGCCCTTGGCACCGCGACCGCCCGTAGCCTTACCCTTGCCCGACATGTTGGTTGTTGCTTGGAAGCTGGAAATTGAAATATGTCACGTTGCCGCCGTCGATCTTCGCCACCGCTGCCAGAAATATTCCACCAATCCTGATCCGTGCCGCCACAATGAAACCAATCAAAAGTTGTGATCAACCTTCATAGCCAATCATGGATGCGGATTCAAAGCAAGCCAATCCGCGGGAGCCATTTCGCGCCACGGCGGATCCTTGCGACACGGCCATCGCTGCGCCACGGAATCCCATTTTCGAATTTGCATTCCAAGCAACCAAGATGGCCAAGACCCCGAGCAAGAAGTCCGCCAAGGCCCCGAAGAAGACGGGCGAGAAGGGCAAGGCCAAGAAGGGCAAGCGCGTCGAGTCGTACTCGACGTACATCTACAAGGTCCTCAAGCAGGTCCACCCGGAGACCGGTATCTCCAAGCGTGGCATGTCGATCATGAACTCGTTCATCAACGACATCTTCGAGCGCATTGCGTCCGAGGCCGGCAAGCTCTCGCGCTACAACAAGAAGTCGACCTTGTCGTCGCGTGAGATCCAGACTGCTGTCCGCCTCATGCTCCCCGGCGAGCTCGCCAAGCACGCTGTCTCGGAGGGCACGAAGGCCGTGACCAAGTTCACGTCGTCGGCGTAGATTCGCGCCCTGCGATGTATGTAGCGAGCACTCATTTTCATTTGGTGTTCTTCAACACCACCCTATTTACAGGAAATTCATCTCGTCTTTACGTCAATGTGTCAACCATATCCGAGAGAATATACTTGGCCTTGGACTAGTAGAGGAACGGGACGATAGCCTTGCGCGTGCGAGGGTAGTCCTTGAAGTGCGACTGGTACCATGCGTGGTGACTCGCGGCGCGGGGCACCAAGTTCGCGGCGGTCCAGAGCACAAAGGTCGTCGCCGCGGGGTTCCACGCCATGAGGCCAAAGCCCGCCCACTCGATGCACTCGCCCAAGAGGTTCGGGCACGAGATGCGCTCAAAGAGGAAGCCACGGGGGATCTTGTACCCGGTTTCATTCGGCTTGCGGAGGCGGATGAGCATCGTGTCACAGATGCAGTTGATGGCCATGCCAGCAAGAAAGAGCAAGAGACCCAAAACCGTGCTCGGAGAGACAAGCCAGGACGCATCGTACGCGGCGCTGGCATGCAGCAAGTACGCGCCGTTGAGCCCCGCGTTGACGAGGTTGAAGCCACACGCGCAGAGGACGATAAGGACCGGCATCGGCTTGGGGGTGGCCGCGATGCGCAGCGGGTAGATGATCGACCGGTTCGCGTAGTGGGCGACCCAGAGCGTGTAGAGCACCCACGCATATGAGGACGACGGGCGGGCGTCCACGTAGTACTCGCGCCACGCGCAGCCGCCCATGATGAGCAGCGACGGCAGCTCCATGAGGCACCAGCCGACCTTGTTGTTGAGCACAGGGCCCCATGCAGTGGACGTGTGTCGACCGAACGGCGCCGTCACAAACTGAAGCAGCACGTACGTGACGAGTGCGACCGCGATCCACGCATAGCAGAGCGTCGGCAACGAGGACGCGGCCAGCATTGCGCTCTTCCGACTGCCAGACTACGGATACGCTGTAGCATTCTTCCGGACGATCTTGGCGGATTGACGTTCTTAGCAGCCAAGTGCTGCGGGTTTCGCTGCCCCTCCGTGTTCGGAGGCCGTCATGCCTCCACTTTCTCATAACCAAGACTTGCCATTATCATCCCTCCTATCGATATACCTTGCAGCGGTGCAGACAACGACGGGGATTACGCGGTTAGATACAGGGGGTATCAATCTAGTATTTTTGTTAGTCATTTTATCTACTGGCCGCATGTACTAAAAGTAAAGGGTCGATGGGTCAGACCCATTGCTTGAGGCGAAAGTAAAAGCGCAGCGTGATCGTGATGAAGAGGATGAGGCCCCAAAACACGAGGTACCCGTAGCGCGAGTGGAGCTCGGGCATATAGTCTACGCACCGCAACATTAGCATATTCGGACGTGGGGCCGTCGTACCAAAATTCATGCCGTAGACGCCCGTGAGAAACTGGGCGGGGAGGAAGACCGTCGTGACGATCGTGAGTGTGTACATGACGTAGTTGGTCTGCGTCGACTTGGCGTCGCGGTACTCTTCGATCATGCCCCGGCACATTTGCGACTGCCACTCGATCTCATCGAGAATATGGTTGGTGTGGTCGTGGACGTCGCGAAAGTACGCCTTGGTCGTCTCGGGGAGCTCGGGGCTTTCCAACACGCTCTTGAGTACGTCGCGCGTCGGCTTGATGACGCGCGGGAGCTGCGCGAGTTCGATTTGCACATCCCGAAGGACACCGATGTCAAAATTATGCAACAAGCGCGCGAGTTCGCGGTCCAAGTGCATGAGGTACTGCCGGACTTGGTCCATTGCGTTGGTCATGTCGTCGACAATGACGTCGAGGACCGTGTAGAAGAGAAAGTTGGCGCCGTTGTGCCGCACTTTCGAGTACGTCGACGCCAAGCGCCGGTGGACCGTGCGCCAAATGTCGTTGGGCCGCGTCGGCTTGACGGTGATGAGCGTGTCGTCATCGACAACAAAGATCGAAACGTGTTCGATCGCGAGCTGGAATTCGTACGCTGCCATGGCCGGCGTCGACGGGGACGACGTGCCCATGAGGTAGCTCCACCAGCTGTCGTCAATAGGCGCTTCGTGCGTGGTCTCCTCTACAAGCATAATGAGTCCTGAGACTAGAGGCCAGCAACCTACGCGGAAACCGGATTGTTTGGCGCAGCACCGGAAAAATGACAAACCGGTGGGTCTCGTACGAGTCGAATTTCGGCCGCTCGTTGAGCTCGATCGTGTCTTCCATTGCGAGCGGGTGCAGCCGGTACTTGATCGCGAGCCGCTTGAGATTCAAGTGGTCGTGGCCCTGGACGTTGATCCAGCGACAGGACGCCCACGGCGCGCGGTCGTTCATAAAGAAGGACCGGAGCTCGGGCTTGTAGTGCGAGAGGCGCGTCGACGAGAAATCGACGACTTCGATCCGCGCCGGTGCGTACACCGAGTCGGTGAAGAGCGCGACCGTTTGCTCGTCAAAGAGATTGCCGAGCTTGAGCTTTTGCACAATGTCCTCAAAGACCGAGCGCGACAATGGCTCCTTGACGAACGAGAGGAGCGCGTCAACGATCGCGGGCGCGTCGGCGCACCGGATGCCTAGACTCTCGAGGCCATGGCGCAGTCCGTCGCGGCTCAAGACGCCCGAGTTGTCCGGGTCCGCTTCGTCAAACGCCAAGTGCAGGCGCGACGGCGTCACGTCAAAGTACGGGTCCAAGATCGACAAGCACTCGTCTTCAATGACAACGTCGGACGCTGGCGACGACAAGGGCGAGCTCGAAACGAGCGACGGACTTGGGCTCGGCTGCTTGATTGGCTGGCGCGGCTGGAAGGCAAAGGCCACGCTTTCTGTGCTTAAGTAGAGCTCGGTGTGCGCTGGTTGCGCCGATTGCGGCGACGACGAGCTCGTATGGATCTCTGCGAGCGGCGAGAAGTTTGGGATCTTGGCGTTGTAGCGCGGCGGCGTGATCTTGAGGAGCGGCGTGAGCTCCTTCTTGGGCATCTCCATGGCGCTCTTCCGTGCTGCTACTTGTGTGGCGTATGGGGTAGGAAGACAGCCTGGCGACGACCTCGGCAGGCGAATCAATCAGGGTCGGCAAGTCAAATGCGCTCGGACATTCAAGTCGGGAAATGCCCAGTCGCGAAGCTGACCAGCCGCTGGCGTCAGCGATTGGTTCAACTTCCTGAGACACGTATTGGGGGGTCCACCCTAATAAGATTCGAGCGTGCCGAAGGGTCTCTTGAAGCTGCATACGAACAACGACGACGCTTCCGAGGTGTTGCAGCATAGCAACAATATCTACTTGGTGGCATGGCATGCAGGACATTGATGAGAGAAACTACGTTGGCTATCCTCTACCGGTACACAAATGGCTTTGAACTTGATACGTACCGTCAAGCGAACCTTTTAGAGGGTCCCCAGCCCGGTGGGGGTGGATCTTAAAGGGATTGAGCGTGCGTCGGCTACTTGCACTCCACCTCCGCCTCAACGACGTCTGGCAGGAAAGGCCCACCACTGCTTCCCACACGAGCCACCCATGGACGCCACCCATTAACACGCGCCCGTCATGAGCAGGGAAGCCTTCTCGGAACGCTTCTTCAGTCGGATAATGCTTCCGAAGCTGAGCATGTGGTGTTGCTCATGAGAATTGACGAACAGCCCGATTGTGGTTCTGTCATGGTGCTGTTTTGGTACCACCCGGGGGGATGACGAAGCTAGAGACGTTAGCAACAACAGCTTTGTTCATGCAGTGCCGCCGGCATCATAGCCACGGCAACCTGTTCTTCTGGCTACACCACGTAAGCTCCGTCGGAACTGACCCCTTGACAGCGCAAGAGACCTGCGCAGCCTGACTGGATTCCTCTTGTTGACAAATTGGCGACTAGAACCAGATTTTGCAGCTGTGTATTCGGAGTGAGATTCGCTATCTGCTAGATGTCTGGGTCTAGCCAGATTTGGGCCACTATTCTATAGAGCTCTTTCTTAGAGGGATGGGTGGTGTTTAGAAACACCAGATGTAGAGAGACCGAAGTCTGAATTTGCACTCGTAAGGCAACGCGGATTTAACCGCCGAAGCCGTAGAGCGTGCGGCCCTGGCGCTTAAGCGCGTAGACGACGTCCATGGCCGTCACCGTCTTGCGGCGAGCGTGCTCCGTGTACGTGACCGAGTCCTTGATGACGTTCTCGAGGAAGACCTTGAGGACACCGCGGGTCTCTTCGTAGATGAGGCCCGAGATACGCTTGACACCGCCACGGCGAGCGAGACGGCGGATGGCGGGCTTGGTGATACCCTGGATGTTGTCGCGAAGGACTTTGCGGTGGCGCTTGGCGCCGCCCTTGCCGAGACCCTTGCCGCCCTTGCCACGACCAGACATGTTTGTTCTTGTTTCTTGGAGGGAAAACTGAAAATGACTTGGTAGCAATCGACATCGTATTGCGATTGGTCGAAATCAAAGGCCCGAGATATAGGTTCTGATTGGCCCTTCCTCGATTCAGAACGACAACAGGTTTGGATTGGAGGAATATTTTTCTTGCGTGATGCCATTGGCCACAAAGATGCGGGAAGCAAGGCCATTGGCCAACACTTGCGCGCCAGGGAGCTCGCGCGCTGATTGGCCAGAGCTTAGATTGCACTCCGGGATTGGCATTTCCGAAAACTCGTTCTCTCAACAACATGGCTCGTACCAAGCAAACCGCCCGCAAGTCCACCGGTGGCAAGGCCCCGCGCAAGCAGCTCGCCACGAAGGCTGCCCGCAAGAGCGCCCCTGCCACGGGCGGCGTCAAGAAGCCCCACCGCTACCGCCCGGGTACGGTCGCCCTCCGTGAGATCCGTCGCTACCAGAAGTCGACCGAGCTCCTCATCCGCAAGCTCCCGTTCCAGCGCCTCGTCCGCGAGATCGCCCAGGATTTCAAGACGGACTTGCGCTTCCAAGGCTCGGCCGTCCTTGCCCTCCAGGAAGCCGCTGAGGCGTACCTTGTCGGCCTCTTCGAAGACACCAACTTGTGCGCCATCCACGCCAAGCGTGTCACGATCATGCCCAAGGACATCCAGCTCGCTCGCCGCATCCGTGGCGAACGCTCGTAAGTCCTCGGTCGCTATGTAACATAGTACCTCACAACACTGGTGTTTTTCAACACCACCCATTGAACCAAAGAAATCTCGACACAAGGACTCGAGCGAGTTTTGGGCATCAGCCGCACTCGACTGCTAGTCTAGTTCGCGTCTAAGTGAACCCACTCCAGAATTAGTCGATTCGCACTGTAGGTGAAAGCAAGGCCAAGTTTTGTACCAGCGTTTAAGCAACCGGGGCCGTGGTAACCTTGACGCCAGATCGTGCATCTTCGCAGCCCACATCGCGGAGTACAATTGAAGCAATAGCCCAGCGCTTCGGCTTTGTTGCGGTTGCTGAAGTTGTCGATTTTCGAGGACATACTCGCATGTCATTCAAAGCACAGCGTCTGGCACGCATATCTGCAGAAATGCGGGAATCGCTTGTGGCACCAAGCGCCAAAGTATCGCTCTGCGCATTGCAGCCATGCATGCAATAGATAAACGAGTTGATTGTCAGTTTAGCAAACTAGGGGCTACAGCATGGTGGTACTCCAAGTGACACTGCTCGAGGCAAGGGAGTCACAGAGCGCGCTCCAGATCGACTCGTCGATCGCGTCATCGAGTGTCGAGGCGAGCATCGGGTCATCCTCAGAGGCAGAGAGGTCCATCAAGTCGGGTAGGTCCAAAAAGATGTCGTCGTCGTCGCCGCTCTCTTTCCGGGTCGGTGTCGCCTTTGGGCTCTCGCCGCCGTGCGATTTACAGTGCCCACTCGACCGCGCTCGGAGGAGGCACCCGTCGACTTTGCAGCGCCGGCCACCGCCGTGGCGCACGCACTTGTAACGCGCGTGCGCTTGCCGATCGCAGCCGGGTTCGGTGCAATAGCGCTTGGCGAGGGCGCCACCATGATCGACGCAAAACGAACCGCGGCTCACGGCGACGTCGCAGCCGTCGGCTTGGCACTGCTTCTTGCCGCCATGCCGCACACAGAGGTACCGCGCGTAAACCTGGTTGGTGCAGCCGTCCATCGAGCACTTGAGTTTGTTCTTGTGCATGGCGCATTTGTTGAGACCTGGCAGCGCGGGCTGGTGGCAGTCGAGGAAGAAGCAGGTTGTCGTCGAGTGTGTCATTCGTGTGGATGTCAATATTGAAATGTGGACTCATGATCACGGACAGGGGCTTAATGGACCATCATTCGCGCCGGCATGTCGAAATGGAATGATGGTAGATGGCGGGAACCACGTCGTCGTTGAACGAAGTGCCGCCTCGTGGAATTCATTATTCGAACGCTACGCTCCTTGCCCTTGACGTTACGAGCGCCTCGACATTGGGATGCTCGAGACAAACATGCGGGGGCGCGGTGCTAAAGGTGCTAAAGGTGTTCGGACGAGGTGTGACGTGGCAGGCGTGGCGCTGACCACATGCACCTGCTTTCGCTACCGCCGATGGCCGAACGCCACGTGCACTTTGATTCGGGTGGATGGTGGCAAGAAATATATGAGTGAGGTGTCATGCTCGCTGGCATACTGTGTACTAAGAGATGTTTATACCTCGAGCCATGGGCGCGCATCCTTCAACGCGCACGTGCCTGCGCTGACCACTTGCGTAGCCACCTTAACCGGATCAGTTCCAGTGTCTTCGCAGGGTCTTTGCCTGCATTCCGAGTCCAACGGTGCAAGCAAGGCGACTCGAGTAATACCAAGACGGCTCGTTTACGTTAGTCTTATCCGCCATATCGACAGAATGAGCTCTCGTACGGCGCGCTGCGAGGACTGTTGCCACGACCTGCCAAGAGCTTGGGTGCTTCACAAAGCAAGTTGAGAATCGAGTAGTCGATGCCATCGAGTGGTGTCGTCCACGCCGGGAGCGCGCTAACGTCATAAGACAAGACGTGGTCGGTGCTACAGAGCGCTGGTCGTGTTCGGCGGGACAGCGCGTGGCTTTTCTTGGTCTTGGTGCCGTTGCGGGGCGGCATGTGGCGGTGGCACGCGCCAGAGGACCGCGCATGGAGGTTGCAGCCCTCCACTTTGCAGTGGCGACCGCCACCATGGCGGACACAGCGAAACCGAGCGTGTGCCTGGCGGTCGCAGCCGAGTTCGATGCAGTAGCGCTTGGCGGCCGAGCCGCCGTGCTCCACGCAGAACGACCCGCGCGTGACGGCCGCGTCGCAGCCGAGCATTTGGCACTGCTTCTTGCCACCATGGCGAACGCAGAGGTACCGGGCGTAGACTTGGTTGGTGCAGCCGTCAATCGAGCACTTGATCTTGTTCTTGTGCGAGACGCAACGCGCGGTGCCGGGCACAGCCGGTCGGTCGCAGCCCAAGAAAGTGCAGGTCATGCTACTCGGCAGCGAGAAGAAGATTTCGAAGTGAGACGATAAAACGATGGTGCTCGAATGTGACTGGTCGGCCCCACTCCTCCTACGTAAGCGTGTCATGGCATCGCACTGAACCCAGCGGTGTGCAACCTTGTCTTGGCGCCACAAGGATCGGTATGCGTCACGCCCAAGTTCAATCTCCACGCTGCGAGTAGCGGGAAGAGAGGAGGTACTGGTATTCTGCACCGCCGTGATATTGGGATGCACGCGATGAACTTGGGTTCGTAGAAGACCTGCTGCCACCGAGGCACACGGGGCAAAGAAGGCGACGCGACAAACACGAATTTGCTTGTTGGTTTCGACTACAATTGTACAACTTGAGAGAGAACACTGGAGAGAGAACGTCGTTGTCTACTGTGATATACCCGTGGCTGTGATCGCCGACAGAGTGCATACGTGAGACTGCCAACCGAAGCAGCGGTGGCAGCTGCGCACCCACGCAACAGACGATACGCTGGTCTATGCACCGCAGATTCGCGCCAACGATGCGAGCACATTCGAATGCTCTGCCACTTCCTGCAGTGCATAGAGCACTCACGAGTAGCCATATTTGAGAGATGATACCGATCACGGGAAGAAACGTCGACGGAGATGCAGCGTCGCTGAATTTGCCACAAGTGATGATGGATGGTCGCTAAGTGCATAAATAATAGCGCGGCAGGAAGGACGACTGATGATAGGCTAGACGCACTGCGGCACGCGTTGGCTTCCTCTCGATGTAGGTGTGTAATCGCATGATAGGACGAGTATCTCCATGCTGCCTGTAGGACTTGGGTTGCAGTACGGACCAATGGCTTCCTCCAACGCAATTATATGATAGACTACTACTCTACACTCGATTAAATTGCAATGTTGAACTCTGTCGATGCCCAGTCCACGGATGGAAGCAGTGTTGGCGTCAAAGTATCGCTCTCTGCACCAAGAAGCAGCAGCACGTCGCAGTCCTCGCCAAAGAGCGGCGCGTCGCAGAGAATATCCAGAATCGAGGCGTCAAGCGCAGTCTCCTCGCACGCAACAGGCGGTGTCGGGTCGTCGAGGGCGGCAAGGGTCATGAGGTTGGCGACTTTGGCGCCAACGCGCTGCAGCTCGGCGTTGATGTGGGCTGCCAAGTCGGCCTTCTTGATGATAGAAGGCGTCCCACTCGCGCTGGGTCGGGCCGTGTGGCGCCGGCAGTAGCCACTCGCCCGTGCGTGCACGTCGCAGCCAGCTTCTTTGCATGTGCGGCCGCCACCGTGCCGCACACACTTGTACCGGGCGTGGGCTTGGCGACTGCAGCCCGGTTCCGTGCAGTAGCGCTTGACGACGACACCGCCGTGGCCGACGCAAAACGCTCCTCGGTGCACAGGCGCGTCGCAGCCGCTGTGCTCACACTGCTTTTTGCCGCCATGGCGGATGCAGAGGTACCGGGCGTACACTTGGTTCTTGCAGCCTTCAAAGGTGCACTGGAGCTTGTTGCGATGCGTGACGCACTTGGTGGAGCCAAACCGACGCGGCTGGTTGCAGCCCGCAAACGAGCAGACAACATCATCCATGGGGGTCATATTGTCGTGTTGAAGGAGTTGGTACTTGGTGCAAAGTCGAAAAGTGCATGCGCCACGGACTCGTCGGCTTCTTGAGGTCGACTCAAAACGCTGTTTTGCAATCGCACCAGCTGTCGCCAGAAGCCAGGTGAACCAATCACAGAATCGTAGAATGATGGTTGATTGTCGCGATGGGCCCAATCCAGCAAAATATCCTGCATCGCCTCCACTGCCGCCATCGGCGTGTGGACCACAACACAAGGTGTGCGTGAAGTACGATCGCTACAAGAGTTTTGGACAAGCTCACGAAATAGGCGTGCATTGCACGCCTCCGAGCAGTGTCGTGCAGTCGACCAGCACGAATCTTCAACAAGTAGCATTGCGGTTGCCACATCAACTTGTGAATTGTGCTACTGCTTGCGATCGCGGAAAGCAGCATTCCTCCCTGCTGATCCAACTTGCATCGACGAACCGTATCGGACGCCAAGAGACATTGTTGGGTACTCATAGTACTGAAAGAAAGGACACGAAGGTTTATTCGTTGCATAAATTGAACTGGATGCTTTGCATCGCAGCTACCTCGAGAAGGAGCACGCCGGAGCATCGTCGACAAGACAGCTCCACGGAATACCGGACTGCCCTTGCGAAATCGACGCGAGCGAGTCGCAGAGCAAGGTCAAGATCGCATTGTCGATCGCATGATAGAGCGTGCTGTCGTCCATGGGCCCATCGCTCGCTGACTTTTCGAGCGGCGCAGGCGTTGAAAAAAAGGGCACCGTCACCAGTGCGGGCTCCTCGCGCTTGGTCATGACGCTGTCTGTAGCGTGGCGCCGGCAGAAACCGCCGTACCGAGCGTACATGGGACATCCGCCCTTGTGTCTGCAGCCGCGACCGCCGCCGTGGCGCACACACTTGTAGCGGGCGTGGGCCTGGCTGTTGCAACCGGGCTCCGTGCAGAGACGCTTGGCGACGCCTCCGCCATGATCAGTGCAGAACACGCCACGGCTGACAGACGCGCGGCAACTGGGTACTTGGCACTGCTTCTTCCCGCCGTGTCGTACGCAGAGGTACCGGGCGTAGACCTGGTTGTGGCAGCCGTCGCGTGAGCACTTGAGCTTGTTCTTGTGGACGACACACTTGTTGGAGTCGGGCATCGCCGGGCGGCTGCACTCAGTAAAGGTGCACACGGTCGACGGCGGCATGCGACCGAGAAGGAGGCGTCAACTTTGAAAGTGGGAATGAACGCAGAGCACCGCGTCGGCGTGCTGGAACTATCAAGCTCGATGCCTCGGGCGCACTGGCACCAAAAGCCTTTCAACGATTCTGACGATATACACTATTCCGCCAATCGGTGCCCGGCATTTTGGGATGTGGTCGGCGAGCCTGGCATTGATGGGCCGCAAAACCCAGTGGGGCGAATGATCTCTGGGCGGAACGCGACCATTACATCGCAGCACCTTTGCCGAGCCCACGCGCCATCCGAGCGAGATTGCCATCTTGCAACAGCGTACACACGGCTCCTCCTCAGTCTCATTCGCGACGCATCGGTAACAAAACCCACCCATCTCATAGGATCGCCGCCACTGGCGAAAGCAGTGATCACCCAACGACGACCATCTACCAACATCAGCTCACCGTGGTGTGAGTGCAAGCCTCGTCAACACTGGCATCAACATGTACGAGTCACAACCAACGGATACTGCAGAGTCTCCAACCCACTACTAGGTGACTGGCTACTCATATCTGTACAAATATGGAACGATCGATGGCCAAGCACTGCAGCACAGTGCTAACTTTGGTTTCGACCAAGTTCTGGCAGTAACCTTCCAAGGTGCGGAACGACGTCTTTCCAGAGTAGACCACCCGTTTTAACTCGATTTCCTCAAATGGATGATCTATCGCTTGATGGCTTATAGGCGTCTCACGATCGTCGGTCGCCAGCGCGCACGATCACGGTAGTAACAACACTCGCCGATCGTACGGTATAACGTTAGTGGTCTATTGATATAAATACAAGCTGCTTCCACTTGAATGTCTTAGCACAAGAGCTGCAAGACGTCCATGTCAATCGGGGCAAAGAGCGAGCGCGACGGCTCAAACGGCATGGGCGTCACCGACGCGCAGAGCAGCAGCGTGTACTCGTCGATTGTCTCGAACGATTCTGTCCGTGACGACGTGTGCGCGTCACAGTAGCCAGAGAGGCGTGCGTGGCTGCCACATCCGCTGAGTTTGCACTGTCGGCCACCACCGTGGCGAACGCACTTGTGGCGCGCATGGGCTTGGCGATGGCAGCCCGGCTCGGTGCAGAAGCGCTTGGCTGCGACGCCGCCGTGCTGGACACAGTACGGACCGCCGCGAGCAAAGGCGCCGCAACCAAGCGACTTGCACTGCTTCTTGCCGCCATGGCGGACGCAGAGGTACCGGGCGTAGACTTGGTTGGGGCAGCCCTCGATCGAGCACTTGATCTTGTTCTTATGGGACGCACATTTCTCCGTGCCGGGCACGATGGGCTTGGCGCAGTCGGCAAAGAGGCACGTCGTCTCGAGGCTTGTCATCATTTTCATCATACTTGGCAAATTTGAAAGTACGACCGAAGCTTCGTCTTCTTCTTTTTCTCCTTGTCGATCCTATTGTCTGGATGTTGTGCGTGCTTTTGCAACAAGCTGCTGCAACGCGCCCAGGAGGATGATCTGGCAACGGCTGGCGCTTGAGACAGTCGGTAAAGAGACGCCGTGCGGTGCTGATGCGTTGCATGCCGTCTTGAAGCGATGGGTACACCGCACCATACGAAGGTCCCTCGGTGTGGCCGTGGACAATCAAGTCGGGTTGCCAACTGCTTTCCTGTGCCAGAGATGTCCATAAATGGTTTACTACGCCGCTGCGTCACGCCATCGCTCGTGCCTGTAGCAAAATCCTTCGTGCCTCATGGCACGGCAGTATTTTGCTCGTGTACGTGGCGTCGGATGTCCTGCACCGAGTCGCTCTCAAAAATGCAAGCGCAAACTGTTGGTGAGATGTGGTTGGGCAAGGGTATACATGTAGTTGTTGTTTATCCACAACCGAGCTTCCCAACCATCGAGCACCGAGGTAAGCTTGTGGTTATCGACTTTCCTTTCGCACCGAAATGGGCGTTCGGGCGTTGACAACCGCACATCCAGTGGTATGCGGTCGAGAATTGGGTACCAATCCGACCATATGACGTGTTACGCAATGAAACCTCTACGAAAGAAACCGAGTTTCAGTGTTTTGGCGAATTGCTACGAAGACACTAAACAACTCGTCCACCGCGTGGCCATCTGCAGAACGCTGTATTATGAATGCGAGGTATCAGTCAGCAATAGCGTCGACAACGTCGCACAAAAGAGGATCGCGTGATGCCGCAGTGCCACTGCGTAGCCGCAATCATAGGGCATGCAGGTGTGGTTTGTCGGGCAAGCAGAAGCGAGTAGCGCCATTACCTATGGTATCTCTGCGCCATAGACGCGCAATTATGGACCGATAGGTCTTCATCACGGTCGTCATCTCTTTGGGGTCTCCACCCCATGACTCGAGGTCAGGGTGGGTGAGTGTGCGTTGAACGTTGTACCAGTATATGATAATAATGGCATCACTACGTCGAGCGAGTCGTGCCAAGCGTGTAGAAGGATGACGATGCGACCATGCTGGCGAGCAATATTCATGCACTGGCTGCTGTGCGACAGTGTATTAGCGCGCCTTTGATGTCGCAGCGCCGTCGATGCTGCTTGCACAAATCGGCCAGAAAGTTTATCGACTGGTTGATCGGGTGTAATGCGTGATGACTACACGAATATGCCACCGCGCTTCTACTTTTGGTCGTTTTCATGAGAAATTTGCCTGTGCGATTGTTTCTGGTTTGATGATTCTCGTGTTTCTGCCACATGTTGCAGGATCCCTGACGTTATTCTGTGCACATTGTGCGGCCAGGAGCGCTCGGAATGGGGCGCCCGCAAAATTGATTTGTACACCTTGCCAAACGCAGCACCAAGTTGTTGCAGGCATGCGCGTCTTCTCCCTTCCTATCGATGACTTCTCGCCTTTGTCGTCATCTTCTGCTTCGTGGTTGCTTGTTGTTTTGTCTCAAATGTAGTGATGATCGAAGTCATCCCTCGCGGCTCCATTTGAATGCACTCGACCTCTAGCAGCTGTGCAGCTACACTGCTCCTATCTTACGAAAAACAGCTCCTACTGGTGCGAGAGAAGAAGACCAAGACGGAGCGATGGACTCTGTTCTGTGTCCGACCCTCATTGTTGCATACGGGAATGTTAGTTTGGGTGCTGGTTTCATGCAACCCGCGCGGTACGGGGCAATATTCGCCACACCGCACACGGCCGAGACGACGAAAAGCTACGCTTTCGAACGCTCTTTTTTGCTGAATCGCGATGTGTAGCAGGGTGAGAGAACGGAGAAAGCGAATGTCGACGTGCTCGAGTGTCATACGTCTACCCATGTCCATCGTTGCCGGCTCCAGAGCGATCGATGTCTTTTCACCGGACACTTGTTGAGGGTTGTGTACAGGGAGAGACCCGAGACAAGAGAGTCTGGACCTCATGCATTGAAGCGGTCGGCCGGCCTGCTTGACAGCCTCAAATCGCCATGGAAGCACACTCACAAGATCCAGGCGCAGAGCTGGCGAGGTCGAGCAATTCGCGATTTATAGTCTTAGTCAAAGCTAACCCGCCTCGCCCACCTCTGGCATGGTGGACACCAACATGGTTGTTGCTCCAAGTAGCTTCGAGGAACCTATTTTATGGGTTATCTCCAATATCCAAGTGTCGTTTTCAAATTGTGTTGTAGCTCGGACGAAGTTGCTCGTCATACTGTACATCATTGTCATCGCTGCGACCGATGCCAGCAAC